ATGCGTGGTAATCTAGCGCGTAATAATCTAACGTGTCATAATTTAACATGTGGTAATCTAACACGTTGTAATTCAGTGCGTAGCAACTTAATGCGTGGTAATCTAGCGCGTAATAATCTAACGTGTCATAATTTAACATGTGGTAATCTAATTACCATCACGTAATTCGATGCGTAACAATTTAATGCGTGGTAATCTAGCGCGTAATAATCTAACATGTCATAATTTAACATGTGGTAAGTTAACACGTTGTAATTCAGTGCGTAGCAACTTAATGCGTGGTAATCTAGCGCGTAATAATCTAACGTGTCATAATTTAACATGTGGTAATCTAATTACCATCACGTAATTCGATGCGTAACAATTTAATGCGTGGTAATCTAGCGCGTAATAATCTAACATGTCATAATTTAACATATGGTAATCTAACACGTTGTAATTCAGTGCGTAGCAACTTAATGCGTTGTAATCTAGCAAGTAATAATCTAACATGTCATAATTTAACATGTGGTAATCTAACACGTTGTAATTCAATGCGTAGCAACTTAATGCGTGGTAACCTAGCAAGCAATAATCTAACATGTCATAATTTAACATGTGGTAATCTAACACGTTGTAATTCAATGCGTAGCAATTTAATGCGTGGTAACCTAGCGATTAATAATCTAATATGTCATAATTTAACATGTGGTAAGCTAACACGTTGTAATTCAGTGCGTAGCAACTTAATGCGAGTAATCTAACGCGTAATAATGTAACATGTGATAATTTAACATATGGTAATGTAACGCGTGATAAACTAACAGGTTATAATTTAACACGTGACAATCTAGCGCGTGATAATTTAACGCAAACTAATCTAACATGTGGTTGTACATTATTATACAATATTTGGTGGTGGTTATATAATATTTGGTAATCTAACGGGTGGTTATACAATATTTGGTAGTCCAACACATGGTTATGCAATATTTGGTAATTCAACGTGTAGTAACTTAGCAGGTAGCAATTTAACGCGTAGTAATAGATAAGCATCTAACAATAATCTAATGGGTAATAATCTAATAATTTAACGTGTAAAAACCTAACCCATGATAAACCAACGCATAACAATTTAACACGTAATTAACTCGTAGTGATACAATGTAGCAACAACAGTTAACCTAACGCGTAATAATTCAATATATATCAATATAACTCGCGGTAAACTAACGTGTAGTACTTTAATTCCGTTATCTAACATGTGACAATGTAGCATAACTTCAGCTTTTCCGATCACTTTCGATAATCTCCTTGCATCCTTGTGCATCCGTAGATCTTCGTGCATCTCCGAGCGTCTTCGTACATCCTCGTTCGCTATAATGGCGCCTTACTATTACGCGCGAAAATCCTTCTAAAAATGATTCCATAGCAAACTACGTCATCAATAACATCGAAACTCGATTGTAACTTAATTAGAAACCTGTACACGATATAAATTAACATGGTAGTACTCTTGAAACGAAATTACACGTTACATCAATTAATCCGTCAAAATACTAGACAACAGGGCGGCCAATTATAGTGTCGTCTGTCCTTCGAACATTAGAAAACATCTTTCACTCGAATCAACGTTAGACGTCGAAAGTATAAATCATCGATTGTACCTTTCACTGTGCGTCCTCAAAGGTTACAAATGCTTGGCATTAATTAAAAACATACGCGACGAACCTCTGAGTAGTGGAGACGAATGCGTGTGTACTTGAACCTCTGGTCTCCATTAATTTAACGTATTAGATACACGTTCGTTTATCTTGTTCGATTTCATTACGAAATATCCACACGATTATCTGCATTTTATGAAGTAGTCGAACCAAACGTTTCGTAGATATGCAGATTTTGTCCTTCTGGTTCCCTGTTCGTGTCAAAATACTTTTTCAAACGATAGTTAAGACGGTCATAAACTCCTATCGTGCTAATCTTTAATTATGGGGTAATAAATAGTTTTTTTCCTCGTGGTGTGATGTTTTTGAGAATTGCACGGTGATTTCGGTCTCTCTCGCAAATGTCATTACGCATCTTGATGATGCGAGCCATTAGCCTTGGGAAGAAGGTTATTGGCCTACGAATGCTGCCTTTTAATTAACTCTTTATTTCCCTAATTATATATATATTGCTACATTCCCTTGTAAGTTACAACACGATTATCTAATTTAAAACCTTAGCGATTTAAAACGTTATTCGGATTTGGCAATTTAATTAGGATTGGTTATAATGACCGTTTTATTTATAAGTAGAAGTTTGATGGCATTAGTACTGTGGAGTGAACAGTTTATCAACAGTTTTTCTATATGTTGCGCTATTTTTATATTGTGCTTATATTATTACAAATTGTAAAGTTAGGTTTCATTGTTACGTAGATGATTTGAGATGTATTGTTTAGGTTAGGTTACTCTTGTAAATTGTAGTGGAGGAAGTAGATATTAATTAAAATCAATATTACTTCAGATAACTAATTTTCCATACCTCTTTATATTAATATACTGTGGTTCAAGATACTAATTCATTCAGATATCGTAGTATTTTTCTAAAATATTTAGATATTACTTTTTTTCTATATAGATGTTAGATATTATCTTTGCATATTAAATATTTCTATCTTTGGATGTTCAGATCTTTGACTATTTGGACATTATTTTCTTCAGACATCTACATATATTTCGCTGTAGATATTTAAATTATGTTTGTATATTTAGATATTTTTATTCTTATATAGATATTATTGCTTTTGCATATTTACATATTGTTATCGCTAGATTATTAGATGTTTTTATGTTTGGATATTTAAATATTATTTTCCCTAAATGTTTACATATGTATTTGCATATTATCTTTGAATATTTACAAATTTTTACATATGTACATTTAGATATTATTTTTCTTAAGTATATAAAAGTTATCTTCAGATATTAAGATATTTTTGTATTTCAACACTTAGATACTACTTTTTGTAGAGACCTAGTGTCATTCATTTATTTAAATATTCTGATATTAATTGTTTCTCTAGAAACATAAATATAACATGCTTGAATATTACGTTTTTATATATCTCTTCAACTATTTAAAATATAAAACATTTCACATAATTTCAGTTAATACAATGTTGCTTAAATTCCTAACTGTAGCATCAGATTTTCCACCGCCATTGGTCGAACATTTTATAACCATAAAATGCGGAGACATTTTGACGTAACCTAAAGAGTCTTTAAAAGCAGGAAGCTATGAAAAGCAATTCTGATTCAGACTTTATAGCTCGCAAGTATTAAGTATATTTTGGGTTTTATTTACCAGGGCCCACGTCGAAATTAAAAGTCAAATAAGTTGGGAATCCTTAAGGTCCTGCAGTCTTAAAATATTAAACTGCATATCTGTTATATAACGTTACGCAAGTGCCCAAATGTTCCTGCACCTGTAGGATCACATTCGCTTGTAAATAAAGATGCGTTGCATCCCTGACAAATTTATAGCAACATGCTTTACTTTTGCTAATTACTCATATTATTTAATTCGGGTTACACCCTGAAGCAAATTTCTCTTTTGGAGGTTAGGTAAGAACTGAAATTGAAAATCTTCGATTCTTCAAAGATATATTTAGTTCGTCTCTCGTCTGTTCCATCGCGCAATGATTCATTTCGAACACGGACTTTCACCGTGTAATTAGTCACTTTAATTAGTAATATGTTACTGGTGTCATATTCTCCTATAAATCATACATGTCGAACGTTACAATTGTAATTGTCATAGAAGAAATTGTAATCATTACCTTGTTAATTGAAATTGTTATATAATATACATTTATTGTATAATTCATGTTGTGTATTATATAATATAAAGTAATTATGGGGAAGTGCTTTATACGATTTATATGTGTATTAATCAATCTCAATGTTTAGGGAGAATTAACGAAGTCGTTTATATAGTGAAACAAAAAAATACTGAGATCCATAATATAGTATTTGTTATATATTTTCTGCAAAATTCGTATGTATTATTATAACAACATAGTCGTATGATTTTTGGAATTAGCACAACTGTAAACAATCTGTATATAAATTAACAAAAAATTAAATAAAAAAAATTATCCTAATATAAAAATAAATCACTACAAAATTTTAATTCATAACTCCTAAAAAAATTGACAGTACTTGGAAGACTTAAATCTAACTAAAAAAAAAATTATACTAACAGAAAATTCATTAACTTATAATTTTAATGAATAAAATTTAAAAAATGCAGTTATTGTAAAAATTGGAAAATTATTATTGTTCTAATAACAAAATTAGCCACTCTACAATTTTCATACAAAATTTACAATTTGAAAGACAGTATTTTTAATAACTGATAATATCTTAAGGAGCATAAATTTAATTACAAGCACTATTATTCTGATGAAATAGAAAGATTTTTGAACTTTGAAAAAAATATGATAATTGTAAAAAATGATAATGCTTTGAGGGACACACATCTTATAAAAACAGTTTTAACACAGACCTAAAAAAATACATACAAAAAATCATAATGTCTTAAATAATAAAAATTTAACTAAAAATAGTATTATCCTAATAAAGATACCCATCCCACAATTTTAATTAACAAAATTTAAAAGATGCAATAACCATAAAAATTGATGATGCTATTAGTGCAAAAAACTCTGACTATCTTAACAAAAAAAAGAATTAATTATCTTTTTAATCGTCAAAACTTAAAAAACGCAGTAAACAAAAATTCATAATATCCACCATAATAAAAACCTAATTAATACGTATTACTAGTAAAAAATCGCGTTACTAATAAAAGTACTATCATGCAACTAAAAAAATCTTCGAACAATTTCGATGAATACTCACAAAATTTAACCACGAAAAATTAACGATAAGAAGCATAAATTTAATTAAAGACGAAGCTACTATTAAAAGAATAGGTAACAAAAAGTTATGAAAAAATACTGAAATATAAAAAATAGAGATGCAAGTAACGGTTTCGGCTTTCCGATCCTCCCACGACATTGTCAAGCTGGAAGAGCATGATTGTTCGCAAAATTTGAAGGTGTCCTCCTTCGCAAAGTGGGAGAGAAAGGGGATAGAGGGGGAATAAATAAGGCAGTGTGTACCTTGCCAGAAATTCGCCGAATGTTCACCTGATGGATATATAAAGGGATCCTGTCCATGGTATTACGAGTCAGTGCAACGTGAAACTCGTGTGGAGGAACCACAAAAAAAGACTGTACTTAAAATCGAAAGAGATTCAGGATGTACAGACTGGTGAGTTCAAGTACAATATCCGGTTATTCATGGGTGGTCGATGTTGTGTCACACCTCGATCTTGCATAATTTTGCGATCTAAGACGAGTCGAAGTGATGGTACGTTTCGAAAATTTCTGAGAACCGGTAAACACATAAAATGTTTAGTTTTTTCCTTTAACAGTTTTTACGGATCAAGCGTTTTTGGAGAATTAATTATTCAAACTTTTTTATTTGATTAGCGAGATTTTATCAGTGTTATGCAATAGCAGTTTATACTTGGAGAGAATGTTAGGAACTTCTTTTAGTATAGGAAAATTTTGTAATTGCTTTTTCTATTTTGACACTTAGAAAGTTTGACAACTGTTGATATTTATGTATGAGCACAACAATGTAACTATATTACTGATATTTAATATTTAATTTGGCAAATGTTATGAATAAGACAGTTATGGTTAACAGTAATTGTGTCTTCGTGTTTCTACGTATATTGATATTGAGCTTTGGTGAAATTATAATTGGAAGATGCAAAAATAGAAAATAGAAAATTATAGAATAATTGTAACAATGATGACTATTTTTAGTAGGAATTTTGTAAATATTTGTAGAACAAAATTAATAAAAATAACAGAAAGCAAGTTTGCAAAGTATAGAATATTTATTGTACTATTGTATAAATAGAGAATTATACTCTTAAGTTTTTATTTATTCGTCATTTCATTTGTATAAAATTTTAGTTCTTTAAATTTTAATATCAATATATTTTCCTCTTTCCAATGTTAAAAACATATTATTTATACATTTTTATATTAATAGTCATATTTAACATTAATAATAATATTATTATTTGTAACAACATTTGTGTCAGATATATTAAATATCTATGTATTAAATAATCACTTAAATAGTCATTTAATTTATATTAAACAGTATATATATTCATAAATAATAATTAAAATAAAAATATGTAATTTATCATTGCAAAAAATAGTTTCTACTTAATTTTATTCATCCATCATCAAAATTTTCAGAAATTGAAAGAATATCAAAAGTATTTGAACGGTTAAAAATTATGTCATAAATATTTATATTTAAATTATCACACTCGTATATAGTTTAAAAATTCAGACGAAATTTGACCGTGATGATAATAAATCGCATATTAATAGGTTTTTAGTTTCCTGGGGAAATTACCAAGCATCATTCATGTATTATTCATTGCACGATTCAGATTCCGAAAAGCTGAAATCATGATACCTATGCATATCATTTGTATAACAATCTTAGTGTGTCATAAAAAGTGATAGATATTTTAAATACCTTTAAAATTTCAATCAGACAATTTTATTATTAACATTTCCTATTTTAAATTCAACCCGATTATAATTACGTTATTAACTGCGACTTATTTATTTCTCATCAAAAGAACCTTGTAATACATTTAAGCTTTCAAGAATTAAAAAAAATTGAAAGTTGAAAATATAAGTAGAAATATAAACAGAAATATGAATAAATTTGTAAGCAAAAATATGAACTAAAATTTAAATAAAAATATAAACTGAATACCAAAAAATATGGAAAAGAAAAAATAAGCCAAATACTCAGTAAAGTATGAACGAAGTATAAGAAATATGTAAACAAAATGTGAACAAAATATACAAAATCTAAAAACGCAAACAGAACACAAATAAAAACATACTGAAAAAAAAGTACATATAAAAATATAAACTGAGTATAAAAAGAGAATGTTACAAAAAAAATGATTTCAGGCAATCATATTGGGCTTGATAGCCGTATCATCGGGTGCGTCGTTGACCCAGTCGTACACCACGCCGATTCCAATCCTGAGGCAAACGGCGGACGGTCCCAATCCAGACGGAAGTTACAGTTACAGTTACGAGACGGGAAATGGCATCCAGGCACAAGAGGTCGGCTACCTTAACTACATAGGCACCCAGGCGGAGGCTCGCGAAGCCCAGGGAAGCTACAGCTACACCGCGCCAAACGGTGAAATTGTTCAAGTGACCTACGTGGCTAACGAGAATGGATTCCAACCCCAGGGTAGTCACATCCCGCCCATTCCACCCCAGATTCTCAAGGCTCTCGAATACATTGCCGCTCATCCTGAAGAGAACAATATCGGGGCTCAATGAGACGAGACGCGTCGACCTACAAGCGAGACAGCATCAGTCTTCAGGTTTCTCGACCATGAAGTAACCAAACTGCTCCTTTGATAGATATGATTCTCGACCGATCTGAGATCATTTCGTTTCCGATTGTTCACGAGCAGAAATTTCTTGCGATCGATTCTAATCAATTTTATCGTCGTGTTAATATGAACAAGTTTAGCATTCATTTAGTATTCACAAATAGGATTCGAAACTGTGGTACTTAATTAGTATTCGAGCTCTGATGAGTAATATATTAAGTATCCAAGGTTGCATTAATAATATATGCATGTCTGAGTTTTGATAAATGTATCAAGTATTTGAGTCTTAATGAAAAATATCTCAATATCCAAATTCTGATAAATATATCAAATATTCGAGTTTTGATAAATATGTCAAGTAGCTTTGGTAAATAATGTATGAAGTTATATGTTTGATAAGATAATATAGTTCGATAATTCGCTGCCATATAATTTACTGAGAGTAGTAGGAACGCCCACTTGTCACGTGTGTTACGCATGCGCAATTAGTTTAGACTTCATATTGAATACATGTACCATTGTATGAAATTATATTTTTTTATTTTATTTGCTTGAAAACAAGTGGAAATGAAACTCTGCCATATTAAGTCTATGTCTGGGATATGATATATGTGAACTGCCTAAAATTTTATTAATTTATTTTGTATCATTATATTTTGTATAAAACTAAGTGTATCGTTGTATAAATAAAATATTTATCTAAAATATTTAAGATACTTTTTATTGTCTCGTATGACTGCATTAATGTATTTTATTGTAATTGAATGATTGTGAAACTTTTTTAATATCATTATGGAATTAACGTAATATAAAAAAAATTTGTTAAATTCAATAAATACAAAAAATTCAGGGAGGTTTGAAATATTTTTTTCGATAAATTTGTAAGAACAATAAAATTAAAATGTATAATTTTGATTTTGTATAAATACAAGATGCTATACAGATATTTAGCAAGATTTAAAATATTTTTTACATAACCTAAAAATAATAAAATGAAATTGTATAAGAATATAAAATACTCTACGAAAATTTAGGAAGCTTTAAAATATTTTTTATATAACGTCGTTGAAAAAAATAAAATTGTACAAAAATATAAAATATTATTAAAAAAATTTGAGGAGATTTGAAATAATTTCTACACCATCTTGCAAAATTAGTAAAATTAATCTATACAATTTTAGTTAGACAAAAATATAAAATACCTTCAAAAAATTCAAACAAACTTTAAATAACTTTTGTATAATTTGTTATGAAAAAGTAATAATGCACTTAAATTTCGCAATGTTAACTAAACAGCATCAAGTACAGTAAAACCATGATGAGAAATCGTAAAATTCATAAAACAACTCTATATAAAATGATCAAACTTATTTTATTCCCATGGATTTTTAACCGAACCACAGGCGACACTAAATAAAAAACCAGCTGCTCCATTGAATGTCAACCAAGTAATAAAGATTTCATATAAATTTCCTGTATATTTCACATAACTATCAGTTCTCGTGTGATGTACACAAATTATGTACCATTTAATTTCCTCCGCGTTTTACGATCATAGAAAAGGATTCCAGGAATATACTCGCAGAATTTATGCACGAATCAAATATTCACACTTCTAATCACAAAGTTACACAATCGAAAGGTATAACGGAATTGAAAAAAAAGAAACCACAATGTTTGTGGTAATAATTTCCTATGTTTATTTATGAGATCACAATACGTCGATTACGAACCAATCAACGATCTACAATAATTGGATAATCGAATTTACAAAAATAATCTTTTATTACATCGTTATCTAGGGGAACTTACTGAACCTTAATGATGAACCCTTTCTACCAAATTTTTCTGTAAATTATTTTGTTGACATCTATTATAAATAATAAAATTTATAATAATTTGATAAAATTTCTGATATTCTCACAATTTTATAATGTGAAAGTACTGCTTAAAAATCTTGCAGAAAAATAATACAGATTGAAATAATAATTATACAATTTTTTTATATTTCATTATAAATAGTAAAAAATTTGTTTATTTATATTTTTCTTATAAGTCATATTCTTAGTTTACATTTCTGTTTTCAAGCTTTGTTTCTTTATAACTTTCTGAAAGGCTTCAAAACGGGGTCAAGTTTGACCCAGATCTCCAAATTACGTGTTCAGTCTACAATTTCCAAGAAATTTAACAAGATAAGAAAGAGGAAGAATTTAAAGTTTTAAAATTACACGTTGATTCTGTCGTTTCAGGATTAAATTATCCCTTAAACCGGGTCACATTGACCCAGACATACAAGTTGGACACTCAAATTTCTATACAAAAGAATTTATCTACAATAATTACTTCAAGTTACATTTTTAATTAGATGCTCAAGTTTAATAGACAAAAGACTTTAATAATTGAAACTTTACCTTACGGGATTAATGTAACATTAATAATACTTAGAATTCGTCTTTTTCTCTTATCAACACGTTCACAATTAATACAATAAATAAACCACAAGCAAATTTCAGATCATGCAAAATATTCAGGAATGTGTATTCACTCTGGGAGATATAGCACGGTCGTAAATTCTTCAGATATACAAAAACACGAAATTCAGGGTTCTCTTTAGTATAAGTATAGTAAATATGTTCAGTGAATAACTAATACAAGTACCAATATTTATAATTATTTGCAAATTTATTTAACCTGAACTTAACTTTCAAACGTCACAAGATTTACAAAAATACAAAAAACAATACAATCAATGCAACAAGTATTTGTACACCCTTTCGAAGTCTTTTAAAATTATATTAAACAGTGTGAACCTTTCAAAGGGCAAACAAAAAGATTACAAAAATAAACAAATTTACAATGAGTTACAATTTTTATGAAATGCAAGTTTGATAAACTTTTAAAAAATATTTAGGTCATTTAGTTCAATTCAAAATGAAATTACTTCGTTCCAAAGTGTTTTGGTACTAGAAAATATTTCTAAAAACACTTTCCACAAGTTTCTATTAGCTATGCAAATTTATGATTATATAACATACTAAACAAACTGTTTCCAAAGACCCATTCGAATACGTACTAAATTCACAAGTTATAAAATCTATTCAGTACCAAAGTGTCGAATATCACAAAATAATTTCTGACGAACACGTCCCTATAAATCCCTAAACTCCTCCCTATCCCTACTTTCATTCTTTGACCTCACAATACCGCTTTCACGCATAACCCTTGTAATACAAATCTCATTTTTTTTACCACAAGCATTTTAATCCCACCCGGTCTATGATCGCCTATTCAAAAACACCCCTAACATTCGTCGTAACATTACAACAATAATTGAGTCCTTCCGAAAACTTAATTTAATTTACGACCACGCTATATCTTCCAATACTGTTACAGTACATGTCCTTCAAATGAAGCTCCAAACATGTGAAATTTGTGGCATGGACCCCCAACAGTATTCGAGAAAACGAAGAAAGGTCCTGAACTGCGATGTCGATCGTTCGAAGATTTGATCAGTTTCGTTGATTAGGTCGCAACGGTTTGAACTGTCGATTATTGTTAACGGGCACGGCGTTTTGTTGGCTGGGCGCATCTTTGGCAGCTTCTTCCGGGTCCGGAGTCGAGGGCTGTTTGGCGAGCCAGTCGAGTGCCCTTTGGATGGCTGGGGGTATCGGTGGCGGTGTCGGAATGTGAGTGCCTGCCACTTGAGTACCGAACTCATCGGCTGTCCAACTGATCGCTATCGGTGTACCATCTGGAGCATTGTACTGAACGGATCCTTGGATCAACTGCGTTTCCGACGGTGTACCCGCGTATTTGCGACTTCCGGTCTCCGATTGAACGATTCCGCCCTCCGTTTCGTAGGTGAACGAGTAATGGCCGCGGTTGTCGCCCAAGTCCCGATTCTCCGCGACGATCTTCTCCGGCTGACGGAAGTACTCTTGGCAGGACACTGATGCCACCAGCGCGAATAGAACCTGCAAATTTATGGCACTGTTAGATTTATGGCGTTCGAGAGTTTGTGCGAATACATTTTCTTCTGTATGATCTGGAAGTATGAACTGAATAGAGTTAAAAGTTTAGGAAAGATAATTGTGACGTAACTAATTAGAGCGAGATTTCAGGATAATGTTGATGTTGATAATTTTAATATAAAATTAGGTTAGGTTAGGTTACAATGGACGAGTTAGAAGTTTGGGAAGGGATGTTTGTGACATATGAAATTAGATCGAGGTCTCAGGACAATGTTGATGCTGACAATTTTAATATAAAATTAAGTTAGGTTAGGTTACAATGGACGAGTTAGAAGTTTGGGAAGGGATGTTTGTGACATATGAAATTAGATCGAGGTCTCAGGACAATGTTGATGCTGACAATTTTACTATAAAACGGGTAAGTTAGGTTAGGTTGAAATGGATGAATTACAAGTTTGGGAAGGGATATTTGTGGCGTATGAAATTAGATCGATGTTTCAGGACAATGTTGATGCTAACAATTTTATTATAAAATTGGTTAGATTAGGTTAGGTTGAAATGGACGAGTTAAAAGTTTGGGAAAGGATATTTGTGACATGTGAAATTAGATCGAGGTATCAGAACAATGCTGATGATGACAATTTTATTATAAAATTGGTTACATTAGGTTAGGTTTAAATGGACGTGTTAAAAGTTTAAGAAGGGATATTTGTGACATATGAAATTAGATCGATGTCTCAGAACAATGCTGATGATGACAATTTTATTATAAAATTGGTTAGATTAAGTTAGGTTTAAATGGACGTGTTAAAAGTTTAAGAAGGGATATTTGTGACATATGAAATTAGATCGATGTCTCAGAACAATGCTGATGCTGACAATTTTATTATAAAATTGGTTAGATTAGGTTAGGTTGAAATGGACGTGTTAAAAGTTTAAGAAGGGATATTTGTGACATATGAAATTAGATCGATGTCTCAGAACAATGCTGATGCTGACAATTTTATTATAAAATTGGTTAGATTAGGTTAGGTTGAAATGGACGAGTTAAAAGTTTGAGAAGGGATATATATGACATATGAAATTAAATCGAGGTTTCAGACCAATGTTGATGTTGATAATTTCAATACAAAATGGTTCGTAATCGATAATAGATAGAAGTAAAATTTTCCTTACGAGCTTGTAAAATTTTTAATTTTGTAGGTTTCAGACGATAAAGTCTGACGTGGTTTGAGTTAAGGGCGTAGTAAAGTGACGCTTAGGCTACATCAAATTAAAGTTTGAGGTACTATAAAATTAAAATGAAAACATTTCAGTAATACTTTTAATACAAAGTGGCTATAAATTAATAATAGAAAACAATGATTTTAAATGAAGTTTATTTACAATTCTGAATTTGTCAAGTAATGAACAGTGAGTTTAAGGTCTGAATTTGATGACGTAAAAGCGTGGTGAAATTACACTTAAGGTACATCGAATTAAAGCTTGAGATTTCATGAAAATAATAGTATAAATCATTGGTTTATTTTTTTAATACGAAATGGCTGTCATTAAATAATACCAAACATTATATCAAAGTGAAATTTACTTATAATTTTATGTTTCAGGTAAAGTCTGAACTGGTCTGACTACAAAAGTGTAATAAAATAGCACTTATGACATATCAAGCTTGAATTATTATAGAAATATTGATACAAACATTTTATTAATATTCTTAACGCAAAATGGCTGCTGTACCATAATAACCGAATTTTGCACATAATGTTAACTCATTTCAATAACAAAATTTTATGATAGAGCTAGCTATTAATGATTTGTAGCACCAATTGATTAGTTGTACTAATCACTAATATAACTAATACAAAGTTATAAATTAGTTAAATTACTGTAACTAACAAAATTCACAAAAACTACAGTAAAAGTACAAGAATTATTAAAAGTAACAGCAATGTACATTAGTACATCCAATGTAAAAAACTGAAATAGAGACATCAGAGACGGATGTTGCAGAAATATCAAGCGAAAGATCTGTTGAATATATTCCAACTAAATCGCCGATTTAATTTGCGACGACCTATTAGAGTCCATACATAAATGAATTATCTGCTGATCTAGGTTGAATAAATTTTGATGAATGACGTGTAAATACGTTAGAGGCGAGTTTCGTCCCTTTTACTTCTCACAATCGTAACGAGTATTGTGACCTACCTAACCACAAATACATTCATCTTGCCCTGACCTTTCACGGGGAAAGGTAGGAAAGATTTACAGGACAAACATGACGAAGATTAAAGGATAGATGCACCGTCTTATATCCCCCCGAGCTCTGGGTACACCTTAATCGGAACACAGAAACACGTTCTGATAAATTCTACCTTCTCTAAACGCGGGTTGCTCTACGTTCGAATAGAGACAAACCATGGGAAACGAGATGAATGATACCCTATGAAAATATAGAGAAATTGAATCTGCATAGTTATCTGAAGAGTTACAGGATGAAAAGACTAGGAATTGTGACGTGTTAAGTTTAGACTTGTAAAGTGTTTAAGGAGCTTATATAGGAGTATGGAATTGAGAGATTGTTGAGTTGGAAAGGTGTGAAATTATAGACTTAGAGATAGTACACTTGAGGTATTATGGGAATTATGGATACGAGTTGAGGAATTATGGGAATTACAGAAACGTACATTTGAGGAATTACGGGTATTATAGCGTAGTGATTGGGGAATTATTGAATTATAGAACAAGTGAGTTATAGAATTGTACAGTTGTGTATTTAAAGAATTATAGGATTACATAGTGCTGTAATTCAAGAATTGTACAATTACAGTTACAGGACTGTGAAGGTGTGGAACTGTGAAATAGTAAAATTATAAACTTGTAGACAGGTAGAATTGGAAATCTGTAGAGAAATCATAGAGTTGTTTATTTAAGGAATTATAGGATTACATAGTCGTGTGATTGAAGAATTGTAGAATTACAGTTACAGGACTGTGAAGGTGTGGAACTGTGAAATAGTAAAATTATAAACTTGTAGACAGGTGGAATTGGGAATCTGTAGAGAAATCATAGAGTTGCTTATTTAAGAAATTATAGGATTACACAGTCGTGTGATTGAAGAATTGTAGAATTACAGTTACAGGACTGTGAAGGTGTGGAACTGTGAAATAGTAAAATTATAAACTTGTAGACAGGTAGAATTGGGAATCTGTAAAGAAATCATAGAATTGCTTATTTAAGGAATTGTAGAATTGTAGTTACAGAAGGTGTGGAACTGTGAAATAGTAAAATTATAAACTCATAGACTTGTGAAATTGGGGATCTGTCGAATTTACGAAATAGAACCATGGAATTATGGAATTACATAAATATACTATTGAAGGATTATAGAGTGATCGAATCGTAGAATTATCGGGCTACATAATTCGATTTTAGAACTAGAAAATTATACATAAATTTATCTAGTTATGTAAACACAGGGTTGTAGGAATGCAGACTTGCTGAATTATGAAACTCGAATTATGTAATAAAATAGTAGAATTGTAGAAGTGTGGAATCGTAGAATTATAGAGGTGGAATTGTAAAATTATAGATTTATGGAATTGATTTTTTTTTCAATATCTAGATGTAGAATCATAAATTTACGAAATTATAGAATTGTAGGATTGTAGAATTATGAAATGGCGTAATTGTCGACTTACAGATTTGTAGAATTACGGAAAATTTTGGAACTTTAGAATTTTAGAACTGAGAAATTATAGAATTGTAAAATTGTTGATTTATAGAGTTGTAGAATTAAAGGATTACAAAATTTTTGATCCGTGAACTCGTGAATTGTATAGTTGCAGAATTGTAGAGTTATAAAATTGTAGAATTGAGGAATTATAGGATTATAATTTTGGATGTATGCAATTTTAAAGTTAAGATGTCATAGAATTTAAAAATTAAAAAATTTTACAATTTTAAAAATTGTAAAATTGTAGAATTTTGTAGAATTAATAAATTATAAAATTATTAATTTGTGTAGTTGTAGAATTATAGTATTTTGTTATTATCAAATTATAGAATTATGAAATGATTTTAACTATAGAATTATCGTTTTATGAAGACATGAAATTGTAGAACTATAGAGTAATGGCATTATAGAATTATTGAATTAAAGAATTACAAAATAGTAGAATTGTAGAACTATAGAATTGTGTGATTATAGAATTACGGCATTCGAGAATTGTGTGATTATAGAATTACGACATTCCAAAATTGTGTAATTGTAAAATTATAGGGTTGTAGAATTGCGTAATTGTAGAATTATAGCATTATGAAATTGTGGAATTACAGAAATATAACACTGAACGTGGAATTATAGAATTATAGCGCTATGGATTCATAGAACTGTAAAGTAGTGTTATGAAATTGTAAAATGATGACATCATGAAACTAAGAAATTACAGAATTATAGAATTATGATAGTACAAAATTACAAAACTACGATGTTGAGAAATTGCAAAGTTATAGAATCACAAGAGTACAAAAATTACAAAACTACGAAATTAAGAAATCACGAGGTTATAGAGTCACAAGAGTACAAAAATTACAAAACAACATAATTAAGAAATTACAAGGTTATAAAATCACAAAATTACAAAATTACAAAATTACAAAATTAACGAATTACAAGATTACATTATTACAAGAGTTCAAAATAACAAAATCACGAAATTAAATTACAATATTACAGAATTATAACACTCCAAAATTACAAAATTACGAAGCCAAAAAGTGACAGGGATGGAACTACAAGAGCATGAAATTACTAAATTATGAACACGAATTACGAATTAATCAAATTATAAAACTCTAATCCTTCAAATCAACCGAAAAACATTGCCCTCGTAAAAATAATTTTCACAGAACCAATTTCCAATACTTCTCAGCTCATCCGATGAATCAACAGTTTTACCGAAGAAAGTGGAACGCGTATGCAAGAGAGTCGCGAGGCAAAAGAAGACACTCACCAGGGTACGCATGTTGCCGAAACGATGGTACACGTGTCCCTTTGCAACGGCACGACGCTCTCCTCGTGAAAGTGTGATGCTGTGTGCGAGAGAAACGTTAAAGAAGATTATTCTGCGTCAGATAAAACGGCACGGTCACATGTAGAGCGTGTAGCTGTTCTCCGGATGGTTGCCGGCGTGAAGTTCGTGAGCAACTCTTCGACTGTTGGGGGCACAGCCGACCTTTATACCGACGACTCTACGAGCCAGTTGCCGGTCTTTACATAACCCGAGAAAGTTTATTTCGGGATAGCTCACTTCTCCCTCTAGACCATTTCTAACCACGAACTTGTACAACCCCTTAAAATTGATAAAAAAACACGGAGATCACCGATACCGCACGATAGCCTTCGATCCCGACTTTATAACGGTAATTTCAAAATACCCACGGGGCACCATGGAGTTTCTCATCTCTTTCAACTCTCCTTGCGTAATCTTCGCTTGCGCAATTCTTCCGACTATCCTGACGTCCTTTTTCCTCTGAATGCGCGACAATGAGAGTAATGATAAAAGGAGATGATACCACGTAACTAGAATTCTGCGGTTACGTCTCTAATAATTTTACTTTCTTTGAAAATGGTTCTCGACATATTTATTTGTAATAATTCATAATGGTTTATTTAGTTGTTGGTAAACAGCCATTTTTGAATTAAGTATTCAGGAAACGTACGTAATATAAATTTAATATGAATGTAATATTATAAATGTAACACAAATGTAATGTCGATATGATAGAAATATAATACAAATAAAATATGAACATAATACAGATGCAACATAAATATAATACATAAATGTACTAAAGATGTGATATAATTATAATACAGATATAATATAAATCTAATGTAAATACAATATAACTAAAAAAATTTCAGAATACTCCTATGTATCTCAATTAAATCATTAACACAATAAATTAATCAAAAAATTAAAAATTACAAACACCATCTATTTAGAGTTTGTTTAGTTCTAATATGTTTTTTGTATATATTTCAAAACAAGATTTTAATCAAAACAGATTAAAGATTTTCAATAATTTTTCTGGTAAGGGAAGGAGTCACTCTAATCTCTGACTTATGTTAATGAATGTTACTAGTTTCTGGTGAAACAATTTTACTTTCGTAAATCAGGAAGTTTTATCCAATGTCTGGATGTATTTAATATTGATGAATGGCTGTCTGCTGCTTTGTGATTCAAAGTAGATTATTTTATCATTGACCCTCTTTTTTAAGAGAAGGTTATTTATTATTGTTTTTGCTACATTAATTTGATTAGAAGGATACATTCTTGCATATATTTATGCGAATTTAAGTAGAAACTTGTATTTTCATTTTGTGTTATTAAATGTGCATTACAATTATGTGTATGTTATAAGCATTAATTGTATATTATAATTATAAAAATACTCTTACTTTATTAACTTGATTTCATTATACAATTTTAAATATCACAGTACTAATATATTCATTACATTTTGTTAGTAATGCTTTGTTTGTAAAATTATAAAATAAATTAATTTATTACATTAATGAGTATATATTACAAAAAATAATATGTTTATTTAATTTAATTATTAATTCTTTAATTATATAGATAATTTATTGTGTGCTTAAAATAAAAATTGACTCTAAAAATTTAACTCAAAAGGAATTTGGAAAGCAGATATTTTTTTATATTAGTCACTATAATTAATATAAACTAAATATAGAGATTATTAATTCAAATTTGTCTGCATGGTTGATACATAAAAATGAATGATTTACATTAACAAATGATTTATAAAAATAAATGCAAAATAAATTTAGCATTAACCTAATTAATTTTATTTATTTAAAATTGAAGTTTAATTCAAATGCTAATGTAAAAATATTTATATTACGGTGTCCAGTGTACTCGTAAGACGTTCAAGATTTCTAACAAAAATCGAGTACACTCAAAAACCTTCACGAATGCTTACGTGGGCGTTAATGTCAAATGCAAACGAACCTTCAAGCTCTACCATGAGAACACCTTACATACATCTTCGTGTAATTATGGTTATGGTTGAACGTACATAGACGTTTACCATAAATGAAGCAATAGATAACATTTCTCTATATTAAAATACAAAACTTGATAACCTATAAAGTTCCACTTCAGTTAAATTATCGAACTCCTTGAAAACTCTGTGATTTAATTAAAATTTTCTGCGAAATATGAATAAAATATGAGTGAAATACGAAATGTCAAAGAATTAAATATGAATGAAATTAGAAAGTAATAAAACACGAATAAAATAAAAAATAAGAAAAACTAGTATTTGTAATAAGAAACATCGAAAAATTACACAGCTTTCTAATACAAATTTTACATATACAAAATATACAATTTTCATTGTATAATATTAAGTAAACTTTCTGAACGTGACCTTCATTGAAAGAATTATAACAAAATTAATTTAACTGTTTAAAATCACTGAATTTGTACAATATTTATAGTCTCAGAATTTTGTAGGAAAAATGCTTAAAAATCTTGAAGAAGAAAAATATCGTAATTTGTTATTAAACGCCTTAAGCACAGAACCGAGAAAATAATGGAAAATTTGAAAGATTTGTAGCGAACGTGAGAAGTGAAAAATGTGTACCGAAAAATACCGGAAAAGTTTGATTAAAGCTTCTGAAGATGGAAGCCGCGGACATTCAATTTCTTCTTGCGAAACAGATAACCGCAGTTTGTTTTATCGTTGTCGGAAACTCGAATCTCGACGGAACGAAATCGCTTAGTCGGCCGAGGAACAAGCTGAGCACACTTTACCGAGTTGCAAGTAAGCAAGAAAGGTTATGCTCAAACGTACCTGTTATTTATCAGAGGATAATGACATCGACGACTTGAACGCCCGTTACCGACACTTCTGTGGGAATTCCACTCTACAGACAGACTAGTCCTTGGCCTAGTGATCCTAACGGCGTGCTACACACAACTTATGTTCGCGTCGATGAGAAATAACATTAAATTAACTAAGCTATTTCCCTACAAATTTATTATTTTCTTTTACAAAATACCCTTGATAGTTATCCAAGAAAAGTAAGTTAGCTATATTAAACATTAGTTTATATTTGTGTACTATTTTCTGGCGAAAGTGAATTTGAAAATTTTCTGAGAGGAAACGTTTATAGCGAAAGTCATGACAGTTTCAATAATTTATGGTTGTAGTAAATTAATAAATATGTTCTTTAATATAAATAACTTGTATCGTAAATCAATATCTCCCAGAATAAAGTTGAAATATTAATCTGGAAATAGATGGTTCTGTTCCGTGTACTTACTTACATTTTTCATAGTGCTTCTTGGCTCTCCCTAGCTCCCCCTATAATTTTTTTAGAATCTCCCTAGGACCTACCTAAATTTGCCTGAAATTGAAAGGAAATAACGTGTTGTACACTCTTTTATGATTACTTACACTCTCTCTAACCGCACTTGGCTCTCCCAGGCTCTCCCTAGATTTTTTCTGTTCTTAGTAGGATTTCCCTAGAAACTCTTCAGGATTTCTTAGTTTGCCGAAGATTGAAAGTAAATGGTAGGTGGTATTTTTTCCTAGCTTTACTTATACTCTCCCCAGACCTCCATGGCTCTCCCTGGCTCTCCCCGGTTTTACTCGGCTCTCCCTAGGAATTTCCTGAAATCTCCACATAATTTATATACTTGCCTTAGATTAGTAATAAACGATAAATAGTTTTATTCTCTATTCTTACTCATACACTTTGTAACCCTCCTAGTTCTTTTTATCGTGCCCTCGTTTTTTTCAAAATTGAATATAAATGACAGGAACCTTCTGTCCACCTTGTTAATGAGTATTAAACGTATTTCAAATGTAATATTCACATAACTTTGGTTGATAATACATGTATTGTTACTAGATAGCAATAAATGAACATCAAAATCAGGTGAATAGTAAACATACGATAACATTGACCTTATTATATTTTGTTAAATGCTGTTGCGTCAACAAGAGGCAGTAAAACTAACCGGTTGTAGACACTTTTCTGAATTTAACGATCCAACTGACCTTACCTCATTTAATCAAACATTACAACGACACGAAACTGGCTTTTAGATCTGCCAATGTTTTTACGAGCCACCGATATTAGGAATTGAATAAGGAAATGTACATACAACAAGTGGGAACTTAGAAAGTTTCAATTGAAAGGATGAAAAATAAATTTGCAACTATTATGTGTCACGTACCACAGAAACACGATCGTTCGTATTATTTACGAGAAAATATTTCAAATTTCTTAAATTGTTTACTTCGATTCATTACAAAGTTTATAGAAGGACAGTTGTATAATAAATAAGTCTAACTGCTTCCCTATTCTTCATTTTTTACATTATTCAAATTTCTAGGAAAATGATTATACAATTAATAATATATATTATATGTCTCCGCACTTGCAGGTGTATTAGTTAAATTTACAGAATGAGGATTGCATGATAATTAAATTTATATAACAACTTTCCAATATTTCTAATTTTTAAATTTGTTTAGTTGGATTTGTTACTTCCGACGATATTATTGACAATCGCATAATATTCTTCAGAAAAATTTACGACTCTCAAAATTATTCAGTTAGAGTTATCATTTACATTTAATGTACAAGGACTACCTGAAGTCAGGCAACCCATTCTACTTCAGCGTCTTCACGACAGTAGAGTCAATCAAGTAGTCAGACAAACTGCGTGAGTCATAAATTGACTGCTCGGTGCAATTAACCATAGAAATTATTATCCATGTAATTGTTGTTCGCGTAATTACAAAAATTATATTTTATTAAAAGAGAATTACAGTAGAATGCAGCTTAATTACGACTATATTGCATAATAACTATTTACCTACATTCAGAAACGTTTGTTTTAGAAATGTTAATCGTCTAACTATGCAAATTATGCTATTATTCATTTTTATAAGCTAAAGGTAACGTTTTTTAATCTTCATTCTCTTAAATATTAATATAATATAATGCACATTTTTTAATAAAAGTTTCAAAATAAATTTTCGTTTATAAAAAAGTTCGCTATCAAATAATTTTGTACCTATAATATTTAAAATTAATAACTTTTTCGGAAAGTTTATGATAAATGTAATATTTCGCTATTTTGAATTGTTAATGATTTTAATTGATCATTTAATAATTTTTTTATTCAGGTGTTTAATATTATTTAATATCGTATTATAAAAGTTAATAAAAATTGTCAAATTAAATTACTGTTAATGATCTATTTTAATTTCATACTAATTTTAAATATTAGCCACTTGTTAATGAAATAAATTATTTTTGATCGCTAGTGTCATAATAATTTTAATAACACATATAATTTTGATTATTCAAGCAACTATTAGATAAGCTATAATTATATTTCAACTCGTGCAAACAAAATTTAATACAAAATACAGTTACATAATCAACCTCTAAAAATGTTCAAATTCATCAAAATTATGAAATGAATTAAATATTTGCGGTATCATTGTATAAAAGAAAGGTAAATTTAAAACTGAGCAAGCAAAAATATATTGCAAAATGCTTGTTATTCTGATTACTCTTAAAATAAATAGACGAAAGGGTCTGTTTGATCCCACCGACGAAAAAAGATCACACGGAATGTCGATCGATTTCGCAAATAGAAAATCGTGGAGTTCGATCAAGCGGTGGGGACTATTGCCACGGAAACGGCCGAAGTGTTCCGACAGTGTGGCGTCAGGTCCCAATCACTAGTGTGCGCGCCAACCGCGAGAGGTCGGTGAAAACACATTATCCACACACGTGTGTATGTGTGCGATTTGACACGGTGCTGACGCACAATCGGCGTACACAACGCCGTCGTGACGCGACGTCGACGTATCTCAATCGCGTGCATCCGCGACGACGATCGTTTCGAATTTTACGATCGTTCCTGAGACACAAATAATTTTGAACGCAACCGGAAGATCCTGTATCGAATCGGGACCAACTTCCACGTGAACGACTGCCTACCCGATGATATCAGTTGCCCGTGCACCGATGGGTCGCAGTGACTTCATTGGAATGCAATCGATCCGGTCGAGGCCCTCTTCGATCTGACAGGTACATTCATTCAGAAACACATGATCACTTTCTGTTTCGTAAGAGCGACTTTTTTTAATTGAACGCCCTGTTTCTAGCGACTGATTGTTGATGACACAGTTGTTCCTGGAATGTTGATTATCGTTTACTATAATCGTGCGCGGTTTACCGCGTCCAGTCGCTTTTGAATGAATCGCACAGTCGGTTCGGTGCGGAACCGATGTTTTCATTCAGCTCGTACGTTTACGAAAAGACGCGATCGAATCGTCAGTCAACGCGTTTCATCGGAGAATCTCAGCGCAACGTGTTATCTATTGTGCATCGTTTTGTGTTATTAAATGGACCATCCACGAAGATAAGAATTATTTCGCGGTTGTACGCCGGGTTTACGAAAGTTCATCACCGGTAATGAGTTATTACTCGGCCTGATAATTCATTCAACATTTATGTGCAGATAATCCGGGCTGAAACTGGTATATAAGAGCCGAAAGTTTCACTTTGACCCAGAAACTTTGACGAGCTTTTAAACTGGCTACTCGCTATTTAGCAAATTTAATTTCGATTATCGGTACATGAAATTTGAGGGATTAATACTCGAACGACGGTGGACAGGTCAGTTACTATTCAAAACGGAATTAGTCGCTTACATTTGCAAACGAAAGTTTGTACTTTTAGGTTTCCGGGAAATTTATTTATTAAATAATTATTATTTATTAATTTATTTATTAATTATAATTTATGATCAACATTTTTTAATTTCATTAAATTAATTCAGTCAAAATGTGTTTTAATTTTGTTAAATTAATTATATTAAAATAAACTTTAATTTCATAAAGTATAATTTGTTACAAATAAATATTATAAAATTATAATATATTTTAATATAAGTAGTTTTTCAAATTAAAATATATTTTCATAATTTAATTAATTCAATGAAATAAAAATTTATATTCAATTATTGTTAAATCTGAACATTAAATAATTATTTGAACATAAAATAATTATGGGGGTACATCAACCTTCATTTTGTCAAGAATTATTATTTCGGATACAATATTATATTATTTAATAATATAACATCATTATATTATTAACTTATAAAATTATTTTGGAATTTATTCAACTAAACTTGAATATTTATATATAAAATGTAATTATTGAGATTGTAGTTTAGAAAAATAGAATTCATCATTAGAAACATCTTGGAAGTTATGGCATTTTATATAACAAAATTCTTGTTAAAGTGTTAGAGCCTTGGATCGGATGAGATAACGCGCTATGTGAAACAGTGAAAATGCTAGTATTGTTCCAAATTTATCTTCTCTAATAGTTCAGATGTATAAAATTTGGAATATTACTCACGGTAATTGGTCCAAAAGTTCCATAATTTTGAAGTATTCAAAAATGCTAAAAATTCCACAATTTTACGATTCAAAAATTCCAAACACTCATAGTATTAAAGTTAAACAACTCAGAAATTTAAAGATTCAAACATACACAAGTTCACAAGTTCAAAGATTCAAAGATTCAAAAATTCAAAAATTTCCTAAATTCCAAAGTATTAGAGTTTAAATTCTCAGAGGTAAGAAGTACAAAGTATTATAGATTGAAATTATCAAAATTGTAAAGTCTCAAAATACCAAAACTCCACAGTCACTATATAACAAATTTGCAAAATTTCGAGGTTTCAAAGTTTAGCAATTCAGAAATTTCAATGGATCATAATCAGTTCAATGTCCCAAAATACCAAAATTCTAAATTGTTTTAATTTTAGAATTACTAATTTCCCAAGTTCCAAAGTTTCAAGATTCCAAAATTCCAAATACCTGATAAGCCCTGAGACCCAGCCCAAAAATTACAAAATTCCTAAGTCGCTAACTTCAAAAATTTCAAAATCCCTAAATTACAAAGCTGCAAATTACCAGACTTCCCAAATTCCCAAATCCGCAATTCCAAAATGTCACATTCCAGAAATTCCAAAATCCCAAAACTAACTCCCTAACTTCCAAATGCCCAAAATTCAAAGTCCCAAAGTACCGAGGTACCAAAATAGCCGAGCGCGCAACGTACAAAGGAACGTCCGCACCCACTTTGCGAATCCCAACGTCAACCGTATCCCCGAATATTTCCTTCGAGCCGGAAGTTCGTGCAAGAATTGTCCATAAATATTTCTCTCTCGCACTCACGGTCACACCGGCTCCCTTCTCCAGATCGCGTTCTCTATTTCTCCGTCTCTTTCTGTCGTTAGATCGCCATGCCATGATGAATGCCACGGGCAGCAACAGCGGCGTCAACGGCAACGACAGCAACAAGAGCGTCGGTCGTCTTCAGAGCGTGATCAGCAAGCAGAGCAGCTGCGTGCGCAAGATGAGCACGATGCCGGAGGAGGAGGACACATCGGACGACATGGATCCTGACGTGATAAGGATAGGACCCCAGCACTATCAGCAGCAGCATCACCATGAGGCTGACTCGGACTCCCTGTCCGAGGACAGGGGTCGTCTGTTGAGCACCGTCGATCCACCTCGAAGGATCACCATCACCCCGAGCAACTCTGGCCACCTGCATTGCAACGGTCTGAAGAAAGACAACGGCATCAAAGAGAAGTCCAGGCTTCACCAACAACTGAAATCGTTGGACCAGGGTCAGTTTGACGCCAGGTTGCACCGTGACATTTCTCAAGGTGTACTTAGATCTGGACGGCATCATCGTTGCTCGAGTGTCCGATCGGTCAAATCAAACCCGACGATGGACGAGCACCAACATCACTATCATCATCCGGCGACCAGCTGGGCGTCCATTGTGTTTGCCGATGGGAACGGGCAACATCATGTGAGGCCGTTTCCAGAATCCGTTTCCATACGCTCTCTAGCATCGATCGGCATGGGTTCCTCCGACGGCCGGAAGCTCACGATACGTAGAGTTCCCACATCACCGTCGGAGCTGCTTAACATGGTACATCCGCCGCCGTAAGTGAGCCACATTACCTAACGTTGCACGCGTCTTGAGAGGCGCCGGAAGTAGCGAGACTACGAATCATGTTCAGCGGTTGTTCCTTGGCTGCATGCGGTTTTCCGTTGATCCGTTTCAGCTACGGGAAGCTCCGTTTCACGGTGCAGTAGTCTGACCGGGATAGGTTAGACGGTGATAGATAAGATAAGCGGTGTCTGGAACGTTAGTCTTGTCTATGCTTGAAATATTACTGGATGATAATTGATAATTGACGGAGCTAGTTGGAGATGATTGATTGTTATTGTTTGTTTTCGCGAGATGACCTGGATGCTTGAGACGAGGGGCTTGAATTATGATGGTAGTTCGCTTTCCTTCAGGATTTCGTTCATTGCAGATTATTGAATGATGTTTCTGACCTTGCATACAAACTTTACCAAATTTAGTTGGGAATTTTACTTGCAGTCATTGTCGGGATCACATTGTCTGAACGATCAGCTAATGGAGGTTCTTAATTCTTAAGTATCTGATCGATAGATACGCAAATATAGCTATTTTATGAGACTCTGCAATTTCGTATCGAATAGGTCATGACGACTATTTACATATTTCTTATTATATAGGAGTCATTACTTTGAGCCTAATTTTATGTGGGACCATAATTTCGGAGAATTATTTTGGAGGTCATTTATTTCGTGGTATCAATGTTCTACAAATTATTTGTGGGACTTGACGGTCCTTTATTTCGTAAAGCTATCTTCTTGTGGGACCAGTGTTTTGTCAAACTATTTCGTAGAACCATTATTTCATAGAGCTTGTTTAATAACATCACTACTCCGCAATTATTTCGTGGCGCCATTCGTTAGAGCCATTTTGTAGTAGAGACCCACTTTGTGATAGGACCATTTTGAATGACTATCATTCAACGGGAGCATTATTTTGTGACATTTGGTCAAACCATAATTTTGTAAGACTATTATTTTGTGTTGTTGCTATTTGACGGGACTATCATGTTTTGAGGTTATTATTTCATAAGACTATTATTTTTTGTTCTTATAGAGTCAGTATTTTAATAGGACCATTACTTTGTAAAGTTTTTACTTCGTGGCGCCATTTGGTGCGGCCATTTTGCAGTACGGTCATAATTGATGGAGCTATTTTGTAGTATAATTATTATTTAGTGATACCATTACTTTACGAAACTATTATTTAGTGGAGTTACTATTTGGCGCGGAGATGGTAGGATTAACATTTAGCAGAGTCATTATTTCTTAGGGTCATTATTCAAACCATTTCAGACTACCATTTTACCAAGATTTATAAAATTTAAAAACTCCATAAAGTAAATTTGCGAATAATGATACACTGTTTAAATATTTGGATCACATGATCTGAAAAAGTACTATCTCTTCTATGAACCACCACTTAAATTAGGTTAAAAATATTTTAAAAAGATTGTTAACAAATCTTTCGACAGTTTAAAATTATTTAAGACTGTTTTGTACTGAAACAAAAGAAGTGATGATAAAATACTTGCCAATGATTCATCAGGTATTGTCCGCGATTAAAAATAAATCACAATCATGGACTTTAAATTTCACGATAAAAATACTGATGTGCTTCAGAGATAGTAGGCATAAGCTTTTGGTAATCAAACTCGATGAGTGTAGTAGGATCACTCGTGCGTGTCATATGATTCGCAACTGTCAGCTAACGATTTATTCAAACAAGAAACGCTGTTTTCCTTTTCTTTTGTTGATCGTATTGCATAAAGCCGAGATTCGCAGTACAGTTTCTTCAGTTTGTTTCGAAATTTGCGACGAATCTATGCTAGTGGTGTCTCTAGTGTTTGTTGAATTCTACTATTCTCCATATTGAAAATCAAACACGTAATTCGGTGCTAGAGTGGGTCATCCTTCAAAGTGTGCTTTTGACTCATTTTCTATAACAAAGTATTAATCAACTTTTAGATGTTTAAACGTTATCGTTAATGCTAGAGAGTCTTATTCTCAGAAAAATCCTAGGTAGGAGTTCTAGGTTATGTTTATTCTGGAGGAAAGGTTCTAAAATAGTTTTTTGAGAGTTCAAGTGAAGACAATTTTTATTTTTAAACAACGTGTATTACAACCATATACAATTGTCACTGGTTTTAACGATTAAACTTACAAAGTTATTTTATATGAAAAATTAAGGGATTAGATCACATTCTCTGAAAGATTTAACAATTCACACTAAACTGATAAAGTAATAATTCTTTGCATTCTATGATTTATCAAGATAAAGCACATTTTAACAAATTTTGTTCGAGCCATTTTGTATTCTCTTTTGAGTCACATAACCTATATCGTTTTATGAGTATCTCTGGTAAATTAGTGACAATAAGTGATCCACTCTGTAGAAGAAGATAAATAATAGGCAAATGTTAATGAAAAATCTGAGGACAGTTGTATAGTTATTGTAAATCAGAATTTCGGTGACAGAGATGTCCTATACGTCCGAACGGCTTGTGAAGCGTGGTTTCGTCGTTCAGGGACTGCAATTTCAGCGTATTGTCCCAGAGAAGTAAGTGGATAATAGGTGTACAATGTAAGACCATACTTTTGTTATAAGTAGGTGTTCATGCGGTACATTGTTGTAGTTGCCCTGCTTCTTCCATTGAAATCGGAGTGGATCGTTTAAAAGGGACGTAATTGTTGTTCCACATTCAACATTTTTATGGTATCGAGTTACAAATTCCCTATGAAATAGATCACTCGATTCTATCAGAGTTCATCTGAATATTTATTCATCATTTCATTTCATTCCTTCTGACATAAAATTCTAAAAAATTTTATTTTATTTCATAAAATTCTATTTTATTTTATTCTATAAGATTTTAACAAAATCTTGATTTATTTATTTTTTTTAATTTTTTAAAACTGACACATCAGATTGTCAACGTTGTTCACATATCTAACCTTGCTATATTTCATTTTACATTTTTTGTTATTTTTTTATTATGTTAGTTTAAAAAGTTAATCTTGTATTTTCATTAGTTTAATTTTTAACTAGTCTAATATTTTTAACAGTTTAATCTTCAGACCTCAATTTTCATTTTTGTCTCTCTATGAAATTATAAAATAAACAAATAACAATTCCCTATTTAATATTTTATATGAATATCGTTGATGGCAAGCTTAACACTAGATTACTAAATTTGCATCAACTAATATTTACGTTGATTAATTTATGATACCTTGCGTTAATTAATATGTGATAAAAGTGTGCCATATAGTAAACATATCTAGTCAGATAAAAATACTAATTATTAACAGTATTAGTTAATTTTCAAGTTTGAGTTTCTAATCCACTGCTTCTTATTCAAAGTTTGCTCATACAATATTTGAGTGGATTACTACTGACCTTCTCCACAAATTTATGCAAAAACCATATTTTTGTTATGTTTGCATTCTCTTGTACAAATCTCATTATATAACACAAATATACAAGATAAGTACAATGGATATAATTGTTATCCATTTAAGAATACAGTAGACTCTTCTTATATTGCCATTGACTGCAGAAACAGAAAATTTGTCATATTGGAAATATTGGAGATTTACTTACATATTTAAATAGTGTTTAAGGTTCTGTGAGATAAAATAAAATTTTCAAAGAACTAGAAACTTCCTTCTATTTTTAAATCTAAACATTTAAATTAAAATTCTTCAATTTAAGCTCTGAAATAAAGATTTAAGTTCAAATTTTTAAGCGTATGCTAGAAAAAAATTGTGGAGATGTGTGACAACAATTATGTCTGCACCCACACGCGTTTCACTGTTCAACGCAAAATTTACGATCGCGTTCGGTAATCTTCGTGCATCTCCGTGTAGTACGATGGTGGTAGCGTTCCTAGCGCTCGTGAAAGTCCGTGCTTCATAAAACTCTCTCATATGGCAATATAACGAGAGTCTACTGTACCTTAGGTATTAAGTATCATATTATTACACGTGACCTCTGCTTTATATGACGCGATTTACCAAAAGTACATGAATTATCATCAAAAGTGAAGCTGATATTTTGTTCCTCTTGTTTGCGAGATTTCCGCAGCTTCGAGAGGCACGATATCAAATTGATTCAACAATCTAAGCGATAAGTGTCGATCCGCGAATAGCCATGAATTAAATTTTACGATTTTAAGAACGAAATTACCTTATATAATTGAGATAACAGATAATCGGAGTTAAATGCACGAAGTTTTAAAAAATTTATGATCGAGAAGTTCCGGAGAGCGTAATGGAGCTACTGTGCAAGCAAATTCAGATGAATGTGTTAAAGAAATTTCAAATATATTTGCGTAGCGTATCCCAATATAATTAAGTGTGTGTACATAAGGATTTCAAGTGACATAACCTAAATTGAAATCAATCGATTTATGGTATGTAAATATTCTTATCGTGAGACTGCTTAAATCTAGATCTTATGTGATATTTACTTTGATAATAAATATTTCTATCTCAACCCATTTTCTTTTGGGACATTTTCAATCTTCCTGCCATCTATTTTTGGTACTTCTTTGTATAAATATTTGTATGCATTTTGAAGGCATTTAACTTCTGAATTTTAATCAGCTTTTGTGGTAGATAAAAATAAAGTACATATTTGGGATAAATTAGGGTGTATCATCGGTAGATTAGATTCTATTAACTTAATTAAAAATAGGTTAGGCTATATTAAAATTATACACGGGTTAGGTTTAATTACATTAATTCTTGGTGAAGTTAAATGAGGTTAGTTACAAATGGGTTAGATTAGATTTACTGTTAGTAGGTTAGATCAAATTAAATTACTCACAAATGGGTTAGGTTGAATTAGATCCACTATTAGTAGGTTAGGTCAAATTAAATTACTCACAAATGGGTTAAGTTAAATTAGAACCTGTATTAGTAGGTTAGGTCAAATTAAATTACTCACAAATGGGTTAGGTTAAATTAGAATCTGTATTAGTAGGTTAGGCCAAATTCAATTACTCACAAATGGGTTAGGTTAAATTAGAACCTGTATTAATAGGTTAGGTCAAATTCAATTACTCACAAATGGGTTAGGTTGAATTAGATTCACTATTAGTAGGTTAGATCAAATTAAATTACTCACAAATGGGTTAGGTTAAATTAGAACTTGTATTAGTAGGTTAGGTCAAATTCAATTACTCACAAATGGGTTAGGTTGAATTAGATCCACTATTAGTAGGTTAGGTCAAATTGAATTACTCACAAATGGGTTAGGTTAAATTAGAACCTATATTAGTAGATTAGGTCAAATTCAATTACTCACAAATGGGTTAGGTTAAATTAGGTCTATTATTAGTAGGTTAGATCAAATTAAATTACTCACAAATGGGTTAGGTTGAATTAGATTAACTGTTAGTAGGTTAGATCAAATTAAATTACTCACAAATGGGTCAGGTTAAATTAGATCCACTAATAGTTGGTTTGGTGAAGTTCAATTACAAATGAGTTAGAGTAAATTAGTTTAGCTGCTGATGCATTAGATCAAATTAAATTGATTCTGAATGAGTCAGATTAAATTAGATTAGTTAGTAGTAAATTAGATTACATTGAGTTAGTTGCGAATGTGTTAGGTTAAATTGAATTAGCTATTGGTACATCAAGTTATATTAAATTAGTAATAAATATGTTAGGTTAAATTGCTTTAACTATTAGTATGTCAGATTACAATAACTTGGATGCAAATAAATTAGATTATATTTAATTAGCAAATTTCGAGAAAATTTATTTATATTTAACTAAACGCAAGTAAGTCAGATTAAATTGCATTAACTTCTAATAGATTAGGTTATACTGAGTTACAAATGTATTACATTAAATTAGATTAACTATTGGAAGGCTAGTTTACATTAGGTTAATAAATTTCAAATAGGTTATGTTGCACTACCATAAGTAAGTCAAGTTTTATTAAATTAGTTGCAAGTTACGTTCTACAATATTGCTTAAGATAGATACACATTCGAGTTAAATTTAAATTACGTTTAGATCAGGTAGTTCATAAATACATATAAATGTATATATGAAATGTATATTTAACAAATATACACACTCATATATTTATTTAAGCCAGTTCACATATACAATTCCTAAACCAATTTCTTGAAGAGATCACAAATATTCTGTTCGTATATTTCTAACGAAATCCGTAGGGACCGCGAGTTAAGTTGGCTTTAGTTTAATTATCGTTTCTCCCGATGGTCAAGGATCCCTAATCAACGGGAGCTTATACCAATGATTTATCGCGCACCCATTCTGATAAACGTTAGCCAAAGAGTAAAAAGAGAATCGTAGCAGTAAAGGGGTCCTTATTATGATTAACGATCGTGCGAAACAGGGGTATAGCTACGAAGGACCTTGCGATGCTTTATTGCGTAAGCAGGAAAAATGAAGAAGAATTTTTACCGGTTTATCGTGCTCACCGTCTGCTAACACCTTGGTCGTTGAAACGATGTCACGTTACGGCGGTGAGAGTTATGGAAATCGACAAGGTTGCATAATTAACGCGAGACATCCGTGTCGATTCTGGGACAATGAAAAAACGGGACAATAAGGGCGCGTTTTCATGTGACGCCGCATGTCGTGACACCGTGACATTTCTCTTGGGAAATCCGTTGTTTCGTACCCTCAACTAACCTCAATTTTAAACCTTTGGAATGAGATCAATTTTGATCAATACCATAACACAGTCATTCTGACACAACAGTGTCACCGTGATGCACAATTATTGTACAAAATTTAAACATCAGACATATTCTTACAATTATAAATTTTTAAGTGCGCGTGTATACATATAGAATAATATAATGACACTGCAATATGCAAATATAGATTCAAGTCTCGTGAAAATTAAATACAGAGGTGACATGTCTCCTCGTTTGGCATATCACTCATTTTTATTCAGTTTTTTTATTAAATTCCACCCACGGTTGCAGTTAATAATTGTAAACACTGTGCACAGACATTTGTTTAAACACTTGTGTTTCCTTTAATAGATGGATACGCATTTTTACGGGTGACATGTTTGATAGAAGACATGTCACTTCGTGTAGACAGGTGAAACGTGTGTCGTGTGCTTGATAAATATGCAATGACTTGCATAATGTTGTTCATTGTATATTTTATGCTAATTGCACGTTGCTTAAACATAAGGTTTATGCCGAACGTATTTGAAACAGTTCAAGTAGCACTTTACGGTTATGGTGGTGAAACATGTCTTTCTTATTACCAATGTTTAAATTTTTAAGAGAGACAGCTATAATAGACAAATCATAGAGACTGCTGACCCATCTTTTGGAATGTTCAAATAATTATTATTGATAAAATGTTAGAGGTTTACTTTTAAAATTTGTGATTTTTATTTGTCGTAAACTCTTTAGTCTCACAGTTATATTTAAAAAAAATAATTATTCACAATTTTTCATTTTTGTTCAGTGGACTTTCAAATGGAAATTTAATACAAGTACGGTTAGATTAGATTTTTAGATTTTTATTAGGTTAGGTTATGACTATTGACACAATGAAAATGAACTATAGTCAGATATAAAATAATCATAATTAGGATTAAAGTTAGGTCAGTTTAGGTTATGTTAATTTAGTTTAACTTGTGTTAAGTTAGGTTAGGATTGTTATTACGTAGGTTAACATAGAAATGGTCGTTCATAATCAGATATTAAATAATAAAGTCAAATTTACTTTGGTCAGTTTGGATTGTGTTAATTTAGTTTAAATTATGTTAGGTTAGGACTGAATATTTGTTATCACTGAAATTAGTATCTATAGTCAGACATTAAATAATCACAATCACGTTAAATCAATTTGGATTAAGTTAACATAGTTTAAATTAGGTTGGATCAGATTAGGTTTATTAGTACGTTGATTATCTCAACAAAAATGGACGTTTAGGGTCAGACATTACAAAATATCAGATTGTCAGGAATATAGTAATAAAACATAGTAATATCAGTAATATAGTAGTAATATTAACTCAACTTAGTTGAATCAGGTTATGTTTATTAATATATTCTTTAACACGACAGACATTAAATAATTGTCAACTAAGTTAAAATAATATACATTATTTTAGATTAAATTAAACTAAGTAGCCTAAATTATGTTAGGATTATTCATACGTTCACTATCATAACAGAAACTGAAGTCTGTTAGACACATAATAAGCAGTTAGGTCATTCTAAATTTACCTAAATTAAGCTCACGTGTCGCATTTTTGAAATTTAAGTTACATAGGTTCATTAATACGTTTTTAGTCGTCACCAGTGAAACACTTAATAGTAACGATTAGATAAAGTCTGACTAAGTTCATTAATATTAATGCATTAATCAGGACAGTGACAAATGAACATTCAACAATAATCAAATTAACTTAGGCTCATTAATATTAACTTGTAGCATTCATTAACACAATAAAAACTGAATATGTAAGACACACAATAATATTGATTAGATTATGTTAGGTTAGATTTATTATTACTAATTTATAGTCGACATACTGACAAGTGGAATCATGTTAATAACAATTTATTAATAATGATGATTAAATTAGGTTAGGTTAAATTTATTAATATTAATTTACAATGTCGATTGATATAGTAAAAGATGGACATCTGTAGTCAGACACTTAATGATACGATCAGGCCAGGTTAGATTAATTAATACTAATTTGTAGCGCTGATTAACACAGTAAACATGTACGTTCATAGTCAAACACTTTATCATGACAATTTAAATTTTCCACTCAAGCTTCCAGTGTTTTATTGTAAACGAAATGGAAATATTCCCTTTTTCTATGTGGAAATATTATTTTTGCGTAAGTCGACTTTTAGAAGCATTTCGTATAAATTGCAGGTCATGAAATATTGTAACATTTGGTATAAAATATCTTGATATTCAATTCAAAATATTTTAAAGTCTCGTATAAAATATATCAGTGTTTAAAAATATTTTAAACCTTGTTATAAAATATTTGAATGTTCGATTCAAAGTATGACAAAGTTTGATACCAAATATCTCAACATTTAAATCATAATATTTCAAAGCTTGGCACAAAATATTTCAACATTTAAATCATAATATTTCAAAGCTTAGTACAAGATATCTCAACATTTAAATCATAATATTTCAAAGTTTAGTACAAAATATCTCAACGTTCAAATCACAGTATTTCAAACTTTGACAAAATATTTCTATGTTGCATTCAAAATATGTTTGAAAACACCTCAATCTTCAAAACACTTTACGACCTATTTTCAATATTTCACAAAACCAAAATGAACAATAAAATCTAAAAAAATATAATCCTAACCTTAAGCCTCGTAATCCAATTTTGCTCCAAAGTACAATAATTTGCATTTACAAAATATTTTTCATTAAAAATATGCAATTTGTCACGCAACTACAGATAATCCGAAACAACTTGATTTCAGGTCATTCGAAGATGATTTGTCCGTGTGCAGCAGCTTCGACGATGCGGACGCCGAAGACCCAGGGGACTACAGGCAACCGAGGCGACCACATTGGGCCAACAAAGTGCAATTTGTCCTTGCTTGTATCGGTTACTCTGTTGGCCTGGGCAATGTTTGGAGGTTCCCTTATCTGTGTTACAAAAGTGGCGGTGGTAAGTAACTCAATTCTCAATAACGCAAATTACCTAAAAATAATAACTGTTATTTTCAAACGATAAGATAAATCTGTAACGAGAAACGTAACGAGCAGCAGTAAAAACAATATCGGATGTTGTCTTCAAAGAACCACGCAAATTGGACGTACCTCGATTTACCTGACGTTTCGAAGATACGTTTAAAATAAATTTGTACGTGCTAGATCGTTGTTTGTGACATACATACGTTACGATTAGTGAGCCAGTGATAAGAGTCCATGTTTATACTTTGCTGGCTGGTGTGAAACGCGTCGTTTCAACGCAGCTGAGACTAATTACACTTTTCGAGACATGTCAGGAAACACGCGAAATGTAACGTCGAAATCGTTTTGTAACCTGGTCGAAGCTTCGATGTTTGTAATATTTTTAGCGGAAGGTCGACGGTTGATGTATCGTAGAGGCGTAGCTGAAATCAGAGCATACCACCCGCTCTGGTTTTCCGGCCGGTCAATTTAACGAACGAAATGATACTCGACCGATTATTTCCACCGGTGTCATTGAAATCATTTACGATGCTAGCTGGTCTAGCTGCGTTCTGGCAAGGTCATGTATCAAGTTCCGCAAGCGGATTGCGCCATGTCCGGACTCCAGTCGGGAAGCTCTTAGACTTTGAAAATTACCGGCAACACGATACGCGATTATGATACGACTCGACGGCCAGAGATAATCGTGTGCCCTTGCTCCGTATGCCCTAGGATGTTTCCTAAACAATAGGGGATGTGGAAAAAATGTGACCTGGAAACACCGTAACCAACGACATTGACGAGTGCGAGCACGTAGTTGCAAGACGCGGTGATCTTTCTTGAGTACCTGCATGTGACGTGTACAGGCGGGAGCAAATCTGATTTCTCTGGGGTTAATATGATGTGTGATGGAAGGAGATTCGCTTATTGAATTTTCGGGTTTTTGAATTTCGAGGAGGTTGGGACTTGGGAATTTGGAAATTTTGGGATTTTGGACTTTGGAAATTGGGACTTTGGGATTTGATGATTTGGAGATTTTGGGATTTGGGGGATTTGGGGATTTGGGAAATTTGGGGATTTGGTGATTTGGTGATTTGGGAATATTAGGATTTGAGGGACTTGGGGATTTGTAGGTTTGGGAATTTGGGGATTTGGGAATTTTCGAACTTTGGAATTTTGGGATTTGGGAATATTAGAATTTTAGAATTTTGGGATTAGGGAATATTGGGATTTGTGAATATTGGAATTTGAGAATATTGGAATTTGAGAATACTGGAATTTGAGAATATTGGGATATGAGAATTTTGGGATTTGGGAATATTGGCATTTGGAAATATTGGGATTTGTGAATATTGAGATTTGGGAATATTGGGATTAGGGAATATTGGGATTTGTGAATATTGGGATTTGAGAATATTGGAATTTGAGAATACTGGAATTTGAGAATTTTGGAATTTGAAAATATTGGGATATGAGAATTTTGGGATTTGGGAATATTGGCATTTGGAAATATTGGGATTTGTGAATATTGAGATTTGGGAATATTGGGATTTGGGAATGTTGGGATTTGGGAATTTGAAAATTTGAGAATTGGGGAATTTGTGATTTGGGGATTTTTGGAATTTGGAATTTGGGGTGTTTGGGATTTGGAGATTTTGAGATTTTAAGACTTCGGGTTTGAAGACATTGGGATTTGGGCACTTAGGGACTTCAGGACATTTAAATTTGACGACTTTGAGATTTGAGGTCTAATTTGGAACTTAATGAAGCAAGAATTTAGGAATGTAGAAATTTGGACATTTAGGAATTTGGGGTCCCTAAAATTTTACAATCTAGAAATTTAGGAATTTCAAGATATGAATTTGGGAATTTGAGAAATTTAAGAAATTGTACATATTGAAATTTGATGATAAATATTATAAATAATACGTAATTAAGATATGAATTTAGTAATTTATAAGCTAAACAATTCAACAATTTGGTAACTTAGAAAGGAAATTCAGCTGTTTAGTAATTTATAAATTTAAAAATTGTGTAAGTTACTAATTTAGAAATCTGAAAATACGGCAAATTGCTAGTTTAAAATCTTAAAAATTCAGCAACTTGGTTCAGTTTGTGATTGTCAGCAATTTCCTAAATTAAACGTTTGAAAATTCAGCAATTCAGTAATTTAGAATTTCGAACACTCACCAATTTGCTAAATTAAACATTTGAAAGTTCAGCAATTCAATAATTTAGAGATTTGAACATTCACCAACTTGCTAGTTTAGAATTTCGAACATTCACCAATTTGCAAAATTAAACATTTGAGAATCCAGCAATTCAGTAGTTTAGAAATTTGAACATTCACCAACTTGCTAGTTTAGAATTTCGAACATTCACCAATTTGCTAAATTAAACATTTGAAAATCCAGCAATTCAATAATTTAGTAATTTGAAAATTCACCAATTTGCTAGTTTAGAATTTCGAACATTCACCAATTTGCAAAATTAAACATTTGAAAATCTATCAATTCAATAATTTAGAAATTCGAGAATTCACCAATTCACTAATATAGAGCCTTAAAAATTCAGCAATTTAATTTAAAAATTAAAAAATTCATCAACATCTGCTTTCAATGTCCCCAAAAGCTGCTTAATGATTCAGAAATCTATAATACCGATAATACCTATAATTCCCTTGCGCCTGATAATGAATGTACAAAGGGCGGTAAAGTCCTTTGATACTCCGTCGATGATGAACATTGTAAAATACTGCGAGACCTCGCTCTCTCATAGCATTCGAATTAGGTCAGCATATTTTAAATGATTCCATTGATAATTAAGCTATACTGTGAATCATATTGTTAAATCAAGGAATGCTGTCTGATTTGTTCGACTAGCACGATACTCCATTCGTGGAATTAATTTACATGTGCGTGAGTTGCACCGACGCGGCACGAATTATTTTCAATGGCACAACCGGAAACAATAATCGCCGTGATATCTATGAAACGTGTTCAAATTTTCGTAATGATTTCAGCGTGAATTTGTTTCGCTAAATACGGCATTTCGAAACTTGTACCGCGTTTAATAATTTAATCGATATTCCAATGCAGTTGTCTCTGATGAAAATGATTGCTGGACGTATTACACCGTTATAAATTACACTTTACAGGATTTTTAACGACGTTATAATTTGTTAATGAAGTTTTTCTAGGTTAAATGCGACTAGTTGCAAAATATTTAAAACATTTTATATTCCACATTTGAAATTTCATATTTTGAATTCCGTGGTTGAATAAATAGAATTGTGAAACTACTAAAATGTTGCAAATTTATTATATAATACAGGACTTTTAGTGATATTAAGATTTTGAAATAAATTTTTTCTAGATTCAATATAACTGATTATAAAATATTTAAAAAATTTCATATTCTATGTGGTGAAATAAATAAAATTGTAAAATTAGTAAAATGTTACAAGTCCATTGCACGATACAGAATTTTTAGTAATATTAATCCTTTGCAATAATTTGAAATAAGCATTATTTAACTAATTCTGTAATAGTACTCTTGCGATATATAAGCACAGTGAAACAGACAATAAGGGAAATTATTAGTTTAGAAATAATAACCTCAAAAGAACTCATTTAACATTTTAATTAATAAGTTTCAAGGTTGCTGTTTGCAAACAATAAAATTATCTTCGAATGCAATGTGTTAAAGTTTTGAAATGAAATTTTTCTAGTTTCAGTATAACTAGTTATAAAATATTTAAAAAATTTCATATTCTACGTGGTGAAATAAATAAAATTGTAAAATAGTTATGGAATTTGTGTAGCAAACACTTGATTCGATTTATCACAGTTTATTATCGTTTCAATGTTTTTTTCGATATAAACTTTAGTTTTAGATAAGAAAGATAAGATATGTACTTTTAACAGTTTTTTATTAGTGGCTTAGGAATTGTTTAAAGTGATATCATTGCAATTATAAATACTGTTCTTAAAGATTAGCTTTAACAATTTCTGAACTGTTCTTAAAGTTAATCTTTAAAGTTAATCTCTAAAGTTAATCTTTAAGAACAGTTTACTTCGCATATTTCATTTAATTTTTATAGAAACTAATCTCGAATAAAAACATTATAGAAACTTTGTAGAATATAAATATAGAAGAAAATATAAAAATAGGAACTGAGTTGCCTGATTATTAAAAATTTCTTTCGAATAAAATTCAGCAAATTAGTAATTTAGAAATTTGAAAATTGTGCAACTTGCTAATTTAGAAACTTTAAAGTATAGCAATTTGTTAGTTTAAAAACTTGAGAATTAAATAACTTAATTGTTTAGAAACTTGTGAATTTAATACTTTGGTAATTTAGAAACTTTAAAGTTTAGCAATTTTCTAGTTTAAAAATTTTTCAATTCCACAACTTTTTAGGTTATAAATATGGACATTTAGATATTTGCTAAATTCGATATTTGTCAATTTAGCAGCTTAGAAATTTGAAAATTTCGCAATGCACTAGTTTAGAAACTTGAAAATTCAATAACTAGGTTGTTTAGAAATATATGAATTCAATATTTTAGTAATTTAAGAATGAGAGAGTTCAGTAAATTGCTGGGTTAGAAAAATTGAAATCCAGTAATTTTCTAGGTTAGAAATTTCAGCACTCAGCAATTTGCTAAATTAGACGTTAGAAAATTCAGCAAATTAAATATTTGAAAATATAGCAGTTTACTAGTTTAGACACTTGAAAATTCAATAACTAGGTTGTCTAGAAATATGAGGATCCAATATTTTAGTAATTTAAGAATGCGAGAATTCAGTAGATTGCTCTGTTAGAAACTTTGAAATTCAGCAATTTTCTAGGTTAGAAATTTGAGCACTCAGCAATTTGCTAAATTACACATTTGAAAATTCAGCAATTTAAAAATTACGATATTCACCAACTTTCTAACTTAGAATCTTCAAAATTCAGTAACTTATTAGTTTAGAAATTTGAATATCCAATTTGTTATTTTAGAAGTTTACAATAATAAATTTCATCCAAACAAAAAAGTAGTATCTGAAGAACATAAAAACCAAACCAAAAAATACGAAAACAAGAATGGAGTTGCTTAGTTACCAAAAATAGACGTTTAAACATTTTTAAAAGGAAGTAATTTGCAATAAATGTGTTGAACGTGATAAATCACGCAATGGTACACGTGTTATCAATTGCGAGTGTAATTTAACGAGTCCTGAATCACAGCGGTAGAAATGTAGATCCTTGTTTTCGATAAATTGTGAGAAAACATTAATTTGAACGGGTTAAATGCGGTTGTTCCTAAAGTCGTAATCCACGGGTCTGTGATCATCGTTTATTACGAATAAAGAGTTACATCCAGTGACCTTGTTACTGCCCACAGAATGACGATTAACGACGAGTACTATTACGTACGAGTCGTGTTTAATGCAACCTTTAATAAATCCATATTATAGGCAGATTTAGTAGCCACGTTTTTATTCATCGCGCGGAAGAAGGAATTTTAAACAGGGTATTTTTACGTTCGGGAATAATGGTAATTTAACGGTTTTTCACGTAAACCAAGCATTAACAGTTTGTAACAGTTTCTTTCGAGATCAATTATGGCTATTTATTCTGAGATTAAGTAACTTTTTCGTCGTTGTTCTTGATAATTTTAACAAGTAGGGATTTTCATAATTTTTTAGAATAAATTTTTATGTTGTAAACTAATAATTTTCTTGGAGTTTCTTTTACTAAATTTGAATAATGTAAGTAGTTATAATTATTTGATAGTTTAAAGCATTTTTGAGTTTACATTAAAAATAATAATTTTCTTAGAGTTTCTTTTTCTAAGTTTGAATAAGTATTTGATAACTTAATTCTTTTGTGAGAAGAAACGTTTAAATTAGGAAGTAATAGTAATTTTCTTTGAATTTTCTTATTACTAGTTAAGTAAACAATATTTCTTGAAATTTAATGAAATTTTTCTTTCACTCGCTTGATAACTATTTAAAAATAATAGGAAAATAGTGCAGAATATAAAATAATAATTTAATGACTTTGAAGGACAATGAAATTAAGATATTATTGTTAGAACAATTTTCTGTGAACCTAAGTGTAATTTTTTATATAAAATTAAAGTAATACCTGCTATGTTTGCATAACTTAAATAATTATGGTTACTTAAGAACTTAGTATGTTAATTTAAATATTTTAAGAGTTGAATGTTTTTGTACTTTTTCAATTGTTAAGTCAAGCCTAATATTAACGATTTAATTATTAATCACAATTTTTCTTGCTTTGCTGGACCGGGATACGTTTTGGATTGAATAATGGTAATTCAATAACTTCTGACATAATTAATGCATTAATATAATTATTGTTAATTTCCTTTTACTTAATTATAATTATTAATTTGTAAGGAAAACTCAATATTCAAATTTTGAAAATTAATTATTCGAAAGTATCTGCAAACAAATATTGTTTATATTAAATTTTAGATAGTAACTGTTTAAAAATACTTGTAAGAAAATACTGTCAATCTTATTAATGATATTGTTAATTGCTGAAAAGATGTTTCCCAATATTTAAATTTTGAATCATAATTATTTATAAGTGCCTGTAAAACGATATTGTGGATATCTGACATACATTATTGACACTGTTAATAGTTGAACAGATGTCTATATTTGATGTGCAATCAAAAGTTGACTTTACTGATTAAATTTTCAGGTGTGTTCTTGATTCCCTACTTCTTGATACTTATAGTATGTGGAGTACCATTATTGTACATGGAACTTAGTATTGGACAATTCACACGACGAGGACCGATCGGTGCTATCGGTCAAATTTGTCCTCTATTTAAAGGTATACCAATTTCTCAATGTTTTATGCATAATTGTACCATTCAAATAATTACAGTATTATTACATCGCACAATAACAATTCAAAACGTTCAAGTATTTCATAAAATTTCCACTTAAATCAACTACTAAAAACTATTAACATTAGGTGACACGACACAAATATAACACGAGACGTGTTATTTTGACACATTTCGAATTTTTTTAGGAAAATTACAAAAACCGTTCGCATTTTTATTTTGTCTCTTGTACTGACTTTTATCCATTGAACGATGTAAATATTGAAGTCTATTTTCTTCAAAAGCATTGAAATATTGAAATTTGCTATGTTATACCTATCTCTACGTGCGTCAATTTGACGCGATCGTAGTGTAAATAAAATTTTTAGTAAATTAGTTTTACCCATGCAAAAATTACAACAATAATAAATATGAATGCACCGACAATACCTTATAAACGACGGACTTTGCTAGACCGGAGTCGCACGCGGCCGGCTCAGCCGCGATCGACTCAGCCGGTATGCCGAGTTCGGACCCGGCGTCGCAGTACAAATTGCAGTACGCAGGGTAGAGGGTGGTAAAAATATGAATGTAGAATATTGAAGTAATGTACTAAAATATTATTGAATAATAAAAACTTCCTATAAATATATATCTCCTATTTTCATTTCTTGTAGTGTTTAATTACATTGCTTTCTAAGTGGTTGTTTTTCTTTAAACATATGTATTCGTTCAAATTGACGCGTGCTCTTAGAGATAGGTATATAAGAAATGTCCGTAAACTTAGTGTTAAAGTAAATTTAAAAAATTTCTAATCTACACATACAAAATAAATAATTTTAATTATCTAGTATAAATCAAATTTCAATCTCTCTAAAAATATTACTCTAATATTTATATTATTTATTTATATTTTTTAATATAATAGTATTTCTGTAATCTAGTCCAGTAACATCTTTTAAATATTATACAATAATATTTTATATTGTTCAATGTTTTCTAAATATTTTTGAAATATTCAATAATATTAACAAGCATTATAATAACACAAATATTAAAAAATTATTAATATTTGAAAATACATACAGACATTTCCAAAATTAACTTGAAATACATCATAGTCTGTAAAAAGGTTCATCGATCAATTAAAAAGTTCAGCTTCCTCTAACGAACGTAAAATCGATAATAGAAAGCAAAATATTTGTTCAAACAGGAGCAGGTCTATCTTCAGTAGTAATATCGTTTCTGATGTCGACCTACCATAATGTGATAATAGCCTACGCCATATATTATTTCTTCGCGGCGTTCCGAGCGAAACAACCATGGTCGGACTGCGATAATTCATGGAACACATTGGCATGTTGGTTACCGGCTTACAGCATCTTAGATAACCGTACAAGACCCAACGCTTCCAGAACACCGTCCGAAGAGTTTTTCGAGTAATTTCTTTAATTACAAAATCGATTATCAATATTGCTTTACTAGGTTAATATATAGTGTATCTCTAAAGTTGCACCTCACCTTTATATTTTGCAAACGGCTTCAATATGAATTCAAGACTTTAAATACAGAAAAATATTTTAAACAAAACTAGTAAGATATCAAGGAGGACAATAAGATGGTGGTAACATTTTGATCTTGGATGATAGTTTTCACCTTCATCTTCAGTGAACGTCATCTTCAGTTTCTTGGATAGAATTCCCCATTTTTTATTTCATATTCTTATAGTCCTCGTCAGAACGTTTTCAAAACACTATTTATGTTTTGTGCAAGTCATTCGTAAAATATGAAGCTTCAAACTTGACATACGTCGGCATTCGCATTACCCAGGAAAGTAGGATCAGATGTGTGGCGTCCTCCTACGCTCATCGCCACTAGACCGCGCATGAGACCGAGACGACTTTCTCGTTAGTGCTCGACGTTCTCTCCCTCTCCTTCATTTTTCCTAACCCTTCCACTCACTAGCGAAACCGCCAAAGATGTGTGCTACTTATGTGTCGACTTTGAAGCTTCACATCTGAAGAATGGCTTACACAAAAACAAACATAGTGTTTTAAAAACGTCCAAGGGTTACAAGAATGTGCAATAAAAATGAGTTCTATTTAAAAAACTGAAGATGTTCACGCGATTCTCAGACGACCATCCAAGGTCAAATTATTACGACCATCTTATGTACACCTTGATGTCACATAATTTTTGTCTGACACATTTTTCCATAATTAAAAGCATTTTCAAAATGTAAGGATGGATTTGGATTTTAGAGATATTCTGTATATCAATTTGATGGTTTAAAGTCAGACAGTGTCACCCCTTACTTTGACTGCTGTGTCACCGATATATGATGTTTAAATTTCCATATGAATCTATCATTTATAATCTATATTATCAAGAATTTGTTCAGTTACCTATTTGGAACTCCAGTTATTAACTTCTTGGAACTATGAATAATAAATATAGGAAAAATTGTGAATTCGGTATGATTTGTTAAAAATAAAAAAATTACTCGGTTAAGTTTGCAACTTCAGTCTAGCAGTCAATGTGTTAACCTATGATTTTTTTAACAATTACATCAATTAGAGGTAAATTTATCGCTGCAGTGTTGAGAAAAAGAAAAGTCGAAATGTTAAGTATATTTTGGGTTTAGCAGTTTTTAATTTTGCAAATTATGATTAGTATTAAACTTCAGAATCAATTAAGGTGCAAATACGATTTAGGGTTGTATCTCAACTGTAATATGCGTTACGAGAGTGGCACGATATTATAAGCTCAGGGGTTAAATCCAGAAACAATAAACTGAAAGTAGACAACGCTGTGTCTGATTAGTGTTCTTTGACTATCAATAAATTCCACAAAATAAAACTTTTAAATTATTCATTTTTTTATAATTTTATAGCCGAAACTTATGACTTTTCTGGTCGTAAATCTGTCGATACAAACAGCGAATTTTAGAAATGAACGTCTGATTCTAAACCCTCGAATTTTAGGAGAATTGTTATCAAGTAAGCTATTAATAGTGATATAAATCTGATAGTCTTCGTAAGAAATCTTGAAAAGGATTTAAATAGAAGTTGACGGGTTTTGCTGAAATAAAGAAATGTATAGATTTTTTGCTTAATTTTTTAACATTGTGAAAAACAGCGGTTCTCAAACTTTTTATGAATGTCTTCAAAATAAAAATTTAAATACTTGATGTTATGTATGAATTGTATAATGGTTTGGTAAGATTAATTTTTTAATTTAGAGGTTTGGTAACTTGGAAATTTAGAAATTTGACACTTTACAGATTTAGGAATTTAGTTATTTGGAGATTTTGTGATTTCAGACTTTGGATTTTTGCACTTTTGTAATTTAAAAGTTTAGAAGTTTAGAAATTTGGAAATTTGGAGATTTGGATATTAGAAAATTTAGAAGTCTAGGAATTTAAAATTTTTTAAATTTGAAATTTTGAGAGTTTGGAAATTAAGGTAATTCAAAATGTAGGTGTTTGATAAGTTGAAACTTCAGAATGTGGAAATTTTAAGATTTAGTACCTTTACAATTTGGGGATTTGCTAATTTGAAAATTTTTTAAAATTGAAATTTGGAAATTTAGAGCTCTAATAATTTGAGAAATTAAAAATTTAAAGATATAATCATTTGGAAAATAAGAAATTTAGATATAATAATTTGAAAATTAAAAAATTTAGAGATTTAATCATTTGGCAAATTAGAAATTTAAAGATATAATTTGAGAAGTTGAAAATTAGTAACTTTTAAAATATCAAGTATTTGATATACTAATACCATATTGGAAAGAGGATTTCTAGAGACCCTAATCCCTATCTAATTCCACAATAGCCATTCACACCATTTATTGAAAACCGCTGACATAAAATACATAAACAATCCTATAGAATACAAAAAATTCTACAATTTATTTCATCTTTTCCACAAAACAATTATCAAAATAATCTGCTAAGAATTATATTAACCTGCAACGTTATATTGTATGAAACTACAGCAACAAGGTACTCCAGATCAGCAACGGTATCGAGGAATCTGGAGCACTTAGGTGGGAACTAGTTGCTTGTTTAATTACTGCCTGGATTATGGTGTATTTCTCTGTTTGGAAATCCATTAAATCATCAGCACAAGTGAGGTACCTTACAGCAACTCTGCCGTTCGTTTTGATCGTCGTCTTTCTCACACGGTCCCTCACCCTTGAAGGTGCTGACAAGGGCCTGCAATTTTTCTTCCACCCTCGCTGGGAACTTCTCTCCGACGCAAAGGTATATTAATAAAATAACAAGATACTTTATTTTCTTATTTTGATGCGTCTCGAATTTACTAATATGTACAGGGTGTACTATAAGGGGAGGTTCAATTCTAAGACTGGTCAAATTTTTCAAAATCTAAGTGTTTGATTGTTGAAACTTCAGAATGTACAAATTTTAAGATTTAATCTAAATGTCAAATTAGGATCAACGTGAACTCTCAACGGATCTCATATGAAATTTTACAAATTAAGATCACTCTAAATTTTCAATAGATTCCATCACTGATCTCCCGAATTAGAATCATCCTGAACTCTCATGGATCTCATCTAGGATCTCCCAAATTAGAATCACCCTGAATTCTAAGTAGATCACATCTAAAATCTCCCAAATTAGGATCATCCAGAACTCTCAATGGATCTCACCTAGGATCTCTCAAATTAGGATCACCCTGAATTCTGAACAGATCCCATCTAAAATCTCCCAAATTAGGATCATCCAGAACTCTCAATGGATCTCACCTAGGATCTCTCAAATTAGGATCACCCTGAATTCTGAACAGATCCCATCTAAAATCTCCCAAATTAGGATCATCCAGAACTCTCAATGGATCTCACCTAGGATCTCTCAAATTAGGATCACCCTGAATTCTGAACAGATCCCATCTAAAATCTCCCAAATTAGGATCATCCAGAACTCTCAATGGATCTCACCTAGGATCTCTCAAATTAGGATCACCCTGAATTCTGAACAGATCCCATCTAAAATCTCCCAAATTAGGATCATCCAGAACTCTCAATGGATCTCACCTAGGATCTCTCAAATTAGGATCACCCTGAATTCTGAACAGATCCCATCTAAAATCTCCCAAATTAGGATCATCTTGAGCTCTCAATGGATCTCATCTAGGATCTCCCAAATTAGGATCATCCTGAACTCTCAATGGATCTCACCTAGGACCTCCCAAATTAGGATCACCCTAAACTCTGAATAGATCCCATCTAAGATCTCCCAAATTAGGATCATCTTGAACTCTCAATGGATCTAATCCAGGATCTCCCAAATTAGGATCATTCTGAACTCTCAATGGATCTCATAGGATCTCCCAAATTAGAATCACCCTGTACTCTGAATAGATCCCATCTAAGATCTCCCAAATTAGGATCATCCCAAGTTCATAAATCCTATCTTACGCTTCTCAAATTAAAGTAACTCTGAATTTGCCTTGAGTTTCTCTAGAATCCCCCTAAATTACGTTCTTACTATACTCTCATTAAGCTCTTCCTGACCTCCCCAACTTAGGTCACTTCCAATCACCAAACTATTATTTGTGCATACACAATACATCAAAGTTATACCCATGTATTATGGTACACTCTGTGCAATTAGAAGCCGTTTATAATTTTACGAATTCAAAATGAAATTACTAATTAAATACTTCAAATTACAATTGAATTCATCATACTAGTATTATGAATTATAAAAAATAATTGAATGATAATTACAGTACGTGATAATAAATAAGATATAATAAGTGTACAATATAATATACTGTTGAATTTTTAAATCTTTTTCTCGAAAATGTAAACAAGAAACATACATTAATTACACCTAATAAATTAACCATTCTTATGGCACCTAAAGAGATAATTTTTGCTAATGTTCTGTTGGAACAATAATTTTTCAGGTGTGGATCAACGCTGCAGCACAGATTTTCAACTCCGTCGGCATAGCGTTCGGTTCGATGATATGTTTCGCTAGCTATAATAAATTTCACAACACAATTTTAGTTGATAGCGTAGCTGTCTCGCTTATTAACGCGTTTAGTAGTTTGCTAGTTGGAATATTTTCATTCGCGACCATCGGCAACATCGCTGTCGAACAAAATATGTCTGTTGAAGCTGTCCTAACAGATGGTGAGTGTAATCCTCTGCTACCTCATTTGCAATTATAATTTCATTCTTCAATAATTTGTACAATAGCAATCTTGATAACATACGTTCTGCTACGAGTATAAATATGGAGTTTACAAACTCATATTCATTCTTTCATAAGTTGAAATATTCAATTTTCTGCTTTCTCCTTTTTATTATTCTTATTTTACATTTCCTGACAGGATATCTCACGATATAATAAATGTTATAAATTGTGACACGATGTTATAAATTGTGAGATTATATGTAATTACAATCGTATATTGTTATATAATAATATTATTGGTATAATTATATATTATTATATACTAATATGATGTTTGTAATTAAATATTATTACATACTCATGTGGTTGCTATTACATTATAGTTGTTTACTTATAATTATGATTGTAATTACAATATGCAATATGATATGAAAGTTCACATATTCCAGCTGAAAAATTTCTAATTAACATTAACTACATAGGTGTGAAAAATATCTATTAACAATAAAAAGCAGCATTTACGATTGAACACATAAATTATGAAAATAGAAATATCTTCATAGACATTTAATCATACAATTAGAAACCACGAGAACTGTCAAAGTTGTAAAATAAATATAATAAAAAATAAAAAGTAATATATATTTATTTTAATATAGAGTGATACATTTTTATTTAAATAAAAAATGATACATTCTTATTTTTTCAATAACCAAAAAGAAGGAAGAACAACTTCGCGAAATATCAATTAAATAACAAAACATTAAAATTCATAGAAAATAATCAATTAACATCGTCAGTGCAGATTTTATGTATATTCACTTAATGTCACACGGATTTCTCAGCCGAATTATTTATTTAAATATAATATATATGTTAATAAATATGTTGCAAGTTTACGAAGCACATTTCAGCATGATTGATGTACATATGTGAGCGACATCAAAATTTGTGAAACTGTTATATAAAACATTTAACATATTCCTGTCTGAGTGGTGTCAGTCAATGTCAGATTAACTTCTCCTGCAATTTTATAGACAAATCATAATTTCCGTTCAAGGACCTGGTCTTGTATTCGTCGTTTACCCGCAAGCGCTAGCCAAGATGCCAGCATCTCAAGTGTGGGCCGTGTTATTTTTCTTTATGCTAGTCTGCCTTTCTTTGAATAGTCAGGTATGTCACGATTTTATACAGATTGATTGATTAATTAAAATACGAATTCTGTAAAATTAAAATGCGAATACATTAAAATTGTCTTGAATCAAAGTACAGTAGACTCGTTGTATGTCTTGGGTTGTTTTCGTTTATCTTCGGTTGTCTTCGTGAATCATCGTTACAATGGAGGGAAAATACCATTAATGCGAAGTTTGCGTAATGGCAATATATTAAGAGTCTATAATAAAAATGAGTTTATAAACGAATGTAATTCTTTGAAATATATAAACATATAATTATAAATGAAATAAGTGAAATAATTATGTACAGTAAATGAAAATAATTATGATAGGAACTATGATAGAATAATAATAATTATGATAGAATGGATACATAATCGAAATGAAAGAAACAAAAATAGGCAATTGAAATATGACAAAATAGGAAAATAATTGAAATAATAATAAATATATTACTAAAATTATTATTTGTTGTATACTGTATTTATTATATATTAGACAATGAAAATAGCAGGAACAATAAAAAATAGGTGATCGAAGTAATTGAAAACAGCAACAAACATAATCGAACTAAAAATAAATAAATTCTCACATTACTAGAATTATTTATAAATAATTAAAACAATTTAGTAATCGTTATTTTGTATTAAAACATTTTAATACTTCACTTCATTTCAGTTTGCAATAATGGAGGTGGTCGTAACATCGATACAAGATGGCTTTCCAAAGTGGGTAAAGCGTCATCTCGTGTGCCACGAGACGTTAGTACTTTTAATATGTGTCATATCCTTTTTATTTGGACTACCTAACATTACTCAGGTAAAACTACAAATCTTTACACTAAATCGCTTTTGTAAATCACCAAACTTTCTTCTGATTAAAATGTAAATGACGCAATTTATATTTATTGATGCGTTCTTGTGAGCAAAATTGAAAAGTTGAAGTCTTTCTTATTAACAGAATATAAGATTTAAATTTTTCTTATGAATAAAATATAGAACTTAAATGTTTCTTGCGAACAAAATATAGAATTCAAATCTTTCTTCTGAGCAAAATATGAAATCTAAATCTTTCTTATGAACAAAATATAAAATCTAAATCTTTCTTATGAACAAACTATGAAACCTAAACGTTTCTGGTGAACAAAATATGAAATCCAAATCTTTTTTATGAACAATATATGAAACCTAAATGTTTCTTGTGAACAAAATACGAAACCTAAATCTCTCTTATGAACAAACCCTTCTTTTAAACAAAATATAAATCACAAATTTTCCCCACGAGAAAAATGCAAAGAAATGTTTTCGTTACTTTCAGGGTGGCATCTACTTCTTTCAATTAATAGACCACTACGCAGCCTCGATATCGATCATGTTCCTCGCTTTCTTCGAGGTGATCGCAATATCATGGTGTTACGGTGTTCGACGATTGAGTAATAACGTAAAAGAGATGACTGGACGTGTGCCCTCCTCTTATTTTCGATTTTGTTGGCGTATCGCTGCACCTCTTCTTATCATGGTAAGTGCCCGTTTGTCAATACAGATAATTGATAAACGCGAACAAAAATCGCGACATTTATTACAGCATTATCTTCCTCCCTATCGGCATTTAAAAATGGTTGTTACATGATTTTTTGGGACGTTCATTTGTGCTGATAATCTGTAAACAAAGTCGTAAAACGATTGAATTATTTGCTGTAATATTTGCATCATACTTTTTAAAGATATTTGATAATCAAAGTCGTAAAAATCTACAAAAAACGTGCTACATTTCTTTACAATAAACATATAAAATATACTTTTTACTTAGAAATTTGATAATGAAAGTCGTAAAACGTCCACGAAATCTGCGCCAAACGTCCTACATTATTTTTTTTCGGTAAATATCGAAATCGTTTTCACATAAAGATATTTGATAGCAAAAGTCGTAAAACGTATTTACCAGACGATTTAACGACATTTTTTTTAATAATAAATATCTACATCGTACTTTTCGTACAAACATTGGTAAACAAAGTCGTAAAATGTACGTGCGTCAAATAACATACATGTATTACAGCGAATGTCCAACTATTTGCATAAAAATATGTGATAAATGAATTGAATTCGCCGCATAATCTTCTATGATTATAAACTTTATTTTTGAAAGCAACTGGATTTCTGTAAATCACTCTCTGTTTCAGGCTGTGTGGGTATTCAGCTTAATTGATTATGAACCACCGACCTACCACAATGGAGAGTACAAGTACCCATGGTGGGCTGAGGCTATTGGTTGGGGAATAGCTTCTCTTTCACTCATTTGCATTCCAGCTTTCGCTATTTACGAGTTCGCCAAAGCCAATGGCAACACATGCATTGAGGTATAATGAAGAATTTATGTGTACACTTGAGAACAACGTAGGATTCCTATAATTACATAGCTAACAAAACAATGTGGAAAATATGAAGGTTCTTTCTTCTCTGAGTTATTAGAAACTAGGTTGTACTTGTTTCTTTTTTTAATTCTATCAGATTAGGTTGTATTTGGATTCTTTCTGAAATTTTGAAAATTAGTTTGTATTATATTTGGTGTCTTTCTAAATTCTACCAAATTAGGTTGCATTTGGACATTGCTCTAGTTCTCAGTTTGATCTACTAAATTAGGTTCATTCTAGATTTTCCTAGATCCACTATATTTTTTCAAATTAGATTATATTTAAATTTTTTCTAAATTCTTTCAAATTAGGTTGCATTTGAAATTTTCCTAAATTCTCCCAACTTAGGATATATTTGCATTCTTCCTCAATTTTACCAAATTGCACTCTTTCTGTATTTTATTTTGGGTTGTAAAATAAGACTGTAAGTTCTCCTAAATTAGGTTATATTTGTTTTTTTTTTCTAAATTCTCCCAAATCACACTCTTCCTGGACTCTACTAGGATTCTATTTAGAATCTTTTGACTTAGGCTCCCTCTGAATTCCCCTACGTCCACTATGAGTTCTCCCAAATTAGGTTATATTGGTTTTTCTTTCCAAATCTTTCCAAATGACACTCTTCCTGGACTCTACTAGTATTCTATTTAGAACCTACTGACTTACCTCCCTCTGAATTCCCCTAGATCCACTATAAGTTCTCCCAAATTAGGTTATATTCGGGTTCTCTCTAAACTCTTTCAAATGATACTCTTTGTGGACTCTAAACTCCAAGCTAAATCTACCAAATTAGGCTATTTCTAAATTCTCCATGTGTCCTAAAATCTATCATGTTAGTTTCTTTGAAAATTTCCCTAGATCCATTATAGATCCTCCCAAATTAGTTTCTTTTGAATTTCTCTTAAGTTCTGTTTGGGATCCCCCAATTAGGCCCTACCTATATTCTCCATTAATTTTTCCTAAATTTGACCAAATTAAATTTTTCCCAAATTCTTCATTAATCCTAATTAAGATCTATCAAGTTAGGATCTCTCTTAAATCCATTACTCTCAAGTTTCCCTTAAATCCATTATAAATCTTCCCAAAGTAGTTTCTTCTGGATTTCTCTTGAGTTCTATTTGAGATCTCCCAAATTAAGCTCTGCTTCTTCATTAATTCTCCTTAGACTTCTCAAATCAAATTTTTCCTAAATTCTGTTTATCCCTTCTGAAATCTCTCAAATTAGAATAATATAAAATTATCCCAAATGACACTCTCCTCAAATTCTCACTAAATTTTTCCTACACACTCCCAAATTAGATTCTCCCTAAACTCTCCCTAGATTCTGCCTCAAATATCTTTGTACTTTTCCTAAATATTCTGAAAATGGACTACAAAAGTAATTATTGCTTCTGTTATAAGCATATGAATCCTACATTGTACTCAAATGTATATATACTATGTATAACACTATGTATCGACCTTTATAAATATTCTCTGAATTCCAGAAATTACGAAATTCCGTCAAGCCGCATTTCGAAGCCTGCAAAATCTGCGGTCAGGAATACTGCACAGATCCTATGCACAATTTCGATGAAGATTTGATCAAAGAACAACCGGACGCGAACATCCCGATACAACTGAATACCAATAGTCTGTTACCCAAATCGCAGACATGAAAATACTTCGAATTCACAAATATCTTCCAATGTACAAAGTGTTCTTGCTGAGATATTTATGGCACTTTTTAGAAAGATAGAGGTCACCGCAAAATTCGATATTCTTCTTTTTTTTTATTATGAGGCATGCCAGATTCCAAGGCCACATATTGTTACATGACGTGTAGAGTATAAATGATGTATAGGATTTAAAAAATTGCTATGAAACTCAAATTAGTTGTAAATCATCATGCGAACTCATTATACCAGCTTGAGGACATTCCATTGACATTCCATTAACATTCCATTCCATCACAACGATTTATTCGCGAGCATCGAAGCAGAATATTACTCTGTTGTTTTTCATTCTTGCGAGAAATAATATAGGACGTTTCAAAAATGACGGTACCAAAAGCGTATTAAATTATTCCTAAATTACGTTAAACAAAATTTAATTTCGAAACGAACTCGTCGAATGTATCTGGTTTTTATCCAGGTTTTTATCTTAATTTATAGCGCTTGTCGATTAATTAAAAAATTTGTAATTTATTGTTTTATCTTCCGTTTATTTGGGTGTAAAATGTGTAGCTTTCTGGTTGTACCGTCCTTTTTGCAATAGCTTGTAGGAACTTACATTGATCGTTTAATGCACTGCAATTAATAAATAATCGATGTATCATAAACGTAGGTAAAAAAGTATGAAATATCAACGAGTACAAATACGTGTAAATTTAATCGAGTAGCATCGACGAGACCGTATCTAATACAATAAAAAATGTGTGTTTGGATAAGCTTATTAACAACATGACTGTACACGTGATAAAAGAATGCAATAATCGTTGAAATGTGATACCGTCGTATATCGATTTTTAAGAAGTAAGATATTACTTGTCGTACAAAGTCAAAATTGTCAGTAACAGAAAACACACGATGAACACGGTAGTTTGTAATTACTCAGAACTGTAATAAATTATTACGTTCTTATATTCTTGTTTTTCTTCATACCTATATTATACTACTAAATTAACCATGATAAATTATAAAACTATACATAGAATTTGTAAAATTACAAAGTTAATACAAATTATACAAATTCATAATTATAAAATTATTCATATTCATATGTATTTTTCACTACTAAAATATTTTATTATTAAAATATATTAAAGTATGTTTAATAACATTGTATTAATTATTCAAGTATGATAATACTATTAGTTTAAGAATATAACCAAATCTTATTCACAACATTGTATTAAATAACTTAAATATGATAAATTATCCTCATTTCACATCTTACAATAGCATATTATTTAAACTTAATAAATTATACTGTCACTGTTTAAAAACGTGTTCCTTTTTATTTTGCAATAGTGTATTAAATTATATAAATATGATAAAACTCTCACCGTTTAAAAATATATTCATATCTTTTAAATAGTGCTATACTCAATTATTTAAGCACACTAAATCTTGCTATCATTCTGAGACTATGCTCACATCTATTTCACAATAAATATATCAAATTACACAAATATGTCAAATTGTACTACCATTGTTTAAAAATGTCTTCCAATTTTCACACTGTAGCAAATTATTTAAGTACAGTAAATTAAAATACTACTATTTTAATTAGCCTACCTATTTAACTTCAATTTTAATTTAACACATAGTAATTTAATTTTAACTTAACACAGAGCAATTTAATTACTGTGTTCACAATTTTATATACTGAATTTTTCAAATTACTTAACAAATTTAAAATCTCAGTTTCTCTTTATTACATGTCCGAAACGTTACTAAAAACGTGAAATAAAATTAATTTTCTGTGCACGTGTCTTTTTCACGTGTACCTTATACTTATATAATTTACATGAAAACCTTTGCTACTCCGAGTGAATCCCCATACGTTAAATTGGATTGAACTAATCGAGTTATGCGCCTCTAAAAGAAAAACTTTCGCGACCGAATCGAGTCATTCGAGTGTAGTACAACCTCGAGTTCGTTTCAAACTACTATTTCGTTTGTTGACTAAACAACGAAGTCAACAACATGACAAAGAAGTTCGAGTTCAATTGGCAAATCGAAGTGCCGGCGTTGTTGAAGAACGGTTCGACGTTCGATCGATGGTTTGAAGACAAAGAAACAACCGAATATGAACCTAATTGTTTATTTAAAGTCGATGAATACGGGTTCTTTATTTATTGGAAGAGCGAGGGCAAGGTAAAACAAATTTTTAATACCATCACTTTTATTATTAACAAATGAGCAGGTGAAAATTTTTAAATATTTGCAAATGAATTTAGAACTTACAACTTAGAGAAACAAAGGTCGTTCTTTTTAAATATTTATGAGAGCTAAGTATTTTTTTTTAACTACTTGTATTTAAATTTAATTTAAATTGAAAACTCTATTTAAAATTTTATCCTTATGTATTTAATTTATATATATTTGAATTATTAATAAGTATTGAGAAATAATTATGCATAGGATTGAGAAATAAATATGTACAATGTTTACATAAATTGTTTAAAATTCATTCAAGAATAAAATATTTTTCTTATAGAAAGCAGCCCTTAAGTTACAACCCTTATTTAAATATTTGATACATCAAAGTTTATAATTGAAAATAAATAAAAGTAATCATTAGATAAATATAAAGTCAGACAAATGTATAATTAACAAGAATTTGTTATGTAGGATGGGGATGTGATAGAGTTAGCTCAAGTGAGCGATATTCGTTACGGCGGTACGCCAAAGGTAATTATAATAATTATTTACTTTTAATTATTACAAGTTCACTAATTCAATTTTACAATTTAACTTTAGGATCCCAAATTGTGTAATAAGATAGGCAAACATGGGTCGATGGATGATATAGATCAAAAAAGTTTAACTATATGTTCGGGTATCGATTATACCAACATTCATTATCAACACGTTATATGTGCGGACGCACAAACAGCAAAGGTAATAAATAAAATAGTTAAAATATGTTAAACATTGACTATTCATAGAAATGGTTGAACTGAAAGTTTTTTATTGAATATTTGATTAGGATTGGCAAGCTGGTTTGCGATTAATTACGCACAATACGAAAGCTTCGAACGTTTGCCCTACGACTCAACTGATGAAACAGTACGTATTTATTATTTGATATAATAAATAGTTTGTTATTTAGTGCATTACTAAATAAGTGAAATTTTTTAAATTATGATAGAAGGGGGGTTTTGAAAGTCTACTATAAAATCATGACAGTATTGTTAAAGAAATATGTAAAAGAATTTTTTAATAACATAGTCATTTATTAATTATGATAGAACAGGGATTTTAAAAAATATTATCGTAAAATTATAACAGTGTTTTTCATGTAAATATTTTTGAATAACTGTTACACAGACATAGAATTATCTCTCAAGTTGAAACAAATCGAATGTTTTTTTTTAATATTTACTGCGGAAATATGACACTCACCATTGGTAAATATACAAATTGGCATTTTTAAATTACGAGTTATAGAAATATTGAAATTTCGTTGTTTTCAAATGCGTGTATATTGTAAAACATGAAACCACCCTTTAGTAAACACATGAATTTGGACATTTTAAAATATCCTTCGGAAAAATATGGAACCGCCTGAGCAAATATGCAAATTGAACTTTTTTAAATGTATATGTTCCAAAGTATAAAATCACTCAACAATAAACGCGCATTTTGAATTATTTAAATATTTATTATAAAAATGCAGAAGTACCCCTCGCTGAATACGTAAATTGGAGATTTGAAATAACTGTCATAAAAATATAGAATACGCCCACAGTTAAGTAAGTAAATTTAACTTTTGTAGAAAAATATATATATTTCATGATATGAAAACCGCAATAAAAGTAAATTTCGACTACTTGAATATTCATTAAAAATATAGAAATGCGACATACAAAAATTATTAGACTCGTAAATCAACAAATAAAGGAATTTTTAAAATAGCCAACCCTCAATAAATACGCAAAATTTAGTTTTCTTTAAATATTTATCTCACATATTGAAAAATATTTACTTGATATTCTTTTTGTTCATCTAATGGTATGTTTGAAATATCTAATAAAGCTTAAAGTAATTATTTTATTTTGAAACAGCACACAACAGGTAAATCAAATGAAAATTATTGAATATTTAACTAAGCGTTAATGATTTCAATAGCCTCGAAATTTTCGCGTTATCTCTTCCGCGTTAATTTATATGTTTATTAATCAGTTGGATGAGATTGAGCTTTCAAGTGGATCCTAAAGGAAAAGTGCCGGTGAAAGTTATATCGAAAACCTTCGCCTCTGGGAAAACTGAGAAACTCGTTTATCAAGGGTTAGCTGACTTGGGTTTGCCTAGTGGAAAAGTAAGCTTCTCTTTCAATTTAATTTCCTTCTCACATAAATCAATTTCTTTTAAACAATATTCACAATAATTTCCATTATCCATTGAACGATCAGAGCAGGAGAAAACAATGTTATAAAGCACGTGATTTGCGAAACTTAAATTTAGTTTCTGTTCAAAAGTAAATGGTATTCCATTAATTTTTCTAATGAAATATTATCATATAATATTATTATTGAATTATTATTAGAAGTTTTATATAGTTTTAGTAGTTGTGTATGTTATTATATACACAAGTTTTCTCAACATCTTCTTAATTTTCAAGAGTTGAATTGAAATTATTAGTAGTATTAAACAATAATAAAATTAAGATTTTAGACTTGAATCTTTGATAATTTTAATACACTATCATTACATAATTAAAATTTGTTTATGAATGTTATTACTGTTTGAGAACATTTTAAATGTATTTGTATAATTTTGTTAAACATTAATTGATACTAAAACTTGTTAATTTTATCAACATTAAAAGAGGATATTGACATAATGCAATACTATGAATCTAACACTAAATTATTAATATAATTTTGCAAATGTAGTCCAATGAGATAGTAAAAAATTAAAGAAAAATAGCTACATGTATTTATTTATTTTCAGAGCGATAAAATAGAACCGAAAGATTTTACGTTCGATAAATTCAAAACTTTATACTTCAAAATTTGTCCAAGGAACGATATAGAAGAATTATTTCAGTCGATGTAAGTATTTAATGTAAATATTATGTAATATTATTAAAACACTTTACAATGTTGCTGTATACACAAAGGATATTATAATACATAATGTATAATTATAATATACAAAGTAACAATTGATATGCAAAGCATAATGTACATAAAATACATATAATATCAAATATTATATATAATATGCATAATACGTAAATTATTATATTAATTGTTTCCAAAATCAGTGATTAATAACAACGATAATGACGTGGTTTTATTACTTATACATATAATACATTATGCAATAATAACGATTTTAGAACAAAAGGACAATCAGACACGATCAACTTGGGCCAATTAGTGCAATTTATGAACGAGAAACAGAGAGACCCCAGGCTTAATGAAATTTTATACCCCCTTTATGATGAGAAACGATGCACGGAAATAATTAATGATTATGAACAGGATGAGAAAGCAAAGAGTTCAAGTAAGTTTATTTCTACGAAATAATAGTTATGGAATTCGATTCGTAGCTTTTATCGACGTACATTTTGAAAACTGCGATATTAACTTAACACAAATAAATAAATATCCCTTGAAATATTAATTAAAAAAAATCTTTGACTTATTCTAAAAATCTGATATTTGTTTCACAAGGAAGTCGAAAAAATTATCTTTTGCTTTCACACAAATAATTGCTTAAATTATATTAATGTTTAGTGTACGTTTTAAACAAATTATATTAACATATGTTATATATAGTGTCTCATTTTTTAATAATTTAATAAGTCAGATTAACACATGTTATGTACGATATATAATTTTTAAATGATTTAAAAATAATGATATTAATGGCAAGTTTTATGCAATTTTAAAAAACCATATTAATACATATTATATATAATATTTAATTTTCAAATAATTTATAAAAAATATTAACAATATTTTGCATGTAATTTTAAAAAATCACATTAACATATATTATACATGTTTAATTTTTAAACAATTGAAGAATGTGACATTAACATGTATTGTACATAATATTTACTTTTTAAACGATTGAAAAACAATTATATTAATGACACGTTATATACAATTTTAGAAAGTTAGGTCAGCATACACTATCCGCAAAGTTAAATAAATCCTGAGAATAATACTTCTGTGCTGAAAACATAAAACATAAAATTCTATAAAATAAAGGGGACAGTGAAATAAATTTCTGAAAATTCCTGACTGCCCGTGGATCTCCTTCTGATTTATGTTAACGATATTTATAATAACGCGTGTAAACGCATAATGTGTAGTTACCACGTGTGACATTCCAGTTTAAACGAAAAAATATTTAATTCATTCTTTGTTTAATCTCTCAGAAAGAATTTTGAATAATGTAAATAGTAATGATAAATACTGGCGATATTAACAAAAAGTGTTCAGAAAATATTGAACATAGATGGAGTAATAAAGTTTTAATGAATATTGAAGACAGATAAAATAAAAGAGTTTTCAATAAATACTAAATGTAGATAAAATAATAAAGCTTTCAATAAATATTAAATATAAATAAAATAATGAAGCTTTCAATATATATTAAATGTAGATGAAGTAATGAAAGATATAGGTAAAATGAAGGTTTTGATGAATATTAAATATGGACGAAATAGTGAAGTTTTCAATACATTATAAATATAGATAGAATAATGAAGGTTTGCAATAAATTTTAAATATAGATAAAATAAAGTTTTCAAAATATGTTCAATGTAGATAAAATAATAAAGTGTTCAATAATTAGTGAATATTAACAATAAGACTTTTTTATAAAATATGTACTAATTTTTATAAAATAATTACAATATTTTCGTAATTATCTCGAAATTAATTTGTAAAATAATTACAGAAATTATTTGATGTAAATAGAAATTATTTGATAAAAATAGAATGCATGTATCTAATTATACTTATTTCATGACACGAACAGAGTGTTTGACCAAAGATGGGTTCATTCGTTATTTAATGTCCGACGAAAACGCACCCGTATTTCTCGACAAATTAGAAGAATGGATGGACATGGATCAACCCTTGGCCCATTACTATATTAATTCGAGCCATAACACGTATTTGAGTGGCAGACAAATCGGTGGTAAAAGCACCGTCGAGATGTACAGACAAGTATTATTAGCTGGTTGTAGGTAATTATTTATCTTTTCATTTGTTACATTTTCTTAATACATATTACTGGAAATTCAGAATTCAAAGATTACAATTGACATTTTATATGTTTTTCATATTCTTAATACATACTATTAGAAATTCATAATACAAAGATTACAATTGACATTTTATATGTTTTTCATATTCTTAATACATACTATTAGAAATTCATAATACAAAGATTACAATTGACATTTTATATGTTTTTCATATTCTTAATACATACTATTAGAAATTCATAATACAAAGATTACAATTGACATTTTATATGTTTTTCATATTCTTAATACATACTATTAGAAATTCATAATACAAAGATTACGTAATGAAGTCTTTAATAGTTACTAAATGTAGACGAAATAGTGAAGTCTTCAATAGATTATAAATGTAAATAGAATAATGAAGGTTTGCAATAAATTTTAAATATAGATAAAATAAAGTTTTCAAAATATGTTCAATGTAGATAAAATAATAAAGTGTTCAATAATTAGTGAATATTAACAATAAGACTTTTTTATAAAATATGTACTAATTTTTATAAAATAATTACAATATTTTCGTAATTATCTCGAAATTAATTTGTAAAATAATTACAGAAATTATTTGATGTAAATAGAAATTATTTGATAAAAATAGAATGCATGTATCTAATTATACTTATTTCATGACACGAACAGAGTGTTTGACCAAAGATGGGTTCATTCGTTATTTAATGTCCGACGAAAACGCACCCGTATTTCTCGACAAATTAGAAGAATGGATGGACATGGATCAACCCTTGGCCCATTACTATATTAATTCGAGCCATAACACGTATTTGAGTGGCAGACAAATCGGTGGTAAAAGCACCGTCGAGATGTACAGACAAGTATTATTAGCTGGTTGTAGGTAATTATTTATCTTTTCATTTGTTACATTTTCTTAATACATATTACTGGAAATTCAGAATTCAAAGATTACAATTGACATTTTATATGTTTTTCATATTCTTAATACATACTATTAGAAATTCATAATACAAAGATTACAATTGACATTTTATATGTTTTTTATATTCTTAATACATACTACTAGAAATTCATAATACAAAGATTATAATCGACATTTTGTGTCTTTTCTATCTTCTGCTTGAATTTTATATAAATCCGTTGCTTCTCTCGTTGCTAAGCGCAAGAATAAAATGGCAGCTCATTGTTACAAAATGAAAACCGTGAATTCAGGACAATATTTTTATAAATATTACTACATTTTTAAAAATCAGTATTAAAATTAATAACGAGAGCATTTTTGTAGAGAATAAGCAAGAAACTGATGTATTAAGGAAATTAGTTTGTAATAAAATATTTTAAAATGGAGGATAATCAACAATTAGATTAACAGCATTAATAGGTTAAATTAACACAGGGTAGATAACACAAAATTTACTATTGTTAGATGACTAATACCAAATGCAAAATACGAATTTATTTTGTATACGAATACTGGTCATGAAATATCTTAGTCCTAAACTTTAAAAATTTCAGTTTTTAAGTCTCAAATTTCTGAAATTCTAAATTTTCGAAGTCTGAAAGTTCTAAGGTCACAAAATTAAAAAATTTCAGTCTTTTAAAACTTAAAATCGCAGAGTTTCAAAATTTCAGAGTCCTTAAAAATCAGAATTCTAAAGTTCCGAAATTCCAAACTGCTTAAAACTGAAAATTCTGAGGTCCTTAAGACCCAAAATCCTGAAAGCTCAAAAATCGTAAAGTCCCGAAAGTCGAACGTCTTTAAAACCCAAAATTCCCAAGTTTCAAAGCTTCAAACTCCTTCAAACCCAAAATCCTAAAGTTTCAAAATTTCCAAAACCATCAAAATCCAAAATTCCAATGTTACAAAAGTCTAAAATCTTTAAAACCCAAAATTCCAAAATCCCGAAAGTCGAACGTCTTTAAAACCCATAATTCTCAAGTTTCAAAGCTTCAAACTCCTTCAAACCCAAAATCCTAAAGTTTCAAAAATTCTAAAGCCGTCAAAATCCAAAATTCCAATATTCCAAAAGTCCAAAATCCTTTGAATCCAAAATTCCAAAATCCCGAAAGTCCAACGTCTTTGAAACCCATAATTCTCAAGTTTCAAAGCTTCAACACTTCTTCAAACACAAAATTCTAAAATTCCAATGTTCCAAAAGTCCAAAGTCCTTAAAACCCAAAATTCCACAATCCCAAAAGTCAAGAGTTCTCAAAATCCGAAAATCCAAAGTCCTTAAAACCCAAAATCTCGAAATCCAAAAATTCTTAAGTTCAAACCCTAAAAATTCCAAAATTCTACAATTCCAAAATCCCAAATATTAATAGCCAGCAAATCCCAAAACTCCAAGATCATATCTTTTCCCAAAAAATAAAATTTCTTTTAACAATTCATATTTTGAATTACACATTCAACGGACTATTACTTTTATCTGTCTCGGTATGCCTGCGGCTACAAATAATGCAGCTATTAACAAATTATAATTATAACGAATATCAAAAGAATATAATTGAAAACCAGAGATAATCAATATGAAAATGAGAAGCACAACAAATAATTAATAAGCTTTTGCGGTAATTTATAACGTTGTCGATAGAAGTTAATTAAAATAATGTATCAGATGCGTGGAGCTCGATTGTTGGGACGGAAAAGGAGAAGATGAGGAGCCAATTATAACCCACGGCAAAGCCATGTGTACCGATATCCTTTTTAAGGATGTTATATACGCTCTGAGGGATACAGCATTTGTTACATCAGAGTATCCAATAATTTTGAGTTTCGAGAACCATTGTTGCCTGAAACAACAATACAAATTAGCCAAATATTGTGATGAAATTTTGGGTGACCTGTTGCTAAAGGAACCCATCAAGGATTATCCCGTACGTATTTTTCTTTTACTCGAATATAATCTGGACTTATTTTTTATTTATTTACGTCACGTTACTTTATATATTACTTCGTTATTATTTCATATATTTGCAAGTGTTTATACAGTTACGAATATTGAATTTTATTTTTAATAAAAAGAACACGTACCTTTCTTAAACTTGCTTTCGATGAAATTTTGTCTTTAAATTTCCGATTCGTGTAATTTTCTGCTAACTTCAAATGAGAGACTAAAATAAATTTCATGAAAAGAATCTTTCGAAAACATTCGTCCACGATTATATAATATTTAAAGAATTTATTTGACGTTCACTGAATCCATAAATGACTGAAATAAATTTTGAACGAATTTTACTTAATTTTTTAACGTAACTTCAATTGCGAGACTAAAATAAATTTCATGAAAGAAAACCCTTCGAAAACTTTTGTCCACGAGTGTTTAAATAATTTATGGCATTCTCCACAAACTTGAAATTTCCAAAGAATTTTTTGTAAGAAATAAAAATAATTGAACGAGGTATCGCTTAGAATATCAATTTTCAAACGAGAAAATATAACTCCCTAATTTATATTAATTCTCGGGGGAAGTAAAAGGAATGTTATAAATTTTAAATGTATCCGTTGAAAAATGCGAGTCTCCTCGATCCAACGTGAACGGACAGAATGAAAAAATGAGAATGGTGTTTATCACGTGCACGAATGTCCCGCGAGATATACGTCCATTTTGTAATCGTAAATAAAATGACGCAGCTTGAACCTGGACATCCGCTTCCACCGCCGAGCGCACTGAAACGAAAGATATTAATCAAGAATAAAAGATTGAAGCCAGAGGTGGAGAAAGTTGAGCTCGAGTTATTCCGTTCTGGACAATTTGAGGCTAAGGACGAAGTTGTTGAAGATCCAAATGCACCACCTGCTCCTCCGCCACCGGAACCGGCAAAGGTTAATATTGAAATTAAGTATTCATATTAAAGTCGCTTCATTCTTATTAAGTATTTCTTCGAATATTTATCATTTGATGCATGCTTGAGGAGTGCTTCTTTAAGTAATACTGTGATAAATATTTTTTGGAATATTAAACCTTTGTATTTCATCATTTTTGGGAAAAATAACCCTTAAACTTGATGAGTACGTGAGGAATATAATTTTCTTCTAATAGGAACTCTTGTGACTGACAAATATTTCTTAGAAAATTAAATCTTTAATTTAGATAAATATTTTTTGGGAAAGTTAACCTTTAAACTTGATAAGTATTTGAGGAATATAATTTTCTTTTTATAAGAACTCTTATGACTGAAAAACAGTTCTTAGAATATTAAACCTTTAAATTTGATAAATATTTTTTGGGAAAATCAACCCTTAAACTTGATGAGTATCTGAGGAATATAATTTTCTTTTTATAGGAACGTCTTGTGACTGATAAATATCTCTTAGAATATTAAACCTTTGTATTTGATAAATATTTTTTAGGAAAATCAACCCTTAAACTTGATGAGTATCTGAAGAATACATTTTCTTTTTATAGGAACTCTTATGGCTGATAAATATTTCTTCAAAGATTAACTGAGAAATTTGATAAATATTTTTTTTTAAGTTTCCTCCCAAAAATCAAAGGCTACCCAGAAATTAAAAAAGAAATAAAAATAATTATTAAAAGTTGTAAATAAATATTTTAAACGTATCAATACAGTAAATTGATAAATTTGCATCGAATAAACATTCTCTAATTTTGCATCTACCTAATTTTCATTAACAACTCTCTACTCGTTAATTTTCATTAACAACAGAAAGTTTAAACAATATTTTCAAACTAAAATTGCAGGAATAAAAGTCTGTAAAATGCATCAACCTGCCGCGATCAACCGTGCAGCTTCACGTTCTCGTAAAACACTCGTTAAAAGCTGTTAAAAAATTCATTTCTAAATTTTCCGTGTTTTAGACATTCTTTTGTTCTTGAAACGGGAATGTTGGTAATATTTTAGGAAGAAGCGCCAGCGGAAGGAGCTCCACCAGGTGAACCAGGTGCCGAAGGTGAAGCACCTCCGATACAGTACACCGGCAGCACTATGGCGTGTCACCCATGGCTTTCCTCCATGATTAATTATGCACAACCTGTAAAATTTCAAAGCTTTGAAACTGCGGAAAGTACGTAGACCCTTTTCGTTTTTTACTCATATTTGTGTGCTTCTCGCGAAGCAGCATCGTCATTATGCTCCACGTAGAAACCTCTTTCAGTGCTTACAGTAATCTTCAATTTTCTATTTGCGTACACAGATTCTTCGAATTATACTTAAAACAAATTATTGTTACTTAGAGTACAATATTTAAACAATGAAAAGTGAGATATTTGAAAACAAAATGTGTACAAAAATTTCAAAGATTTCTCGCAGTTTTAGGCATCGATAAGTTTAGAGATTTCTGTTCTTGAGCTTTGATTAATGGTCCGAAATATTCACCGATCAAAAATTGTTTACCAAGGTAAAAAAGAGTAGTTCGAAATAGGTTGAGAACCGTTGACATAGATGGATAACTTATATTTCATGCACTGCATGGTTCAAAAATAACATTTTATACCCATGGTAGAGACAGGGAATTTTTCACAACGGTGTAACATTTATCACGGGAAAACACGAGCGCCATTATTATTGCAGAAAAGAATATACATCACAATATGTCCTCGTTTTCGGAGACTGCTGCACTTAACTACCTAAAAACTAATGCAGTGGAGTTTGTTAATTATAACAAACGTCAGATGAGCCGAATTTACCCGAAAGGTACCAGGGCTGACTCGTCTAATTATATGCCGCAGGTAAATGACCGCGTCCTGAATTATTCGTTTAAGTAGATTTTGCAAATCTCGTTACGCACTTATTACTGGAATAATGAAAAGGAATTGTGTAGTTGGTTAGTTAAAATACTCTTTCTTTCATTTATTTATAGTCGCATTAACCGCTCATGGGTTATTGGAGACTCAGAATATGTTTACAGCTTGTACAGTTCAGATGTTTTGAAATACTGCAGTTTTGAGTCGATTTGTCTTCCTTCAAAGATATATTTTGTATTTGTTACAAATTTTCATGACACAAATAATTATTCTTATAAAAATTTGAAAGTTTGAAACAAACTACTATTTCTAAATCTAACTATCGTAAATCTATTTAATAAACATTTCTAATTGTCTAGGTTTTCTGGAACGCTGGTTGTCAGATGGTAGCGTTGAATTTTCAAACACCCGATTTACCGATGCAACTGAATCAAGGAAAATTCGAGTATAATGCGACGACAGGATATTTATTAAAACCAGATTTCATGAGAAGACCAGACAGAAGTTTCGATCCATTTTCTGAGGATGTGGATGGTGTAATTACTGCACAGTGTTCCGTCCAAGTAAGCTTTGGCTATGAAACTAATTTATTTTATTAAACTCGTTATAGAGAATGTTAATTAATATTAGTATATTTACTGTTCAACTATAATTTACATAAAATAATATCTAATTTTTCATACATTTTTGTTCCAACGTTTCGAATCAGTTTTTGGGTCTTTTATTATAAACAAAGTTTGAACATGCTTCATAAAATAATTACAAAATTGATATTTATAATATTATAAGATGTAGAATTATTAAACGTTTACAAAGTTTATTGTTTAAATATTATTTACAATTGTTTTGTTGTGTTCTATTATGAAACTTATGAATTTTATTTATTTATTTATGATCAATTTATTTATAACCGTAGTGAATATAAATTAATATTAAAGTAATGATAAATTGTTTTTTAGGTAATAGCAGGACAATTCTTGTCTGACAAGAAAGTAGGCACTTACGTTGAAGTAGATATGTACGGTTTACCAGCAGACACTATTAAGAAAGAATTTCGAACACGAATGGTCCCCGGAAACGGATTGAATCCAGTTTACAACGAGGAACCATTCCTCTTTCGAAAAGTTGTGCTTCCGGATTTGGCTGTTCTTAGATTTGGTAATTTTAATTTAACAATTTAGTATGAATTTTTAGTTACGTAGTACATTGCTTACAGACATTTTTATAAGTCAAAAACATACTTTTACAATTATTTTTAATATTTTATATGTTTAATATATACTTAATTACGTATGGTTAAATTATTATTAATTTTGAATATTCAAGTTATTTGAGATGTTTTGAATTTTGAAATTAAAGTTCAAAGGTTCTAAAATTTTTTAACTTTAATGTTCTAAAATCTTGATATTTGAATATTCCAAAATTCTAATACTCAAAACTTCTAGGATTCTCAAAATTCAAAAAGTTCTAAAGTCTCGAAATTCAGGAATTTAACAATTTTCAAAGTCTGACGTTTTTTAACTCTAAATTTTCTAATCTTTTCAAATTCCAAATTATCAGTCACCTATTTGTTATTTATGACTATCATGATTATCAGTCATGTATTTATTATTTATGACTATTATGATTATCAATCTACTTGTTATTGATGACTGATTACAATTGACAATCTATTGATGATCCATTCGTTGCATCCACAGGCGTGTACGAAGAAAGCGGGAAATTATTAGGTCAACGTATCCTGCCCCTGGACGGTCTTCAAGCTGGATACCGACACATTTCATTGAAGACAGAAGCGAATTTCCCTATGGCCTTACCCATGTTATTCTGTAACATAGAACTGAAAATTTACGTGCCCGATGGATTCGAAGGTAAATGCCTCGAGTTAGCGGTACAAAAATAGAAATCTATGCTCACGATGAAGTGTGATTCCCGAACACGAGCTTTTTCGTTTCCTAGACTTCATGGCTGCCCTGTCTGACCCGGGTGCATTCAGCAAGGGAGCGGAAAAACAAGCAGAGACTATGAAAGGACTTGGAATCGAGCAAACCGATGCGAAAGCCGAGGCGAAGAAGAAGAAGGAAGAAGAAGCTAAAAAGGGTCGGTATAACTTCTATTCCTTTTCTTAGTCTCTCTCTCTTTTTTTTTTAGTTTATAAGTAAATTTCATTTGCTACGATCAAAGAGAGAAACGGATGCTTAAGACTGTAGCGGATAAAGTTTTTAATTACTTCCGGATGAATTGTTTGTGGAAAATTGCGTTCCTTCGGATTCTCCTTTGAAATGCTTCTTGTGGTAATAACTTCGAGATTACACGCTGTGGAGATTCGGACGAATGTTGCTTGCAGATTCTGTTTTCGATTTATTATTTATTAAGGTGAAGGTTTGTTCGGGGTTTTGACTGGCTTGTTTTTGTAACTTATGATGGAGTTTCTAAGTTGGAAATTGTAGTTTGCGAAAGGTGGTCTCTTCTTTGAGGTGAAGCGTGAGACGAGAATGTATGAACGCAGAATTTTGAAATTAGAGAATTTGATTTAGTTGTTTTAAATATGTGTGAAAATTGGCGAGCTTGCAAATTTATGGATTTAAAAGTTAGTGAAATTTGAGAAATTTAAAAATTTGTGGTTGAAAATTTAAAGATTTAAAAAATCTGGAAATTTGAATTTGTATTTGAAAATATGGAAATTTGATGATTTGAATTAGTACAGCTGAAAATGTGGAAATCTAAAAATTTGAAAATGTCTTAAATTAAAATTTAATTCAATAAGTCAAATTAAAAATTAACGTACAATTTCGAATTAAAAAACGACTCAACAACCACACTCCTATTTTAAAAAAAAACTTAAATTATTCAATTATTGCAATTTTCAGAGGAATATAAACCAGAGCCAATTACCGTGGACTCATTGCGCAAAGAAAAAGCCTACAAGCAAGGAAAGAAGCAACAGAAGGAGCTCGAAACAATGAGGAAAAAGCACTTAAAAGAACGGCAAACAATGCAGAAAAATCACTGTGCTGCCATTGATAAACTGGTGAAAGGAAAAGAGTACGTACCCAAAACATTTAGAACTTCTAAAAATAACTGGCAAGAATACTACACGACACTTGAAACACCGTCTTCATTCAAACTTTATACAATTATAGAGGACACTAAAAGTGACTATTTTATAAAACCACGCAATGCAACTTTCTAAAATAAGACAGAATTTATGTTTAAAGTTCTTGTAATTTGTATTCAACTGTCTGAGAATGAAACTAAAATACCATGCTATTCTAGCATGATAAGAAAGCAGAAAGTTTATTAAACAATGGTAAGAACTCGAGACTCTTGTGTAAATTTTATTTTTTTTTCATTTTATCATCTTTACCTTTATTTCGTTTAACTTACTCTGTTTGAATATTTGTTTATCGTCTTCCGATATACATTTATCAGATATTTTGAATTCTCTTTTTCTGTTTAAATTTGAGAGTTTAACTATACATAACTATATGTATATACATAGAATACATTACCAGTTTTATGCTATTTTCAAACAATTCAGTACCTAATACGGGAACTATAAATATAAATTTTGGAGAACTGCGTGGATTTTACAAAATTACTACTCTCGAAGTCTTCAATAATTGCACAAAATTCGAACGAAATCGCTGTTTCAAGGATCGTGAAGTTTCCGTAGAAATGCAATTAATATATTTGCATCCAATCAACGAATCTTTCCAGTAAAAATGCCTTGCTCCAAGATGCAAACGTGAAGAAAGTTATAAGCGAACAAACCGCACAATGGTCAGCCATGGTAGAAAGACACAGGAAGGAAGAATGGGAGATGCTGAAGAACCACACAGAAAGTGGTCGAGAGGAGTTCAAGAAGCTAATTGAAGTCGTGCAGGCTTCGCAAGTTAAACAGTTACAGGCAAAACACGACAAGTACGTGAATTCTGAGTTTTTGCAATGTTTAACACGTTCGTGCCCAATGAGGTACATTTACGCCAGACAGTTTTGTCCTGAGATACTCTAACCATGTCAAGATTCAACTTGGGGCAGCTTTATCTGTATACAGATTTCCTCTTTTGACTAAGTTTTCACGCTGGAAGTTCTGAAAACTCAGTAGTGCAAAAGCTTGTAAGCTGTGTAGGTTCAAAGTTTTGAAATTCAGTGGTTTGAGAGATTTCGAGGTGGACAATTTGGAACTTGAAAGCTTGAGAGTTTGGAACCTTAGTTTTAACCTTGAGGGTTTGAAACCTTTCAAAGTTCTAATGTTCTGAAATGTGGCAATTGTGGTAGTTGGGAATTTTGAAAGTTGGAAACTTGGGAACTTTGTAATTTTGGAGTTTTAGAAATTGAGAACTTTGGACCTTGGATGCTTTAAGAAATTTTGAAAGCTTGGAAATTTTAAAAACTTTGAAACGTAGGAGAAATTAAGAACTTGAAAGCTGAAATTTTGGAAGTTTGCAATTTAAACTCACAACAATTTAAGGAGTTAAATCCTTTGAAGCTTACATCTTTGAGAACTTTAAAGATACAAAGTTGTGAAACTTGCTCAGGAATTTCTTACCCGTTAAATTTAGAAGTTTGAAAAAGAATTCTATCTTATTTTTCTTATTTTTGTACATAAAATCTTGCATAATTGTATGTACTGTACTGTTACATTCTTTTATTATAAATATTAATGCTTTATTCCAGAGACATTAAAGAAATGAACACTAATCAAGCAAAAGTGTCGGTGGAAACGGCAAAAGAGGTAATGAACGATAAAGCGTTGAAAACAAAAGGAGATAAAGATCGTCGTCTCCGCGAAAAGAAAGAACAAAATACGAAAAAATTCTTACAAGAAAGGAAAAACGTACAGATCAAACAAGGACGTGAAAAGGAAAAACTGAAAGTTACTCACGAGAAACAAGTTGCTGAATTGGATGGCGAAATTGACGCGGTAAAAATTAATAATTTCATTTTAAAAATGAACTATTTCTTTACTTTCAAGCTTATTTGGAAAATGGTTGGTAAGAAACGCATTCTTAAATTAAATATTAATATTTTGTTCTGCAATTATTTGTTATTTAGTATCATTATTTAATATTATTAAATGTTTATTTATTACATATTATTTTATCATTTCATTAAATTTTACTTGATCTATATTTTTAATTTGGAATAGTTGATCACACAGTTTTGTCTATTTCATTTTATATTTTATTGTTTATATCATTTTTATTATCTCATTGCTTTATTTTCATTACTTACATAAACCTGCATTTGACAATTAAACATTATTTGTAGTTATTATACATTGATCATATATCCTTCATTGCACTCAATTTTCAAAACTGAAAAATTTACAATACTGAGGAATTTGTTAGTTTAGAACACAGTAATAACGCACATTTCTGTTACAGGCTATTGAAATGTACAAGAATGAAGCTATTCAATACGACTTGTCATCTAAAACAGAATTTTTTGTGTAAATTACACATCTTTTCTACAAAAAAGGAATGATTGATGGTTAATTTAAAATGATATATTTTCTTTTATATCTTGTTACTGTATTTAGAGTCTGTTTAATTGTTTTTCATTTTTTTGATACACTACCTCTTGTTAAGATATCTTTAACTATTATGTATTTATACAGATGTTTATATTTCACATAACTTGTTTGATACTCCTTTATAAACTTTAACAATATATTCCAGTATGTGTGTGTATGGAATGAATCTATGTATGTGTCAGATGTATATTACTGTTTAAACTAGTCAAAGATTTTAACAAAAAAATTTTTTAACTGTTCTCTGATTTTGTGAATATTTATTCTTCAAATATTATGTATGTTGTTGATAAAATTATATACAAATTTTTGCGAATTTATATTCTAATAAATTCTTCAAACATTTAATTAAATTTTCTGTTTTTGATACCTTTCCAATTTAGAACAGTGTTGTATAACAGATAATGTGAACTCTGCAAGTTATGTAAGTTAAGGTAAATGTAGGCTTTCAATTAACATGAAAAAAATATTCCAGAAATACTTTATTTGCATATATTCATGATATTAAGATTTGATTGGATATCATTTTCTTATTTCTATGTATATGAATTTATTCTTCAACTTTTCAATCCAATATATACATATTTTACATTATATACATTACCAATAAAGCATAAAATACAGCAATTTATACAGTTTCAAGACAATGAATCCATTCAAATACATTGCCAAAAATAATCTAGAAATTTACACAAACTTTTTGAACTCATTTTTGTACTGCAAATTTCTTGAATATACAACAAAATCTATGATTGCATAAAAGTTCACTTGTGCGTAAACATATGTATACAATGAATCACAAAAGTGTTTGTACATTTAAAAACAATATATTACAATGAATATATTAGTTACCAACAAGAAGAAACTAATTTGATGGAATCCTAAGAGAATTTAGGGTCATTCTACTTTGAGAGAGTTCAAGTAAACCTTGAGTGAATCCAAGGAACATCTAATTTAAGAGGAACTCCAAAACAATTCAGAGAGAATCCAGAAATGTCTTATTTGGGGAAGCCCCAAAAAATTCAAAGAGAATGCAACAAGAATATAATTTGGAGGAACTCCAAAAGAACTCAAAAAGAATTCAAGAACAGTATAATTTGAGGAAACCCCAAAAAATTCAGAAAGAATGCACAAGAAGCCAAATCTAAATGACTCCAGAGGGAATTGAAAATGAATTCCAGAGAAATCTACGAAAATCTTGGAGTTCACTTGAAAGTTCTCTAATTTGAGAGAAACTAGAGAAAACCTAAGAAGATCCTAGAAACAACTAAAAGAAATAAAATGTCCTAGAGACCTTGCAGAATCCAAAAGGACCCAGTGAGAACCACAGAAATCCTAACCTAAAAGAATAATAAATAATTAATAAGAAATTACAAGAATATATTTAATATAAATCTTAGTCAATATAACATACCTGAATACTTTGTTCAAATAAAAAAATTGCTAAGTTCTTTTGTGATTCGTTGTGTACAGTTTCGATAACAATCTAAATGGATCGTTAAAACGATGTTAGATAAACGTATCGGCTACCCTGGTACAATGTTACACGGCCAGCAAGTTAAATAAACAAGAGAAAAGTGAACACAAAATCTATGTATACATTCCTGGCTCAAAGAGTTTTCTCCTTATGTTGTTCCACGTAGTTTTGAATAAACGGATGTTTATAAACTCGTAAAGAGGCAATGGAACCGGCACATGCACCAACCCAATAAACTATCACGTGCTCCATAAAGGTCGTTCCCAAACATCCGTATTTCAAGGAGGTCGCCAGCGCGGGATTAAAGTAGCCGCCAGAATAGTCGAAGGCTGAAATTGGTATGAAAATAAACGGGACGTCAACAGGAACAATTCACGGAATTATGGAAATTATGAATATTCGTCAAACCTGCAATCACCAAGCTCGTTCCGATAAACGAGTCGATAATGATGCTAAACCTGCTATTTATTTCGCTTAAGCCACGCGAGACTACTCTGTACACGCAAGTTGCTACGCATTCGACAAATGCTCCAAATATTACGGGCACCTTTAAAAGAGAACGAAACGTTTCTTTATTACATTGTTTTATGGCATTGTGAATTTTTTATTGGCAAAAGTGTTTGAAACTAAAGCGATTGTTTAAGGTACAGTCTCTGTCAGAATATAGCGGAATGGTGAAACTCTTCAGAAGTTACTGTACATGTAAGAAGATGCCTGAAAGTGCGGTCATTAATAGTCAAAATCTTCCAATTGAAACTTGGAAACTTAATAAAACTAGAGGACTGAACGATGGAGTATCCTTGTTTTATTTAATTTCTTCTTATAAAAGGAATTATAGTTTGAGAAAAATTAACTATTTCAATTTACGACCGCGCTATGTCGTGATGAAAAATACAGTTTATCGTAACAAATAGGTTAATACTTATAATCTGCGGAAGCCATAGTTCTTAATCAAATTCTCCTTCATTTCTGAAGCCTCTATGACGTTTAGGAAAATCAATGGTTGTACTTGCTTGTAGATCAGTGGTGCAATCTTCGAATGCTTTGTTCTTGTGCGTAGAAACAATTTCCAATGCCCAGAGCAGTTGTATGTATCTAAAAACGACGAGGCCGCCGACTAATTCAGCCCAAATTAAAAGGAAAGCGTCGCGGACCGATTTTTGTCCTTCAACGACGTCCTCGATGTGCGTGTAAGGGCAGGCAGTGGCATCACCCCAATTCAGGGACCACCAGATTGTCAGGATGAATAAATATAGGCCGTATATGGAGACACCCCAATTGTCTGCAACTACAATTTAACATTAATGGTATTAAAAAATGGACTCTGATAAATAAATTCTTTAATTACATTAAATTCGAGATGCTCGAGATATCAAAGCATCAAGAACTTCACGATATTCATGGCTTCAAGACTTCCAAACATTTTAAGCGCTTTAAAGCTTCAAGATTTCACGGCTTCAAAACTTCGATATTTCTAAGCTTCAAGATTTTACGATTTTCAAGACTCATCATGGCATCAAGACATAAAGGCATCAAAGCTTGAAAGGTGTAATACTTCCATACTTCAAAACTTGAACACATCAAGGCATTAAGATATCAAAATGTTGAAGGGTGAAGGCATCAAAGATGCAATACTTCAAAATATTGAGGAATGAAGTATGAAAGGCGTAAAGCTTTTAAAACTTCAAAGGTGTAAAGCTTTTAAAACTTCAAGATATCAGGACTCGAAAGGTTTGAAGACTCAATGTTTTCAAAATTTTAAGGCTTTAAAATCTTCAATGCTATAAGATCTTGTAAATTTCAAGGTATTATGAACTTAAATACGAAGTTGAAAAACTGTCGAATTTGAAAATTATTAATTGAAATCATAGAGGCTTTAAAACATTCGGAAGTTTCAAAATAATATGTTTTGTGAGGCCGTAATAAAATTTTAAACAATCAATGCTCTCTTCGTGTATTCAAACTATATGTGATTTTATAAGGTTTATAAACTATCGCCAGCGATATGAAGAATCCGTGAAATTTATTTGTTAAGAAATATATCGTTCAGCGATAAACTTACTTATTATGAGTTCGAAACAAGCTCCACATAATTCACCGGTGGCAATCCCTTCTAAAAATAGGGACCTTACGAACGGGTCCCGTATGTAATAGGCCGTATATCTCCTCATCCAATAAGCTATGAGGCTTGTAAGTACGATGTACAACGTCGAAACTGCTAAGGCAATTAATGTTGCTGCCATGATGTTGGGTAGATATAAACAAACTCAATATTACAAAATGAAAACTGAAAAGGTAACAAGAGCACATAATTCACATGCTTGTAATACAGTAATTTTTGACGCGGCCTCAAACAACTAATATTATTGAATACGCGAGGTAACAAAAATATTTTTGAAGTATTTTGATGGATATTAAAATATTTTAATATTAATAGCACTAGCTTTCTTTTTATTGTCAAATATTAAATATATGAGGGAACGTACTGACATATACTTATTGGAAACATTGTGCCGGCAGTTTGAGGCACGTGAAAATATTTTCAGTACCATCTATAATTATAACAATAACTATTGTGATAAGTCAGTAACAAATCTTAGGAAATATTAAATGTATGAGGCGTTAAATGTTGATAAAGGGTACCTTTATAACTTCTAAGTAAAAAATTGATAATGAATGATTAAAAACATAAATTACAGTGGTATAATAAAGTTCATAATTATTATTAAATTATTACATAGCAATTAATGTTACAATAAGCATTGATTGCATGGGACATTTCATATTAATCACCTCATGATCCCTATGCCATTATTAAATAAAACTATCATAAGTAATTAAAAGAATTACACAATGATTAAAACAAATTATAAAATAAAATTATAATGTAATAAAATACATGACTATTTGTTAATTATTATACAGAAATTAGTAGTGTAAGAAGTTACAATTGCATGGTATGCAGACAGTTGAAAGCAGGATGTTATGCAACGGTACACAATCATTCAGTAGGTTTCAAACGAATCTAGTGGGAGAGTATGTCGACGTGAACTTACGTGTCAAATCATCGAATTTTATTCGTTCTTTTCATTTCTTTTCTAAGCAAATACAAGACGAACACTTATTTCTTGAACTTTTGCTTTCTTTGGCGAGCACCAGAATTTTACTTAGCAGTTATTTAAAACTGGCGACTGTAATTGAATATATCTGTGTGGATATGTCGCCGTCACTTTAAATAGCTGCTCGCCCAAATTATACTTGCTTGGGCATTGACATCGCATCGAATATCGCCTATTATTTAATATAAATCAGATGGTAATGAGAAACATTATTTAATTATCGTGATAGAAATATGTATACAGTCTTGGACATTTATTTGAATAGTATCTTATCTTATTTGGCTAGATGATATTTAAAATAATTTTTCATTTTATATTTCAAAAAATGCAAACAATTTCTTAAACACTTTTGCAATCCTTTCATGCTAACAGTGTTAATTGTACTAGAAACGTAAATTTCCTTACAGCATATCATGCATATAAACATAGACACGTGTTACTCTCAAGGATAAATATGTAAATACTGCGTATATATGTACATATAAGTATTTGTGGTCAATTAGAAGTATATTAAATTCAAATGAAATAACAGATAATCATATCTCTTATACTAGAACACTTGTTATTTAATTTGAATACAAATTAGACTTGATTAAGTCACATAAAAAATTACTTGAATTTTACATAATACAAAATTGCTGTTTCTATGTTACAACTGAAATGAAAATAAATTAGTTAAAATGATTATTTTAAATTGATATTTTTTATTATATTCCAAATAAAATGGGTCCAAATTAAGTATAAATTACGTATACAATTTCACAGGTTATTTGAGACCTACTTTACAATTACCGTTTATATTTTATTTTGTCTTTAACTTATAAACTAAAAAAGAAACATGAATATTTAAAAATTATTCCTAATTTCTATTGACAAAGAAACCCCCAACAACTGTAATACATATTAAAAATTAAAATGCAAACGTATATAGTTATGATTGAATGTTTTTATTCGTCTTATGAAGTGTTAACTACATTTATTACATAGGTAAATGATTCCATGTTTGTTTATGAATGTGGGCTAACTTTGTCATTATAAAAAAGAAAGTAACATTTATTTACAAGAATCAAAAGACTCTCCTTTGTGCTTTTTGGGCGCCTGAAGATCGTCTTGATTCTCTGTTCTTAACATTAACCTGGGAATCCGTTTCGACTTTAAATAAGACATCGTGTCGCTTGGCGATCTAAAATTGGAAAATAATTTTATACTAAAATTACATTAAAATTTTGTTCGTGTTCAAAGGCTATAATTTACCTCTGATGAGGTGTTTTAGCTTGATTAAACATCTCTGTTGAATTGCTTTCAGTCGAAGTGGAACTTGTACATGGAGAATAAGGAATGATCTGATACGTAGTTTTATTAATTATTTCGGTAGTTGGTTCAGTATTCTCCGTTTGATTTGGCATATTATTACTAACACGATTCTCCCCATCTACTGTAGGCTTTTTCTTATCATCTACTTCCGTTTTTATGGATTTCATATCAACTTCAGGCTTAGCTTTTAATTTACCATCTTGCGTAGGAAAGTTTACAGCAGGTATATTAATATTTTTATCTCCTTTGGTTGAATTCATTAACTTAATCAATAGTTTTGATAGCTCTTCACGTTTTCTTGTTACAACTATCTCTTCGAACCAATTTTTTAGTGTTTTTATTGGCAAAGTATAATCTTTAATTGGATTCTGCAGCGAAATTTAACATTATAATTTTCATTACTCAATTAACAATTTAAATAAATAAAATATCAACTTACTTTAAAGAAACTTTCCACATATTGCAATACATATAATCCGCAATCAGTGAAATTTGATTGCTGAGGAACTTTTAACGATGCTCCTTTAATGGTATCTTTCGAAAATACTTTCTCGCTTCCCATTTTCGCAACATACTCGCAACTTAAGTAATCTCTTAATGTAGCCACTACACGTGATCTACTTGCTCCCGCCAGAGAATCAAATATTAATATGCATGGTCTAAAACAAAAACACCAGAAAAATGTCAAACAAATTTATCTACCCACACTCTTATTTCCCCTACCTGTGTACGCGTAAATACTTACACTTTAACAGTATCTTTTTCTTGCGGTACATGTTGCTCAGCTTTTGGAGGTGCACTTTTATTCTCCGTCGATTCAGATTCCTCCTGCATTTCAAAATTTGATTGTTAATAACTTATACACATGTGACAATATACGATAAACTTACATCATCCTCGCTATCCATTTCCATTTCTTCATCATCGCCTTCAGCTTCATCTCTTTCTGAACCATCATCGGGTTGGTCTATGGTTATAGTAGTTGTCACCGGGGTTAGAGTTGTACTACCAATTGTAACAGTCTGTAGTTTCACTTCCTTTAACCTTTTACTTTTCTGTACGGTCTTGCGAACGTCATTTTCTTGGGGTCGTACGCTTTGTTGGATCACTTCACCCACCAAGCCGGGGAAACAAATAATGGCCAAAAACCAATGAGCACTGCAATGATATTAGAACATTGATTGAGAGTTCTAGAAGATCAGTTGTAACATTAGAATTTTTAAATGTACTTACTGTTCATTAATAGGAATAATAATAAAATCCTTTTCAAATATATTGACATTTTTTGTCCACTTTTGTACCCTCGCATGCCTTTTGGCAGCTGGGGAAAGGGGTACATTACTTTCAACCGCCTGAGTGTGAGGACTTGTCAAGCGCTTATAAAAATATGAACTAAATACATGCGTTCTGTGTTGGTCAGATTCTGATAAGACTTCCAAAGTTAAATATTTTAAATAGAAGTCTATAATTACGTCATTTAAAAATTGATCTTCTCCAAGACATAAATAATCTTCGGTATTGATAGCAATACCACCTTTTGCCGGCGGCGGGGGATACACAGTTATCCTATAAACAGTTTTGTTATTTTAACAATGTACATATATTAAAGAAATTAATGTATCACTTACGTCTGTATTCCATTTGAATTGTTTTGATCTTTCTTTCCTAAAGTCTGTAAATTAAATAAATTTATCACAATTATCTACCATTAATCTTTATAAATAATTAGATATGTTATATTACGTACATCTTTTGGCGATGCTCGAACAAGGATATCATTCGCCTCTTTTGTGTTCAGTTCAGCCAACAACCGTCTTTGTGAAAACAAATTTTTTAATACAATTTTTGAGTCTTCGGACAATTTTTCTGGCAGTAAAGTTATTCTTTTATGTGTATGGTCTGTGTAAAAGTAAACACAAAAATTGTATTTTCATTCTACTTACAATACGAATTACAATGTATCTTAAAATTAATACCTTTTCCAGCAGGATCGTAATATGGTCCTTTTGGATCCTGCATCCCTAACAATTCACGAATCATAGCTCCAGTATTGGTAGACGTATAAAAGAAAAGCACTGGCATTGATTTTCCAAAATGAATTAATACTCTTACTATATCTTGTAATTTAATTTCTAATGTTACAAAGTTTTTATCTGCAATATAAATATATTTGTATGATTATATTATTGCGTATTAATGTTACTATAATGACCATTAAAATAAATTTACCATCTTCTAATAAAGGTACACCAAATCTTACTCCACTTTGTGAGATAACTACTCTTTCTCGAGGAACATATTTGTAAGAACCTATCCGTACTGTTCGACACAATATTGAAGTATGTGGAGATTGAACACTATTATCTGAAAGATGTTTACATTCATTCTCTATTTCTTAATATATAATGAAGTTATATTTGTAATATAGCATGCTACATTTTAGTCAGTAAAAGTACCTCTAACTATATTGTCAGTCTCCATAGCGTAATCAGAACATGTACTAGAAACTGAATTGTTCGTAATTACTGGTTCCTTTTCGAGGATAGTGTCCATCTCTTCATTAAAATTATTACTTGCATCTTGTGAACATGTACTATTATTAGAGCTTTCCATTTTCTTATTTTTGCCCTCCTCTTCTTCATCAGACGATATTGTTAAACATTCTGAACAAGAAATATTATGTCTGAGGTGTCTGTACATTGCATGAAACATTTAAAACAGTACACTTGGAAATCTTTGCTCTGTATAAATGTTCCAAATAATAACAAAAATCATTCGTTTTAAAAAGCCAAATAATAACAGGCGGAAGAATTTTTCTCAAGGTCAGAATTTTCAGGTTTTTTTGGGGGGAAATATGACTACTTTTGTTTGCATTTGCAATATATAAATACATATAAGTAATACATTACGAGATATTTAATATAAAAGATTTCGAAAAATGAACTCCTATATTACTGTAAAAAACTATAGTTAATGTTGGAAAAACTGTAACATATTACTAAGAATTGCTTCTTTTTCAACAACCATTTTCATGTACCTTTAACATTAAACATCTCGTAACATTTAAACGAATAGGATATAAATACATACCGTCATTTCTTTCTTTAGTTCAAGTGTTAAACAAAACGTGTTCCGTTTAAAAAAATATTGATGACCTTGAGAAAAATAATCCTTCCACTACCAGATATCCTTTCGTAAAATTGAGATGTTTCATTATTGTTACTTGTTTTTGGTGTGTTCAATTATAATGAAGATATTCATGTATACTGTCTTAAATGTTCTACCCTGTATATCTATCGTGTAAACTTAGACAAAATAACATTACATTTTTTTAACAAAAACATGAATTATTTCTCTACCTGGCTCTTTATGAATAGGCCTAGTTCTTGTAACACCTTTCCCTCTCCCTCTTCCACGTTTATAAACTGATCCATCCCGTTCTAATTTTTCTAATTTTGCAGATGAATTTCGTTCACTGTTTTTCTTATAAAAACTCTGAAAATATTAATGTAATGATATATGTTTGACACTAACAAACTTAAAGCTCTTTCATGTAATATTAATTAAAAGTGTTTTTAAGTTAACTTAAAATTTGACATATTTTCTAATTAATGTAATTGTTTGTTATGAAACATCTTCAGATTATTATATTAACAAGCGTGGTAAATTATATTCGTTTAATATATAATATAAATTATAATCTTACATCAACTGAAATCATTGTTTCTTTCTTTTCCTGTATACCCATTGTCATTGGAATGGATTTTACATCCTTTGGTAATTTTCTTTTACATCTTAGACACCGATTAAAATCGAGAGAACTGAAACCACAGTGCGAACAAACAGCTAACATTCCGTCGATGTATATAGGCTCCTATAACATATATTAATATAGAACATATTAAATATATTATAAAATGTAGACGTATTGATAAAGTATTGATCAAGTATTTTAAGCCAAATAATAGACATAATAGAAATTCAACTTAGAAGTCAAAGTGATAAGAAATTTGATAGTTTTTTTCTTATAAAAACGTTACATACTTCATTTTCATTAATTTTTTTTTACGCTAATTTTATGAAATTATAAAATACTTGATCACTTATGTAAACAATCAAATAAAAAACAAGTTCGGCAAAATTTTATACAATATTTTATATACTATTTTACTAATATTAAGCAAATTAAATTACAGTGAATTAACAATGATCGTTCAGTAACAACATGAAGCAAAAACAGTAAATTAAGGCACATTCATGCAATGATCATTCAGCAGCTGCATAAAGCAAAATTTTAAAACAGGTGAAATTAACTTTAAACCTACCTCATTTTGTTGCACAGGATTGCTATTCTCATCTGGTGACCTGAAATATGTTAGCATTGCAGCAATTAAATATTATTTTTATCGACATATGAATCTCGATAGAAAGCAAGTTATTAAAAACTTTACCTAGGAGAATCTATATTATTTAGGTTTTCATGGGAATTGTCATTTTCGGATGTTTCGTGCGATGTTACTGTATTAGAGCCAGCTTCTACAATATAATTTATACCCAAAGTAGGATCAGAAACTAAAGAAACATTTGTTGTTCCACAAAATGTAATATTTGCCTGAAAGTATAAACAATTCTATAGCCATAGTTTCCATAAAATTAACTGTAAACAATTACAGCAATTAATGCTTGTTAAAATACCTGTTCCAATAAATCTTGAACAGTACAATCTTCATTTGGTATATCAAATGTGATTAATCTTTGTTCACCATTGGAGAACATAACTAACATTTTTGCAGTATTTCCTTTTATCTGATGTTGAACTATCGTATCTGTTGGATTGCGAATAACTTTTTGAAGAAAGGCAATACTTTCAGATGAACTGTTTTCCGAATCAGTTTGTGATGTGAAATTTTGATTTCCCCCACTTTTATCTGGATGTGGTGGAGATTCCGGAGATTCAACTTCCATAGAGTTATTCATGTTCTGTGATGATGACAGTGAGGGTGTTACTTCATATTGAGATTTTTGTGTAGATATTGATTTTTGAAACTGTAATGGGGTTGAAGATAACATTTGTCTTTGCTGTGTTGCATTTGTAACAGTATGCTGCCGTTGTGCAGGACTATTTAATGAACCCTGTGCTAGTGGTGAAGTAACATTTGATAATCGTTGCATGTTACCCCCTTGCAATCTCTGATCATTTTGCACTTGTCTCTGATTTGGCATTTGTTTCAATCTTGTTTGTTCCATTTTAGGCTGTAGCAGCTTTAAGGAATTTTTTGACATTAAAGTGCGAGCTTGAGGTCTAGTATGAACTGTGCCCAAAGGAGAATGTATCTGTGTAGGAATTTGTGTCACATTCTGTCCAATGGGACTAACTGGCTTATTAGAAAGTGAAGGTGTAGTTGTCTTAATACTAGACACATTAATGCTTTGTATTTGAGTTCCTACAGTACTTGTAACATGCGTCCTATCAGGCGTAGATGATGTTCCCGTTTGCAAACTATTTGTTGAACATCGATTTCTATTTGGGTATGACCTAAGTGGTTTCCTTTTTAAAACTCCATTATCAACTTCAATGAAATTATGCAGCACAGTCTAAAAACATATATACATAATTGTTATTTTATATAATTTTATTTTAAAACTGTGTATAAAAAATACTCATACTTACTTGTGAAGAACTATTATTTTGATTTTCATTCACATTGGCAGTCTGAGTTTTTTCTGATATGAGCACACCTTGTTTTGAAACCGTATTTACATTAATACTATTTTCTTGCATTTTTATCCATCGTAATTGTTGTACATCATTGTTGCAATCTACAAATGCTTTAGAACCTAAACAGTAGAACATTTATCTTTATTGTTTCTATTGTAAACTCTATCTTTCATAATGAATTTTTAAATTTACCTTTATTATCCACGCTTACAATATTTCTACCTATAGTATTAGTATTTACTGTCGCAGACTTTAATGTACCTTGAGACGAATCTAACTCGTTTGTATTTGTTTTAATTATAAAAACGCTTTGTCTGAAAAAACATTTGTCATATTAAACATTTAAATGCATGTTACATCTATTAGTATTCATAGTAATATAAATAAACACAATATTACCCAAAAAATAATGTAACTTATGTCTTGCATTTTTTGTTAAATTATTGTATAATTTTATAAAATTATTTAAAATAATAAAATCATTCATATATAACTTAAATTGTTTCAAACAGGTATTATTTTTGTTAGTAGAAAGAATGAGGAAGAAAGGGTGCATTGGTACATTTTTAAGCTTACTTTATAAAATATAAGATTGATTACAAATTCAATATTTATATAAGTGAAACTGGAATTATTTAACAAATAGGTATTTCGATTTCAAAAAAATATTTGCATCCATATGTTATAAATGACAATATACAATTTGTTAAAGGAGAATAAATTAAATATTTTATTATATAACACTAAAATAATATAAATTATTGCCATTAAGATTATATGTAAATATCTAATATAATATTATTTTGTATTATGCAGATGTTCCTTTACTATAAGTATTCAAACTACTGCTAATTCAATATTACTATAATTTGTAAAACCATGATATAAGTAAAGTATTAAATTTCAATAAAAAACATTACATTTACATGTATGTATGTTTACTTATTTTATTAAATAAACCGTGTAACTTACATGATATGTGCACATTAGACATGCTTACATGTGTTTGCTATAAATGTTTAGATTATTGAATAAATGTTATATAAATGTTTAGATTATATTAGTAAAAAATTATATTATTTATAGGGTGTTTCTTTGAGGCACACGTGTACAATATGCTATGGTAATATATCTCTTTGTATTTTATAAACATATTGTGTACAAACATTAAAATGTCTTTAATATGTTATACTTTGTTGTAATCAGAAGACTATCTTAAGAAGTGTTCACAGTGGGGTTTTATATTTCTATACCATATGCTGAAATAGACACAATCTCCTTTTAATGATTGGGTAATTTAAATGTTGATAAAATTGTGTGTAATTAAATATTTAAAGTTCATACTAAATACTCATGAAATTAAAATGTATATTTTGATTAAATTAAACAGATATGAAAAAAATATTCTTTCATGATTCATAACATGCTTAATAATGGATATTTAACTTTCATAACCAGCACCACATACCAATACCCCCTTTTCTTTTTCCTCAAATATCTGATATCATTTATATTTCTGCATATGTATGTATCAATTGTATATATATGTACATATATATACAAAATTGAAAGCACGAAGATACCACACTGCTACTTGATTACTCGGGATATTGAAAAGCATGCGCAAAAATTACCCTTGCTCCAATTGCGATGTAGCAATTTGACTTCCTAAGTTAATTTGCTGAGAAAATATCGCTTGCTCGCTGTTTTGTGGTGCAGTAGTATAAGTCAAAAATTGCTGACACCCATTACCATCATTATTTATGTCTTCAACAACTAATTGTACACTTTGTCCCTCTGCAGAGCAAATTGTCTGTACTTCTTCAAGTGTTAACGTACCACTGGCATTAGTCACAAAATTATAATACTGTGCCATATTATTCAAGACTTAAATGCTTGCAAATATGATCTTTTGTTAATCAATGTAGAGTAAAATGATCGATATCACAACTATACCGGATTACACCAGTCCATCAATATCATATCTGTAGAACGACGAATAAGTATCTGCACGATAAAACCTATTAAAAATAATTTAAAATTACTTATGATTTCTGATATGCATTTATAAAGATCAGACTCTATTATTTGTTAGAAAAAAAAAAAACAGAATAAAAATAAATAAGTACATCTTAAAAACTAAAAAGAACTGACTTAACAAAAGTGATCCAGTAACATTTTAGCAACTATTCTTTTCTTAATTCATTACATAGATGTACCACATAATTATGTTAAGTAAATACAAAAATTACATATTTGCAAAAACAGATTATTTCTATTATATTTTTATGTTCAGAAGTTATGCTTTCTATATTTGATATAAGTATTTAAAATAAATATGTTTTGAAAATTACAGTAAAGTTTTATTAAATACAAAATACAACTTCAATAAATATAAAAAGCATACTAAAAATATTTAATTTTTTTACACATGGATGTGAAATAAAACATTTAACTTCTTAAGTAGTCTCCCATAAATAATTTCTTAAATATTTGATAAGATCCTAACTTACTTCACAATTAAAAATGAAATCTAAACATAAGTATAGGATGCATAAAAGAATTTTATTTTTAATTAAAATATTTACAAATTTGTGTACAACATGTGCTTCAAAGATTTGCAATTTTGACAAAAACTATCTAATTTTATCAATAAAATTATTTTTTTGAATTACTTATATGTAGCAAAATTTTAAATAAGAAAACCATTATTATAGTCCAAAATAGTAAGAGTCTAATATGGAAAAATTTATACAAATAAAAAACATGGAATTTATTATTGAAGTATAAGTTTAGAACATCCAGTAATATTTGTATACATTGTTTCAATTAATATTCTGAGATACGTCCCATCATCAAATACATGATACGTATTCTCGTATATAAGAACAATTTAAGATTAAATATAATACTGTTATGAAAACCATCAAATACAATAAATACAAATTCTAGTTTTAAAACCTGATATACTCATTATGTTTCAATGATACCAAAATAACAGTTGTGATTTAATAATACATTTATTCTTAAAAGTCTTACTTGTATCATATAAAATACTTATACCATAGGGTATTATCTGCTTAATATTATTTATAATTATAACTTTGCATTAATATAAAAGCAACTTTCTAAATATTAATACAACAAATGTTTATTTCAATTATATTAACTAGATTATCTCATAATCTGAAATTTAAGTAAATGTAAACTTTGCAGGGAAAAATGTGCATATAAAGCTGCATAAACATTGTTAAACTGCAAATCATAAAACATAAAAAAATGAAAACTTTAATTGCATGGAAATTAAAAATGATTCTAACAAAACTTTATCCTAAAAATATGTTTTTTCTTTATTTTTAAGCGTTTACTTATATGATAATCACTGCCCAATAAATTAATGGCAAATATATAAAGCATCAGTACCATAGCTCTGGCAAACAATACGTTTACATAATAGTTGCATACAGCTGATGAGGTATGAAAAAACTGAAAAGTTGTGAGAAGTTTCTGATACAGCATGTGATGCAAATTCTAGGACATGTTGAATCTAAGTAGGTAATAATAATGAATATGTAAGTTAATTCTATTATTTTCACTAATGTTGTTATTATTGTAGCATTTGTCAATGTATATCAAAACTTGAAAATAACAATACGAATGCGAGAAATATTTAAATTTCTAACAACCATAACCTCGAAAAATGAAGCGAGAAATCGATTTTATCCTTTCGTATCTGTTTGAAATAGAAATTATTGAACAAAAGTAACAACAGGTATATGAAAGCTGAAAAAATGATCGTGAAATATAAAGTATTCGTAATTCAATGTTCAAACATGCAGGATAAGTGATAAAATTGTTTGAGAATATTCTTATAACCTTGTTTGAAAAATGCAATTATCTTACGTAAATATTGTAATAAAGTAACAGTGAGAACATTTGTATTTTACTATATTGCAAAGCGGCTTAATTTGTTAATTTCGTATGAAAAACATGCGGAAATACCGACTTGAATATGAACCGATGTCTAGTGCACACATTACAAATTTTTTATTTAACTGACAACCGTAATACTTACAAACCTTTGTGTAAGAAGTAAATACACAGTCCTCAATTCTAGGATAACAAATATTTCTTTAATTGTATTACAGTTATTTCGTTATACTCCGTAGAAGTAAATAACAACTCCAATTCGCCATTTTACGTTACCGTTTATGTGAAAGAATCGCAAAGCAACCGACAGACCGCAAAAGATTACGCCACTGCGTCACTGAAGTAGAGTTTCCGGCTCCGGTTTTCTAAGATGTTAGTGGCGCGAAATTCGGTATAGAACATTTATTATTTTATTAAATATTATAAATATGACATAAATTCGCTTTGTATATGTTAATTCAAATGAAATTAATTTTATTGTTGAAATTTTTCTTAAATCACACATGAAAAAAAACATATAACTCTTTATATGCAATTTTAAGGTGAGTTTAAATTATATTAAACGAACAAATGTTCAAACAACGCAACATCAGCCGGTCACACAAACAAAATATAAAAGAAAGTTCGTCGAGTAAATTTGAGTCATGTCGGATTTAAATCATAGATCTTACGTCTTTAATTAAAATGCATCAAACTGAAATCAAATTGAATCTCATTAATTTGAATTAAATGGAATTAGAACGCGTCTAGTTAAATCGTATCGGAATGGAATATGTGAAATTAACTCTGAAATATTCGGTTGCCTAATTTAAACGCGTGCTTAGACACCAAATTAAATCAAACGCACAGTTCCGTATTAAATATGCAGACTCATTGTATTTATTAGTTCCAAATCATATACAAATTACAAAATACTTAAAGATTTGCTACACATAAGCAAATAATTAAACATTTCATAGACATTTAATCCAATGGATAGATGATTACAAATTCGTTACAATGCACATGATTTACATTTGAAAAATAAAACTAACTAGTCAGTCATGTATTCAACATCTTCTCTATACTCGGTGAAAGATTTGTATCTTTTCCTAGTAATATTTTCACGACATAAAGGAATTATTCTATGTCCACTACGCTTTAACGTGTATATACTAAATGGGAAAAAGTTTTCTACTGTAGTCGTTACTATTTTGTCATCGTTGTATATTGGAAGTTGATTTCGTGTATTATTTTCAATTATCGTATAACAATATGCTAACTGATACATTCGGGTGAACTCTGCGAAATTATGCACGATTTCAGAATGGCAGGATTTTAAGGGATTTAATTTACACGTTATAATTTTTGCTAGATCCAATTCTTGTAAATACAACATATCTAAAATAAACAAATTTAATTATTTACTAATACTCTCACAAATAAACGAAACATTTTTACTTACATTTCTTCGAATCTTGATAGTCATTATGCCTTTTGGTAATTATTAGAAATAATGCTTGGCAAACGGCATAAAATACAGTGTGATCCTTTCTTGTATGGTCTGCATATTGCAAATGATCCTGCATATTAATGTAATCGTGTATCCATTTAGACATTTTGAATTGCACTGCTTTCACTAGCCTGATACAAATGGAATAATTAACAATCGTATATACATACACTGTTTAATACATTTAATATAATGGGATTGAAGCATTACCCTGCACTAACAAACTTTGCAGTAGCCACCAAACTAGCAATGTATGAAACGGATGATTGCCGTATAATGGATGGTACATTAGGATCTGTTCCTTTACGCCATAACCAATCTATAAAACTCTCCACAACAGCTGTTTTAAAACTACAAATATAGAACATAATATACTGCACGTACTGACTTGCATGAGTAGGTAATATTACTGTTTCAAATATATTTAATAAGTCAAAATAAAGGCTTCTTAAAGATTCTATTCGTAAAACTCCTTCAGTGAAACAGGAGTCATACATATATTTTAGAATCAGTTCTATGCACACATCCAATTTATGAGCTATTGGATGCATTTCATCTGTTTCTGTCCTACTCTTTCCTTCAACAATGTTATTTTCATTACCAAGTGTGCTATCAGATTCATTATCGTCTATCATATCCTCATCCTCATCATCTACCTCTGAATGGGGTATATTTACATCTAGCACTACTAATCTGTAAAAAAACAGTGTTTATTTTCGTTTTCGAACCCTTAAAATCATATTGTATATATAACTGCATGTTACCTGTTAATAATTAAAGACAAAATATCAGAACGCATTTGAGGTGCATATTCTAATATTTGAATTAATGCGTACACATAAACTTCATGTGTATGAGTTCCATGAGCCATATATGGAAACCTTCCTCTGAGCGACTGCAATAGCAGTTTGCTTGACCTAAAAAAAGGTTTATAATTTGTAGAAACCATTTTTATTAAACTGTAGATTAAAAACACACTAAAATACTTACATTGGTAAAATTATTAAAGTTTTACGAAAAACATCGTGTATGTGATTTAACCTTTGAAGAGTCTCTTCTTTACATTCTCCAGTTTCCCATTTCGCATCATCATTTTCATCTATATCAAATCAAAATTTTAACAAAAAACTTTGTTGACATGTGTACATACAATTAGAATGTTTCAAAATACCTGGTTTAAATAATTCAACTAAATTATCTATTACAGTTTTAGCATAATAAGTTTGTATACAAATTAAATTTTCTAGAAAAGCTTTATAAGCGTTTATTACTTCCATAGAACGATTCGTCCATTTTATTTGCAAAATAGTATCTAAAAGTGTTTTGTGAGCCGGACCAAGTAATGATGTACACTGTTTTACATTAGCCAAAAATTCAACTAAATCTGAATCCTAGAATTGAAAATGATAAAAATTTAGTTTAGAAAACGAATCAATAATAGTTATACTCGATGAGGAATGCTATTCCTGTGATAAACAATTTCTTTTCTTGCTTTATTTATAGTTCTTTTTTTTTGAACAGGAAATCTCTGATCATGGAATAGATTTAAACTGATAAATGAATATATTAGTCCATAATTTCACTTTAAACTATATTTAACTACCCACAGAAATAACATTTTCTCTGAAACCTTCATGTATTACTGGTCTAGCCAAAATTAAAGTATAAAATTGATAACTTGATCGATATAGCTATATTTATGGTCATGCATGCCTGAAATTACAAATGCTTGCAATTCAAGTAATTGGATACGTGTATGTCGAGCACAGCTATGTCGATGGAAGTATCAGTTTTGAACTCTAACTTATAATTGCACAATATTATGTCATTATTCAATTTTCAAACTGAACATACCTTTATACATGAGTCACGTAAGACGCATATTAAATCATCATAATCCTTAGTTCCATTGCCACTTTCATAATTGTAAATAATAGTCCTAAAATCTTTTGGGAGCTTAAAATATACTTTGTTAGATCTACGGATCAGCTGTGATCTAACTCCTGAAGATTTTAAGATCGATGATACGCTGCTTACTCTGGATGACACAACTGACATCTGTTCAGGAGACATAAGATAAAACGTATATAATATTCAAATAATTTTGTGATAAAAAGCTTCGTTGATCGAACCGATACAAAAGTCACTCAAGAAATGCAAATGTCATATACGGAATTTCTCGAAACTGTCAAGCACATGTGCAAAAAAAAGTATAAAGAGGTTATGATACAAAATATCCGGAAGTCAGTCATTACTCACTGTTGAATTTATATTTGCAGTTCTCTAATCGTACAGAACGGTTTAATAATTTCGAGTCATATATCTTTTTACATTTTGAAAGTGTATTTTATAGCAAGAATACCGTACTCTAAATTAATATTTCCACACGTGCACACCTTTCCACATGGAATCCGAGAGCCGCTTCCGATTACGTGCATTCTTGCATCGATATGCTATCGATAGCGCTTTCGATTCATCAAACAATCGATGTTTATTTAAAAAGTCAGATCATGTTTTGCAAACAAAGTATTAATTACAGTATAATTATGCGATTATATGCAACAAAATTTATTTATGAAAGATATTAAACTGTTCTCGATTTAATACATTAATGTAGGGCTTCTGTGTATTAAAACTTTAACGCAAAATTTAACTAAAAATAAAATAACCGTTACTACCGATTGCTAAGTACTGATTAAAGAGTTTGATTTATTTGTACTACTTTTTTAAATAATATACAGTGTATTGGTTTTTAGAAAATTATAGCCAAATTTTATTGTTAGTAAATGAAAAATTAATTTCATTTTCTTTCTGAATTGTTTTATTTTGTTTAAACCGATTGGTACAGAAGGTTTTACATTATTTGGTACAGAAGTCACAGATACACCAAAATATCGATTTTTCATATTAATTTATTGAAATCAATAATTTAGTGACAGATGAAGTTTATTATAGTGCAAAACTTAAAGTACATTCGAAAATATTTTACATCTATCCGCAGTTGCATCGTTTTAAAAGAAACCATTAAATGGATTCTTCACTTTTTGGCATATTGAATTTGATAATGAATCGCAATAAAACACAATCGTCTTATATCACAAAAATATAAAAACATTTGTACTGTTCCGCATCGGAAGCAACAATTTAGTCCCTGATAAATTATCGATTAGAAACTATAATTTTTATATTTTTTTTCCTTTTCTTCTACTTCTTTTTAACTATGTTAATATTATAGATGAACTGTTTGACTACTTTGCTGTTTCGCCGTTGCTTTAAGGACACATTGTACATATTTTGGCAAATGATCTAACCCCATTCGTGGCGTTACAAGCAGTTCCGAAAATTCTTCCGGTTGACACCATCGCATTTCATATTTTTGCTTCTTTGCTTTTTTCTTTTTCCTAAAAAGAACATAAATTTTAACATTAATATCTTCGAATAATATTAAGAGTTCATAAACAATTTTTTGATCAATTTATCGAAGGAAGTTGCAACATGGTAACTTACCCTCTTTTATCTTTTTGCTCAGCTTTACAACTTATTATATGAAGTATTCTGCCTGCTACGTATAATTTCGCTTTTGATAACCTCCTTTTTGTTATATCATCCTCGTATATCTGTTGTTCCTGCAACAGAATATAATTACTTTAATTCAATATTTTTAATGTCTTCCACAGCAATATAAAATATCGGCGATTTGGATTCAGTAATATAATAAGTTTATTTTGTATTATTAATAAGTCTATTTTTCAACCGTATATGTTGAAATTCTATATTAAAAATGTACCTCTGTTTTCGGAACATATTTTATGTTTAGTAAAGGCGATTGTCCTGCTGAGGTGTTGATTACCCCGCTATCAGTCCACGCTCTATTGAGATCTTTTTCTGGTATTTGACCAAGCAGCATATAACTTAAACCATTTAATATCACTCTGTACTAAAAGAAAACAAATATTTAGTATGTTACACACACAGTTTCTTTCTTTCGTTTACGTATATAGTTTCAGTCACATGAAGGGTGTTCGCGATACGTGGACGAATTTCTCTTGCAAGAACCTTAAAAAAGTTGTACTATTTTTCAGTAACAACAAGGTGATCGATATTCAATTTTTAGATTTACATTATTTTCCGAGAAATGACCTGTAAGGTCATGAAAAGGCATTATCGCAAACGCATATGTATTTTTGCAAGTACATGTACCACACGTGTTATGTATATTTCAGAAATATATGCAGTTACTCGCATTAATATTCGGACTAGAACTGTTTGTTATCTTGCATAAGAGGATGACATAAGAAATGAATAAATGACATAGTTTGTTTAAAATGTATTGCATATTGAAAAATAGTTGAAATGGAACTTCGTATATTTTCTGTGAAATAAGTAGTATGATTAACAATTCCTGCTTATATACAATACAGTCTCCGAATATTAATGTAACTGTACGTAAACTAACGCATAAATCGACACCTGATTTTTGAATATTTAACATAAACAAGCTAGTTAGAAAGTGGTTCGTATCAAAATATTAGGTGATTATAAAGATTTTGAATTAATTAATGTACCTTGGGTAATCGACAAGACTGAAGGCACATGATTAATGATACTCTGAGATCCTCTATACTGTTCATACTTAGCCTCATTACTAAATCATCGCCAACTCCAATCGTTAGAGCGAATTCTTCCGACGCTTTGGCAGCTTGGCGAGATAAAAGACCGGCTAATTAAAGGATTTCTCATTAGTCAATAAATTAATATGTCGGAATTGTTACGTAGACGAACGTTTGGTAAATAATCACCTGGTGTGGAAAACGCGTAGACCTTTACATTCGGGTATCGTGGTCGCAAGTAAAAAGCTAAAAGAATACCGATACCAGCACCCAGACTGTGACCTGTATACGAAATTAATTTTTACGAATGATTCGTTACAAAATATCAATATATTCAATTTTTTTAACTTCCAGTATTTTTAACGCATTTTTGGTTAAGAAATTATTACGAAAATTTTAAAATGTAGAAAAATGATTTTGAATCTTGGCGCCATTATTTTGAAAATGGAGACGCAGGAATGTGGATTTCTCAATTTAATTTCGCGTAAAGAATTTTTAGACAATTTGTGTATTAATAAATAGAGAGATACGAAAATTAAAGAAATTGATCGATTAGTGATTACTAAATACTAAATATAATTTATTATTTTCCTTTACACTCGAAAATTTTTGCTTTTTGCAGCATCCTTAAAACTAGTTTCCTTAAATTTACTAGTTGAAAAGTTTGCTGAATTTTTTTGAAGTTATCGTTTCTCTGTTATAATTTTTGTTATCTGTTTCGCTATGATTATAAAGTGTAAGACATAGTTAAAAAATACTTCCAAGTTATCGAATTAAATCGAATTAAATCGCTCGTGTCATATTAATTCTGTATTAATATATTAATACGTATAATAAGCATCTTCAAATTTATTAAACTATATAAACTTTTAATTCATTAAGATAATGCATATTGAAAAATTTAGTTTACCTGTGATCATTAAATTAAATTCAGAATACGTAATGAACGCTCGTTCCAAGACTTTATTTTCATCCAATTGGTTTAAAATGAACTTGGCTGCTGCAATCATACAGGTGTGTCCCTGTATAAACGAGCATGAACGATGAATAATTCGTTCAGTCAAAGTTTAATTTTCTGTTTCGTGAATAATTTTAATAAAGAATATGTAAAGGTCATATCATTTGTTGGTAATGATTTACCTGCGAGCCAGGTGGCACACCTTCCCATTCGAAAACGTCGGAATCGGCAGCGAAGTCCGTGAATATATCACGTATCGACAGAGAACCTCGTATTACAATGACGATTTTTTTCATTTTATGGTCGACGTACACGCAGTACGGTATCTGTAAAGTGTTTACAAGCTTAAATTGCAGTGTTCTGTCAGAAAGATAGTAGACTCTCATTATTTCTGTCTGCGACATGGAAACTCCTTGAAATTGACGATATTGAAGGTGCGGAATTTAACATTGTTTACCGAAGTTTCCATATTCAAGTTTTGAAGTAAAAACTTTCCAATACAATTTCAAAATTTCAGTATTGAAACTTAAACTTTCAAATTAAATTTTCAAATTTAAGCTTACAAATTGAATCTTCAAAATTTTAATTTTTAAATTTAAGTTTTCAAATTAAATTTTCAAATTTAAGCTTTCAAATTAAATTTTCGAAATTTTAATTTTCAAATTTAAACTTACAAATTGAATCTACAAAACTTTAATGAAGTATAAGATTACAAATTGAATCTTCAAAACTTTAATCAAATTTAAGCTTTGATCAAACTTCAATCAAACCTCAGCTTTCAAATTAAATCTTACAAATTTTATTTTCCAAATCTCAGGTTTCAAATCGAATTCTCTAAATTTTAATTTTTAACTGTAAATTTTTCAGTTGCAATTTTCAAATCTAAGTGTTGAAACTAACCGTACGTGTAAGTCAGTATGGAGATTGCAATATAATTACAGTTTATAAAAGCGGGTTGTTCGGTACAAACCTCGCATATGCGATCTCGAAACGATGCAAACAGTATGTCGTCCGCAGATATACCCGATAAATCTTTGAAACCTCCTAAATAACAATAGCAACAATTGTCACCGTTGATTGCGGTATGTTTCCTGCAATTTAATTATGACTAATTAGTTGCGACATTAGATGATCATCTGTGCTTAGAAACAGTCAAGATTTCATTTGTTCATAATTTAAGAATGCATGAAATGAAATTGAAAAATATAGTTGAATATAAAAATGAGTAATCGTACTTTTAAAATAAATATAATCTAAATTGAGTTACTCTAATACTATATCATTATTACACTGTTCCATTAAAAAATATACTATCATTATAATAATAGTTTTGAACACGACCCCAAAATATGCAAGATTTTTTCAAATTAGAAAGTTTTTATACTTTTATCGAAATCATTTTTATTTTTGTCGATATTTACCGATATTAATGATTTGTCGATACATTTAACATGGATTTCAATTGATTGTTCATTTTTAATAAACAAGAATTTACCGGAAACATCCGCAACACGTCAAATTTGCGATAACTCGAAAACACCCCGTGTAGCAGTGTTTATACATAACAAATATCCATCCATAAACGGCTAGACAAATTTTCATGTAGTGAAGTGCATCGTCCAAGGACATCCAGCTTGGTGCGTCATGAAATATTGCAGATACATCTGGAAGGAGAAATCGTACTCGTTAATCGATAGGAAAAAATAAATTAATATGTTATCATCACGCAACTTTGAAATTTTCCTATGTTTATTATAATATTTATTCTCGTCGCGTTATGTGGGATAATCAAATATAAACGAGCCTTCTTTCAAAATTATTTACGAGTGTACAAATTGTTTGTCGAGTCTCCTTCTGTGATGCGTTTTTTCCAACGTCTGGGCAGATTCTTTATTCCACGTTTTTTACTTGATCGTTGTGGACGTGGATTTGCAACACGACCTTGCTTGAAATCGTTGCACCTTCACTCTTGGCCATGAAAAGGTATCTACCCCAAACTGGTCTACGATTTTCGGCTGGTTTCACGCCTTCGCGAGATACGAACTTTATTATACGGTGCTCAATGGAAACGCATAGTTTTCTCAAAAGTTTTCTTAGAACTTCTTAGTGTGAACTGCTCAGAACTTCTGAACGAACGGGATGAGCCGACTTCTTTTCTTTTCTTACTCTAAGAATGCCTGCCTAGAGACTTCAATTGTTCAATCACGCACAAATTATTTCCAAATACACAGCGAGAAAGGCTCATTCATATTTCATTGCCCTATATACATTTACAAAAAAAAAAGATGGCAAAATCCCATTTTCGTATTTATTTTTATGTAAGATTGTAAAAAACTTTTATGGACTACTTTTGTGTTATTTATAGACACATGAAACTTTCTTTGAGAAATTTTAAAGAATCATTCTGAATTTTATTCGAATCAAATGAATTATGAAAGTACACTTTGTACAAACTCAAAAGCCTCGATCTTAAAGTTTCAAAAGTTTTGAAATTCTTCAAATTATTTTGTACAGAATAAAAATATTAGAAGACTGAAACTCTGAAAATTTTGAACGAATTAAATGTTTTGAAATTCTTAAAGTTTTTAAAATTTTCAGAATTATTAAATGTACTAAAAGTTTTGGAATTCTTAGAGTTCTTGAAATTTAAAAATTTTAAAAGTCTTGAAATCCTCAAGATACTTTTCGAAGTTTTTGAAAATTTTGCACATTCTAAAAATATTAAAAAGCTGAAACTCTGAAAATGTTGAACATATGAAATGTTTTGAAATCCTTAAAGATTTTCATATTTTAAAAATTATTAAATGTATTAAAAGTTTTAGAATTCTTAGAGTTCTTGAAATTTAAAAATTTTAAAAGTCTTGAAATCCTCAAGATATTTTTCGAAAGTTTTGAAAATTTTTAAGTAACAAAAATTTTAATATCCTTCTCCTTCTCCTAGTTTCGTAAGTTTTTAATGTCTTCCAAATTTTTTAAGTTCTGAAAACGCTACTAATCTTTAAATTTTTAAAGGTACTAAGAATCTCGAAATTTTTAAAGTTACTTCTGAAATTCCTATAAAATTTTTATGACACAAGTTTCTAAGGTGTCGAAAGCGTGGAAAGTCTGAAATGTCTTTCTAATTACAAAACACCGCGAATTATAGAAAAGTATAGCACAGAATACATACCGGAAGTGTAGACTGGAGCAGGAAGCATGTTTAGACGTCGTAATTCGTGGGTTTCGTATTTTTGTCGAATTCTGAGCAGAATTATTCCTGCCAAGCAGTCAGAAGGTACTAAATCCGTTCCACGAAACAGACAGGTAAGTCCGGCTATAAAATGTTGTTTAATAATCAGTATAATTATAAACTACTCTAAATGTCTTTTGTTGTGGGCCAAAAGTCACGTCATTTTTGTCAGCAGATTTAATTTATGTCATTTTCACAAAGAACCAAAATAGTACATGCAAGAAATGAATTCATATAAATTCACGTTCAAAATAAAAAAGCTCTTAATAGTCATTGCACCGAGTCCTATACGATTATGTTACACACTGACGCTATTTGTATATGTGTGTTATATGTAAACTGTTATATGTAACAGTTTATATGCGAGCTGTTATTTTCGGTATTTATGTACCATACTCCTAGGACTCTGATTTGATTGTCATTTAATACATAATTCAGTATTGCAGCTTTAAATTAATTTTTTGTCATACATGTTTTATTTACACATCGATAGTTTATGACTTTTAATAGTCAAAATTACTGCTACATACTCTAAACTTCTTTGTTAATAAAAAACTTTTTAACACTTTAATGGCCGTTTCATATGTGTGTGTGTCACATGTGTCATTGGCCGGCACCCTTTGTGTGATGATTGCTTTAATAACTATCACACAAACGTAAAATGCTAAATTTGTTATTGTTTTCGTTTGTTTTATGTGTATGTACACACGTCGAATTATTTCGTGAATTTATATAAATTTTCTTTAAATTAATTCTTTAAAAATATTGCCGACCCCTTGCGACGTTTGACTGCGTGCGGCCATTAAAGTGATAACACTTTACTTTTTAACAAAGCAACGGTTAAAACCTCCTGAAAGAGTAACTGACAGAATCAAGTCAAGGTCATGGGCAGCCTCCCCTAAACGTAATTTTTACCCCATTTTAACACGTTGACTGCCACACAGAAAATTATATTAGATAGTATTTTTGTTTCTAATAAATCTTACCAAATATTCTCACAATATTTCGTTATATTATTCATAGTTTCAAATAGTTAATACGAATATTTCCAATTAGTTTAGTAGACAAATTCTTAATATAGATGGTAGATTCGTATGGAAGTGTCATCTATATGTGGCTAATGTGGCAGTCAAAATGTCGATCGAACGAATGCGTCAAATGTAAAATCGTCGGCAGGACTTTTACCAGACCAGCCGTACCTATTTCTCACCAGCGAAATGATCGAAGGCCAGGTTAGCATTTTCATCTTTCTTCATCCAGCAGAAACATCTGAACCTGCGTCTCCAGTTGTTGGCCAATTTGTCGTGTAGAGTAAAAGAGTCGTATTGTTTCTTTTCTAATGATCCCATAGGATCGAATATCACCACTAATCCAACAATCATCAGACCTATGAGAACCCAGTCGAAAACTACTAGCGTCTTCACTACGCTGACGGTATAGTGCTCGTAACTGCACTCAATTTCTGATCCGAACATCCACAAACTTCCTAAAGCATTCCATGCTATCTCGGGTAGGAGTAATAATATCCTATAAACGGTTTTATATAAATTTTATACAAATACGTTAAATAAAGATCAAGTATGAACAAGGAGTACTTGTACTATTGTTGTAAAAATTTAGTTTTTGTGAAAAATACCTTGGTGAGGTGTTAGAGTTGGAAGATGTCATAGTACACTTCTGTTATATTGCCAAAATGTAGATTATTACGTTTTCTTATTTAGAGGTTCAGGATTTTAGAGATGTAGAAGTTTGGAATTTTAGGAATTTAGAAGTTTAGGTGTTTAGGGACTTGCGAAATTAATAATTGAGAGAATAAGAAATTATAGAATTATAGATTTAAGAATGTTAGGAACTTATGAGTGTAAGAATTTGGAAAGATGGGAATTTTAAAATATAGAGATTTTGAGATTAAAAAGTTTGGAATTTCGCCTTTTTTAAATTGGAATTTAATAAACATGAAAATTCTAGAGATTGGGGAATTAGCAATATAGATATTTAGAAATTTAGTAATTTAGAAATTTAGTAATTCGGAAATTTAGAAGTTCGGAAATTTAGGAATTCGGAAATTGAGGAATTTGGAAATTTAGAAGTTCGGAAATTTAGGAATTCGGAAATTGAGGAATTTGGAAATTTAGAAATTTGGAAATTTGGAAATTTGGAAATTTGGGAATTCAGAAATGTAGAAATTTGGAAATTTGGAAATTCGGAAATTCCGGGAATTCGGGAATTCGGAAATGTAGAAATTTGAAAATTTGGAAATTCGGAAATTTTGGGAATTCGCAAATGTAGAAATTTGGAAATTTAGAAATTGAGAAAAAATATAGCCGGATAAGGTAGTCAAATGTGCCCCCGAGTCAAATGAAAAATCCAATACGTCAGTCGGCAGCATATCCAAAAAAAGCAAACGTACGAAAATTCCGAAAAAATTCTAAAACATTGAAGTCCTCGTAGCGCAAATTATAGAAATTTTTTAGATTTCTTGATCGCAAATTGTAGTTGTAAAAAATCCGAAAAAATGCGATTTTTTAGTGAAGATGTCGGAGCACTAGTTTTATATTAATGTGGTAGTTACTGTCACGCGATTTTATGAGGAAATCCCGGTCATGCAAAAAAATAAAATCCATTAAAATTTTATGAAAAGTAATAATGAAATACATTAATGATACAATCTTGCAATAAATAAAAATGAAGTAAATTTTAAATGAAACTTAGGCAATTACTTAGAACAATGTAACTTTTAGTTTTATATATTTTACAATGTTAGTCTGTGACTGACGTAGCAGTCCACGCATTCAATTGTTAAAAAAAGCAAAATACGTGCTGAAGAAAAGCTAGTTAAGTCATTCAGTGAGAAAATAACGCTGCGCGTAAGTACGTGCATATTTTTTTAGAACAATAATATTTACAGTTCATCGTGATTATGCGTTAAATAACTATGTTTATGCAAATCTTTGCAGAACTTTGTAGAAATTTGCACAAGATTTCTATTGCTGTCTGTACATTATTATTAATGATTTATCGATGTTTTTCAGCAATTCAACTGAATTGAAATTCATATTATTACAGAAATGTCAATAGAAGAAAAAGGTGGTTTAATTACGTCGGAGCAAAAAGTCATGTGCGTCAGTGAATGTTATTGAGCATTTATGCAATTGGAATGGTCTAATTGTGATGTTCATAAAGTATAAGCGAAATATATTAAAAGGTCAACTGATAAAACTTCTATTGTGAGTAATCAAATACATTGTTGCAGTTTATGTAATTTTCTATCTTTAAATTTTTTGCCATAATGAATGTTCATAGACTTTCAATTTTAATGTTATGATTAGGTGTTAGAATATTTTTGAATATGTGAACTCGTATAACTTGGAATTTCCACGTTTAAATATTTATGCTGTTGAAGTTTTTGAGGTCGAAATTTTGGAAATTCAAATTTTCCAATTCTTTAATTTCTATATTTGTAGAACTCTTATCTAAATTTCTAGATTTCTGAATTTCTGAATTTCTGAATTTCTGAATTTCTGAATTTCTGAATTTCTGAATTTCTGAATTTCTGAATTTCTGAATTTCTGAATTTCTGAATTTCTGAATTTCTGAATTTCTGAATTTCTGAATTTCTGAATTTCTGAATTTCTGAATTTCTGAATTTCTGAATTTCTGAATTTCTGAATTTCTGAATTTCTGAATTTCTGAATTTCTGAATTTCTGAATTTCTGAATTTCTGAATTTCTGAATTTCTGAATTTCTGAATTTCTGAATTTCTGAATTTCTGAATTTCTGAATTTCTGAATTTCTGAATTTCTGAATTTCTGAATTTCTGAATTTCTGAATTTCTGAATTTCTGAATTTCTGAATTTCTGAATTTCTGAATTTCTGAATTTCTGAATTTCTGAATTTCTGAATTTCTGAATTTCTGAATTTCTGAATTTCTGAATTTCTGAATTTCTGAATTTCTGAATTTCTGAATTTCTGAATTTCTGAATTTCTGAATTTCTGAATTTCTGAATTTCTGAATTTCTGAATTTCTGAATTTCTGAATTTCTGAATTTCTGAATTTCTGAATTTCTGAATTTCTGAATTTCTGAATTTCTGAATTTCTGAATTTCTGAATTTCTGAATTTCTGAATTTCTAGATTTCTGAATTTCTGAATTTCTGAATTCCCAAGTTTCCAAGTTCCCAAGTTCCCAAGTTCCCAAGTTCCCAAGTTTCCAAGTTCCCAAATTTCCCAATTTCCAATTTTCCAAATTCTCAAATTCTCAAATTCCCAAGTTCCCAAATATCCAAATTCTCAAATGCCCAAATTCCCAAATTCCCAAATTCCCAAAAATGACAAATCTTCACATCAACTCCCTGAGACAGTAAACCCCAGTTCCCAAATTCTAAGAACACCAAATCCCTAAATCCCCAAATCTCCATATTTCCAAATTCGCAAGTTTCCAAACTCCTAACTCGCCAACTCCCCAGGACCACCTTACGAGTTCCCTAATTTTAAACCTAAATCCCCATTTTCCTAAATTTCCATCCGCGACATCTGAAATTCCCAAATTCCCAAGTTCCCAAATTCCCAAATTCCCAAATTCCCAAATTCCCAAATTCCCAAATTCCCAAATTCCCAAATTCCCAAATTCCCAAATTCCCAAATTCCCAAATTCCCAAATTCCCAAATTCCCAAATTCCCAAATTCCCAAATTCCCAAATTCCCAAATTCCCAAATTCCCAAATTCCCAAATTCCCAAATTCCCAAATTCCCAAATTCCCAAATTCCCAAATTCCCAAATTCCCAAATTCCCAAATTCCCAAATTCCCAAATCCCAAATTCCAAAACTCCAAAATTTCAAAATCCCAAAATTCTCAAATTCCCAAATTTCCAAGTTCCATAACTCTAAAATTCCAAAATTTTTAATTTTAAAATTAAAAATTTCCTAAATTCCAAAATTCCACAATTCCAAAATACTAAAATTGCACGATTTTAAAATTTCAAAGTTCGAAAATCGCAAAATTTCAATATATCCAGAATTTTAGAAGATTCTAAGAAGATCAGAAAGGACTAGAGTATTAGCAGGATCTGAAAAGAATAGTATATCCAGAAGTTCGTAAAAGTATAAAATATCCAGAAGTTCATAAAATAATAGAATATCCAAAAGAATATTCGGAAGATCAGAAAAGAATAAAGTATTCAGAAGATTAAAATAGTCTTCAGACATGTAACCGATAACCTCTGTCAGTATTTTATAACGTACATCGTACGTTTGTCTAATGATATGCAAGTCATAATACAACATGAAAAATATTCACTCACTTAGCTGTGACGAGAGGTTCGACATATTTGCGAGCACGTGTGTCCATTATAGCTCCTTTTGCGCTATGTCTTACGATGACCAACATGAAAATTATAGATATGAGTAAAAATACCGCTTCTCCGAGGAGATATACTCGAACGAGTTCTCCTCCTAATCGACAACTCCATGTGTATTCGTAGTATTTGTAACAGGCACCACCAATAAGCATTAACCTGTGAACAATGTAGAGTCACCATTAATTATTTACATCGATATAATTTTTTTATTTATTACATTTCTTAAAAGTTTTTAAAAGGGTCTAGCCGAATAAATATGGGAAAACGGCACCAATTTTGATATTTATTCATTCTAAATATTCCTTTATATCCAAAAATCAATTACAGAAAGTTTCAAATGCCTACCCCGTCGTATAAGGGAGATATAGGGATAACAACCCTCAGAGTTAACGCCGATTTTCTCGAAAACGAGTTGTGATATCTGCACACATTCAAATGGAAAAGACAGATATTTATTAACTTTATAACATATATTTTTTTCAGAATTTTAGTTTAATCACAAGGGGTGGAAAAAAATTATTTTAATTTTTGGGGGTGGTTTTTGAGAACAACCCTGTGAGTGACAATCTCCAAAAAAATTAGGAATGATGTATTGCTATCGAATTATTATGTATAAAATCCTCAAGAGTGTCGGAGGGGTGGAGCATGGTTAAATAAATTAAAGAATATAATGATAGCGCGATTATTTCGATAACCGGTAGCACACAGGTTGCAATGATTGCCTCTAACATATTCTGATTTTGCAATAATAAGCAAGGGAATACCCATTTTTAAAAATATATTTTACACCATTTACAAAATGCACTGTTTTGTAATACCGACCGCAGAGCAGGTATTCGTTCTCTCCTCGGCGACCGAGCGAGTAACTTATAAGACGCTTGTTTTCCTTATACCTCAAAATAAAATTAGTTACATTATCACAATGTTTGTATTAATTATTTACGCCTCAAAAATTCTGCACATGCACCAATATAAAAAGTGTGCAAGGGTATTGGAAGAATTGAAAAGAAATTCTACTGTTATGAAGGAAATTAATGGAAGGAAACTGTTATGAGACCCTTTATACTTTATTTAACACTTCATTTAGGTGCAAGTAAGGACTCTATAGCACGGTTTGCATTATAAGTCATCACCAAGGTTATTAATTACCTGGAAAATAATTTGGGACTTCGAAGTCCCAGCAAGACTTTATGGAAGCACTATTTTTGTATAGTAATATTATATTATTTGGTAATATTTGAAATTGTACTTGCAGCTTGAAAAACACGAAAAGTTGAACAATGATTTTATCAATAATTAAGAACATGATATAAAGAAATAAACATATTAATTATAATATGGATATAGAGAATATAATTAAAAATATAAATATAGAAAAATATTTAAATTTAAATGCAGAGAAAAAAGTAGTCAATATTTATATACTTATTTATAACACTATCTTGTACATAAAAAACAGATCACTTCTGTCGCTGCTGTTTTTTTCGGTATTCAAAACAAAATTTTCCTCATTTATACATCTGTAATTGTTATAGTTTGAAGACTTTGAACGTCTTGACTCAACTTTCGCAGAACATTTCACATCTTGCGATGTGACAAATATTGACAAGATGACACTCATTATTCTGGAAACGAATGTGTTTTGGCACAGATGCAAATATCCTTCTTGGAGCCTTTCAAAATGCGAAACAAAGAAGTATTTTATAAAAAGTATCTCTAAACTCTGACACCGTCCTTATATTTCGCAAGCAGGTTTAGCACTAGGTTTACGGAACGCATTTTGACGCATTTCGAATGTTTTTAGGAAAATTACAAAAACCGTTCGCATTTTATTTTATTTCTTGTACTGACTTTTATCCATTGAACGATGTAAATATATATTGAAGTCTATTTTCTTCAAAAGCTTTGAAATATTGAAATTTGCTATGTGGTATACCTATCTCTACGGATGTGCGTCAATTTAACGCGATCGTAATGTAAATAAAATTTTTAGTAAATTAGTTTTACCGATGCAAAAATTACAACAATAATAAATGTGAATGCACCGACAATACCTTATAAACGACGGACTTCGCTATTACGGAGCCGCACGCGGTCGGCTCAGCCGGTATGCCGGGTTCGGATCCGGCGTCGCAGTTCAAATCGCAGTTCGCAGGGTAGAGGGCGGTAAAAATATGAATATAGAATATTGAAGTAATGTACTAAAATATTATTGAATAATAAAAACTTCCTATAAATATATATCTCCTATTTTCATTTCTTGTAGTGTTTAATTACATTGCTTTCTAAGTGGTTGTTTTTCTTTAAATATATGTATTCGTTCAAATTGACGCATATTCGTAGAGATAGGTATATAAGAAATGTCCGTAAACCTAGTATTAAATGTGAAACAATGTTTCAGACGAAAGTTGTAGATATCAAGATGGTGGCAACAATTTGATCTTGAATCGAAGGTCACGTAAACGCCTTCAGTTTTTTAGATAGAACTTCCCATTTTTATTGCAAATTCTTGTAATTCTCATAGAGATGTTTTCAAACCATTTCTTGTGTTTGTTTTCTATGCAAGTCATTTGCAAGATATAAATCTTGAAAGTTTACATGTCGTCGGCATTCACATTACCCAAGGCGCACCGTGCGAAGGTTGCAAGATTTTTTTGTTTATTAACCCTGAAGCTTCATATCGTGGGAATAATTGGTATAAAAAACGAACATACGTCATGTTTACAAAACATCTCGATAAGGGCTATAAGCATATGCAATAAAAATGGGGAATTCTATTACAGAAACTGAAGATGTTCAAGTGATCCTGAAATGATCATCTAAGGTCAAAGTGTTGCCAATTGTTGCCAGCTTATTGACATTCTATAACTTTTTCCATTTCTAAATGAAACATTTTCCCATACTTACACCTGTTTCTGATAAGAGTGAAGACGGATTTTAACACGTTAGCTGCCACAGCAGTCACCGATGACTAACAATGTGAAATATATAAAAATACTTGCAATTATCAAGTATATGGGATTTCGATGACATTTCATGAAACTAGTTCGGAGGTTATATTTTGCAGATTGTAAAACGGGATTATCGGATTTCAATGACATTTTATGAAACTAGTTCATTGGTTATATTTTGCAGATTGTAAAACGGGATTAGAAATAGGATTTCAATGACATTTCATGAAACTAGTTCGCTGGTTATATTTTGCAGATTGTAAAGCAACGAATATAATAAAGCCTTTTATGTTGAGAGGATTTTATCACTTGAAGATTGTATTTGTCTTAATATTTTTGTTGTTTTCACATTCTTGAATTCCTGAGTTATCTTCATAATTGCAAATTGTGAAATCTACGTATGTAAACACTTCGACATTCTTAAATATTCAAATTACCAAGTTCAGAATTCTTAACTTATAAAATTCGCAAACGTTTGTATCCTTCAATTCATAAATTTTGATCTCATTGAACTTTCAAATATACAAGTTCCGAAATTTTTAACTTCTCAAGTTTCCAAACTCTCAAATTCTCAAATTTCCAATATCCGAAATTCACAATATCCGAAATTCCCAATGTCCGAAATTCCCAATGTCCGAAATTCTCAATGTCCTAAATTCCCAATGTCCCAAATCCCCAATGTCCCAAATCTCCAATGTCCCAAATTCCCAATATCCCAAATTCCCAATATCCCAAATTCCCAATATCCCAAATTCCCAATATCCCAAATTCCCAAATTTCCAAATGTCTAAATCCCCAAATTTCCAAAATTCTAAATTCCCAAATTTGCAAATACTCATATTCTTAAATTCCCAACATTCCCAAATTTCTCCAAAACTACAACCCTAGCAATACGACAATTCCAAAATCCTAAATCTATAATTTCATAAACATAAAAATCGATAAGATACCAACAATCATTATATTCCTCTTTCATTACATAGACATTCTTCCTATGCAATCTCACCATATCATCATACCGATACAGCAAAGGCGTGTTAAAATATTCTCCACCATCTACTTGAAATTTATTCGAAAAAACATTCATAAAAAGGTGGTACAATGCTCACACTTCTTGCGTTAAAAAACGTACGAGAATTTGAAGACAAATTATTCAGAATTTTTGTCGGCCATTTATTCTCGTCTGCATACATCACGTGCGTATTTGCTTACGTATCTATGCAAAAACGGACGTTGTGAGAAATCACTTCCTTCTCGTCATATCTCCTGACAGTACAAACACATATAGACAGTAAATTATGCGATACAGTAATGATTCGGTATAAGCGAATCTCTTGTACCAGTGAATATAGCATAAATATATAAATATTATAAATAAACGAATCTCGTCTGAACTTTTCTTTGTATCATATAGGTCCTACATAACTTAACCCATTCGAGACCGATTTTATTAGGGATACTGAAAAGTATTTAAAATTTTTGGATGACTTCAAAGTTTTTCAATGAAAAATCGAAAGACTTTTTTTAAGAATGGAATTGAACTATTGCTTTTACGTTGGCAAAATGTATTAGAAAATGATGGAAATTATTTTGTTGATTAACATTTAGGATTTATTTAATAAATAAATGTTTTTCGTCAGCAAACAAAATTTTGATTACTTTTCGGTCCCCCAATACATCGTGTGCGCAATTTTTGAGGTTGCACACCAAGTGTGCAATAGTAGTAATGAGTAATTATCAGTTATTCTGAGTAAAGTAGTCGAGATAAGACCTGTTTGTATTAATCGTATGTGTAAAGTGTAGAAAAACAAAATTTGGTATTGGTTTTTTTTATTATACTTTATACTACACACACGGTGCTGAATCCGGTCTTCGCAATAAAAATATTCTGAGGAGCGAGGAGCACATACTGTGCAGAATCATTTTGGTTATGCGAATTCACTTATGAATTCGGCGATTTCCATAGTAAACAAGTTTTTTTATTAAAAATGAACAATATAAAGAGAAAAAATGTCGCTTCTGTGGACTCTGTTCGAATAAAGTTACAGTCTCGAATGGGTTAACGCTCCAAGTGTGTCTTCCAGGTACCATCGATGTATGGCGATACATTACTCAATTGTAATCAATATTCAGGGTGGCTCACCACATTTTGCCATCTAGATTTGCGTCATTATTATTACTCATAGCAAACAATGTTTCAGATGAATTTTTGAGAGGGGCATATGCTGGTGGTATATTTTTTTTGTAAGTAGACGTGTAAAGGACATACGAAGGTCATTAATGTTTTTTAAATGGAATCATATATTTTTTATTACATCAGCTGATACCCCTGCATATTCTTTACAAAAAAGTATTAATCTATTTATGTGAAAAAATCATTAGTTTAGGAGATATTTTAATTTTAATGTCTATTTACCGAAAAGGTTCAACGTGGCGACCGTTTGCATCAGAACACTTTCTGAATCGAGAAATTAATGATTTACTAACATTCCGTAGTGTATAATCTTTCTACATGTATAGCACTTTTTCCAGCTTCAGAATAAACTGATAACATATCTATCTTTTCTTCTTTAGAATAATTCATTATGAAGTGATAATTCACCGTATCGTCGTATTCACCGTATTAGAGACGTAACAGAGACTAAATTTCACTGTTACTCCGTAACAAAAAAAAACAAAAACTCGCAATTTGTTTGGTGACACGTGACCTCTCAAAGTATGTAGAAAAACATTTGCTGTCCAGTTAGAGCAATTCATAATATTGACCAGAAAGTCACGATTTCCTAACAACTTAGAACTAAAATATCTCCTAAACTAATGATTTTTTCACATAAATAGATTAATACTTTTTTGTGAAGAATATGAAGGAGTATCAGCTGATATAATAAAAAATATATGATTCCATTAAAAAAAAAACATTAATGACTTATATGTCCTTTTCACGTTCACCTACAAAAAAAATATACCACCAGCATATGCCTCTCTCAAAACCATTAAACTTCATCTGAAACATTGTTTGCTACGAGTAATAATAATGACGCAAATCTAGATGGCAAAATGTGGTGAGCCACCCTGTATACTGTAATCAAAATTATACTACTTCTGGGAAGAGCAAAGTCTGTTTGACTTTAATATTACTATTTACATGTCATTGTAGCATTTAAAATCTGACGCTTAAAAACTTGTAAGTGATGATCAGAATAAGTTTTCGATTTTCGCAATTAAAAATCAGAGCATTAAGAGTTAATTGATGTTTTGAAGAACGGAGAAAAGGTCAGTGAACGAAAGAGACATCTAAATGATCCAACGTAAACAAACAGTAATATATCAGTGGGACAATACGAATAGAGTAAAAAAAGAGCTTATGAAGCTTTTATCAACATAATTGTGACTTTTTGCTGATTAAAATGAGACAAAACACGGCATAATTCAAGACTTTTTTACTTGTGATAATTTATTAGAGCATGTTTCATATAAGATGAATATTGGGAATTACAAATAAATGTGGCTTGAAGGACATTATGTTTGGTGTCAGTTTATTCAGGAAAACATCAGAAATATATTGGTAGAAGTTGTATAAAAAAAGAATTGAGAGATAATTAGAAATTTTAGAAATAAAGAAGATTGGAAATAAAGCATTAGGAATAATGGTGAGACTGTTGATCTTCGTTGTCTGCCACAATGGCGTCTCTCCTTTGTTGGCTATCCTTCTCTACTTTAGAAACCTTTACAAATCTACAAATTGTCAAATTCCCAAATTCGCAATTTCTCAATTTCCCAATTTCTAAAATACTCAAATGGCACAATTCCCAAATTCTTAATTTTTCGAAATCATAATTTCCCAAATTCTCAAATTCTCAAGTTTTTAAATTTTCAAATTCTCGAATTTCCAGCTTTCAAATTCCTAAATTCCCAACTCTCCAAATTTCCCAATTTCAATTTCTCAAATACTCAAATATTCAAATTCTCAAATTCTCAAATTCTCAAATTTTCAAATTTTCAAATTTTCAAATTCTCAAATTCTCAAATTCTCAAATTCTCAAATTCTCAAATTCTCAAATTCTCAAATTCTCAAATTCTCAAATTCCCAAATCTTTAATTTCCAAACTCTCAATTTCCCAAATTCTCAAATTCGCAAAATTGTCAAATTGTCCAATTCCCAAATTCCCAAATTCCTAAATCCCCAAATCCCCAAATCCCCAAATCCCCAAATTTCCAAATTTCCAATTTCTCAATTTCCCAATTCTGTAAATAGTCAAATACTCAAATTCCTAAATTCCCAAATCTTCAATTCAAATTTCCAAATTTCCAATTTCTCAATTTCCCAATTTCGTAAATAGTCAAATACTCAAATTCCTAAATTCCCAAATCTTCAATTTCTCAAATTCTCAAATTGCCAAATTGCCAAATTTCCAAATTTCCAAATTTCCAATTTCTCAATTTCCCAATTTCGTAAATACACAAATTCCCAACTCTCTCAAATCCCAACTTCCCAAATTTCCAACTCTCCAAATTTCCAACTCTTCAAATTTCCAGCTCTCCAAATTCCAAACTCTTCAAGTTCCAAACTCTCCAAATTCCCAACTCTCTCAAATCCCAGCTCTCCAAATTCCCAACTCTTCAAATTTCCAAACACCTAAATTAAATTCTCAAAGCGCCAAATTTCCAAATTTCCAATTTCTCAATTTCCCAATTTCGTAAATAGTCCAATACTCAAATTCCTAAATTCCCAAATCTTCAATTTCTCAAATTCTCTAGTACTCAATTACCAAATTCTTAATTTCTCAATTTCTCAAGTACTCAAATTACCAAATTCTCAAATTCTCAATTTCTCAATTTCTCAATTTTTCAATTTCTCAATTTCTCAATTTCTTAATTTCTCAATTTCTCAATTTCTCAAATACTCAAATTCTCAAATTTCCAATTTCCCAAAATTTCTAATTTTCTCCAACACAGCAACCGTAACAACACCAGAATTCCACAACTCCTAAATCTCATAAATCAAATATTTCATTAACATAAAAATCTTGAAATGAAATTTTTCGTCATTCATTAAACCAGTAAATGCAGTCGAAATCATATCCTATTTAATCTCATTTTAATCACAAATATGTCAGTAAACGTGTCATACAAAAAAAATAAACAATAAAAAAGTTTTATATCTGCATTGACATTGTCTCGCGAATATACATAAATCAGTTTCACATTACATTTTTCGGCATCGACCATATCGATCGTCTGAACATCACTACAGGTATTCTCCAGCAGTTTTTACCTTTTATATTGTCATTTTCGTTTACGCCGAATCACTACCATAACAATTTTTTATCATAAATAAGCGAGAGAAATTTGAATAACAATACTTACCAAACGGTTCGAAAGAAAATCTCGAACAGACCTGGATAGACAAGATCATCTGTCGCGGCTAGCCATTTTCTTCCGAAGAGTTTGATCGCAGGCATTTCCCTGTGAATTATATCAGAATACATTTCTCAACAATGCTGACTAAGACCTCGCAGTCCAGAACGTGCTTCGAAATAGAATTTAGTGAGCGTTTTGCAAATTAATATCCCCGGAAGTATTGGATCGATGCACAACTCGGTGTCTACTCTTTCTTCCTTTTTTTTAAACGAGTCATGTATTTTTCAGCACAGCACACTGTTTTTTAGTTAATATTCAAGCAATTTGGAAATTTTATGTTTTATTTCGTCGTTTTGCCATGAGGAAGTTGTTAAAATAATCTTGAAGGCTACCGGTTGGTAGAATTCCATGAAAAATGCGCGGAATAAAATAGTGGTTTCTTGTATCGTTAAGTCGAATAAATAATAAAAGGTTCTAATACAAAAAAGTGTGAGATAAAAAGTTGTGGATAATTATGTAATATGGCAGACTCTTGTTAGATGGCCACAGGCGAAGTTATAGCCAGTGGAAAATTTCTGTAGTTGGCCAGTCAGTATGAGTTTCTTTTTAAGCTTTCACATTTTAAGGATCAAAGATCTGGATATTTTTAGGTAAAGTCCAAATATAATTAATTTTTAGAAGCTGTATTCAATTTCTAAATTGTTAATTTATCGGATTTGTGAATTGACACGTTTCTGAATTAGTCGAATCTTAAATTGATAGGTTTGTGAATGATAGAAATAGTAAATTATTAAATTTTTAAATATCGGAATACGGAAATTATTGAATTTTAAATTTTCTGAATTCTAAGACTTTTAGAAAATACTTTAAATTAATTGAGCTTCAATTTAATTTTTGAAGTTTCAAGTTCATTAATTCTAAAATGCAAAAGACTTTAAACTTGAATACAGTTAAACTCCTAAATTAAACATTCTTCAATTCTTAAATTTCTGAATTTCTAAATTTCTAAATTCCTAAATTCTCAAATTACTAAATTCCCACATTCCCAAATTCCCAACTTTCCAAATTTCTAAATTCTCAAATTCTCTCCAAATTATCAAATTCCTAAATTTCCAAATTCCCAAATTCCCAAATTCCCAAATTCCCAAATTCCCAAATTCCCAAATTCCCAAATTCCCAAATTCCCAAATTCCCAAATTCCCAAATTCCCAAATTCCCAAATTCCCAAATTCCCAAATTCCCAAATTCCCAAATTCCCAAATTCCCAAATTCCCAAATTCCCAAATTCCCAAATTCCCAAATTCCCAAATTCCCAAATTCCCAAATTCCCAAATTCCCAAATTCCCAAATTCCCAAATTCCCAAATTCCCAAATTCCCAAATTCCCAAATTCCCAAATTCCCAAATTCCCAAATTCCCAAATTCCCAAATTCCCAAATTCCCAAATTCCCAAATTCCCAAATTCCCAAATTCCCAAATTCCCAAATTCCCAAATTCCCAAATTCCCAAATTCCCAAATTCCCAAATTCCCAAATTCCCAAATTCCCAAATTCCCAAATTCCCAAATTCCCAAATTCCCAAATTCCCAAATTCCCAAATTCCCAAATTCCCAAATTCCCAAATTCCCAAATTCCCAAATTCCCAAATTCCCAAATTCCCAAATTCCCAAATTCCCAAATTCCCAAATTCCCAAATTCCCAAATTCCCAAATTCCCAAATTCCCAAATTCCCAAATTCCCAAATTCCCAAATTCCCAAATTCCCAAATTCCCAAATTCCCAAATTCCCAAATTCCCAAATTCCCAAATTCCCAAATTCCCAAATTCCCAAATTCCCAAATTCCCAAATTCCCAAATTCCCAAATTCCCAAATTCCCAAATTCCCAAATTCCCAAATTCCCAAATTCCCAAATTCCCAAATTCCCAAATTCCCAAATTCCCAAATTCCCAAATTCCCAAATTCCCAAATTCCCAAATTCCCAAATTCCCAAATTCCCAAATTCCCAAATTCCCAAATTCCCAAATTCCCAAATTCCCAAATTCCCAAATTCCCAAATTCCCAAATTCCCAAATTCCCAAATTCCCAAATTCCCAAATTCCCAAATTCCCAAATTCCCAAATTCCCAAATTCCCAAATTCCCAAATTCCCAAATTCCCAAATTCCCAAATTCCCAAATTCCCAAATTCCCAAATTCCCAAATTCCCAAATTCCCAAATTCCCAAATTCCCAAATTCCCAAATTCCCAAATTCCCAAATTCCCAAATTCCCAAATTCCCAAATTCCCAAATTCCCAAATTCCCAAATTCCCAAATTCCCAAATTCCCAAATTCCCAAATTCCCAAATTCCCAAATTCCCAAATTCCCAAATTCCCAAATTCCCAAATTCCCAAATTCCCAAATTCCCAAATTCCCAAATTCCCAAATTCCCAAATTCCCAAATTCCCAAATTCCCAAATTCCCAAATTCCCAAATTCCCAAATTCCCAAATTCCCAAATTCCCAAATTCCCAAATTCCCAAATTCCCAAATTCCCAAATTCCCAAATTCCCAAATTCCCAAATTCCCAAATTCCCAAATTCCCAAATTCCCAAATTCCCAAATTCCCAAATTCCCAAATTCCCAAATTCCCAAATTCCCAAATTCCCAAATTCCCAAATTCCCAAATTCCCAAATTCCCAAATTCCCAAATTCCCAAATTCCCAAATTCCCAAATTCCCAAATTCCCAAATTCCCAAATTCCCAAATTCCCAAATTCCCAAATTCCCAAATTCCCAAATTCCCAAATTCCCAAATTCCCAAATTCCCAAATTCCCAAATCCCCAAATTCCTAAATTTCCAAATTCTTAAATCCCCAAATTCCCAAATCTCCTAAATTCTAAAACTTCCAAATCCCCAAATCCCAAAATTCTCAAATTCCAGATTCCCCTCATCCTAAAATACTTAAAATCCCAAATTCCCAGCTTCCCAAATGCCTAAACTTCAAAGTCTAAAAGTTCAAATCATCTGAATATCCGGTATTCCAAACTTTCAGAGTTTCTGACGTCGAAAGGTCACAATTAACATAATAAACATAGTAATTATCATAATAACACGAAACGCATATTGCCAATATGCGTGAAAGTTCCTACAAATCTGTTTCTGTTGCAATATAACAAAAGTCTATTCTAATACCTAACCTACAAGGTAATGAATAAACAAAAGCAGCTCGGGTTTATTCATCATCTTACAATAAGATTGCATCTAATTTGTATGGTGTAGTTGATATTATATTATTTGTATCTACGTACTACTACAGCATTAATGTCTCTTTGATAAAGTGATTTTGTAATACTATTGTACAGTAGTTTCATGTTAATCAATAGAAACATTCAACTCATTAATTAAGGTCAATTTAACTATATTTCCACAGCAAACTAAACTATGAGGCATAGTTGTGAGACATGAATGTTTAAAATTCGAAGGCTCTTCGAAGAACCTTGATTACCATTACAAAATGGCGTCGATGCCCCTACGTTCACGCTTGTGAATCATATCTTCAGAAAGTACCACTTTTTCAATCACGGTTTAAAGTGTTTAATTTAAACTTTAATTTATATTATTTACTGCTGTTTATTAATACAGATTTCATATGTGACAAAATATTAAGAAGTAATCTTAATGTTAAATCACTTTAATAATGTAATCTTAATAGAAAAATTAAATCACGTTCTTTTAAACGCAAAGTAGAACTCGCTAAAATGGAACTCCTAATTCTTAAAGTAACGAGTGAATTGCAGTAGTTTACAAATTGTTACAGTAGTTTATTAGTAATTAAATTATTATAACTGTCTGAAACTATGTCTTCCATAGATTTATAGAACGATTATGTACCTACAGTATACAAACAATCAGTGTTCAAACTTTTCGAATTGTACATTAAAATGACAAGAACGGTTTAAACTTTAACTTAAAGAGTTTAAAACTTTGTACTCAGTTTCTTATTATCTACCAACGGAATTTACAAAATAGATTAAGAGAGGCTGAATTAAATGTAGTGAAACAGTGCGCATGTGACAATTATATTTTATATTTAATACAAGTAGTAATTCAATAAAGATATATATTCAACTAATATATTTATTTGAATTATTTATAAGATCCAAGGGAAATTTGACGTCGAGACTCGACATAGGAGTGTAAAGGGTTAAACTTTAACTCAAATTATGAAAAACTATATCTAAAGAGTATTTAAATTATTATCAAAGTGCCCAAAATTATTTTACGAAAAGTAAAAAGAATTTCAAAAAGAATTTCACAAAAAGTCAATTAGAACGCTTAATACAATGTTTTCGTAGTTTTTTGACATTCTGTTTGTAAAAGAATTAGTATGTTACCCGTCGAGTCCATTTTCTACATGCTTTCAAAGTTTCCTTTGTCGCTGTAACGTTGCGCATTATCCATTCGTTTCGCGGCTAGAAATTGTTAATTCAAAGTCAAACGAGAATGTTCGGCCGGCGATATAACAGGGATTATCAACGGCACAGTGAACGCAAAGTAGTATGTTTTGAACTTTTTCCACGGTAATTAATTTTGATGGTAGTTGGACGCTTGACAGTGTTGCAATGAATTTCTTTGGTCGTGAACTAGAGACCCAAGGGAAAGCGTTGAGAGAAAGTCTTTGTCTATCCTACATTTGAGAGTATTGACATAACTTTGCTCTTTAACTGGACCCTGACCCTGCTGAAGATTCAATTTTGTTCGAAATTCTGAGATTACTTTCACGCACCTTCATCTTTCGGTGATGCTTTCTTTTTTTTTGTCGGATTCTGTCAGCGACTTTTGCCAAGCGTTATTCTGATAAAATTGTTGCAATTAAAAATACTCTGGAGTTAAACCTACTTTCAGAATTATTCATTTATGTTGTTAATAAGATTTGATATTTAAAATTTGATGATTTAACTCAGTTTTTCCTCGCGAATTTGAATGCACAATGAAAAATACAATTTCAGTATCTTTTAAAATAATTTGTAAAAATTTTAACATTAGGATGAAACTTTACTTTGATTAACTTTAACATTGTTAGGAAATAAGTAAATCATTGCCTGCATGATAGCATTTATTTAATTATAAAGTCACGTATTCTGGTAGATTGCTGAACGAATCTTGAAAGTATAAGTTCTGATACAAATTCGTGACATAAAAATATCACAAAATAACACGTATGTTACGTCAATTTAAAGCTTAAACATTATTTTCGAGGATTGTATAAAATTCCCCTTGATACTTTTAACGTACAATGATTAATCTACTGTACTGAACAATAATTTCATGTTAACCTGTCAGTCTTATAATTTCGAAACGTGAACAGTGATAACTTCATGACTTAAAAGCATCACAAAATGGCACTTATGCTACACTGATTTAAAGCTTGAGACTTCCTGAAAATGTCAGTATATAGATTTTGTTAAAATTTGTATCAGTGATTGATTACGAATTGTATTAAACAATGTTTTTATATTACGCGTCAATTTTTGAATTTCAAAACACTCTAAGGTAACATCATGACATAAAAGCATTAGATAATGGTCATTATGTTACATGGATTTGTAGCTTAAAGTCTCCCAAAAATGTCTACATAAAATTTGTGTTATTATATTTAGTACAATGTAAATAATTATCAATTGTAGTGAACAATGATTTGATATTATATATCAAATTTTTTACTCCATCGCGCAAAAGGTTTGAAATTATTTCATGACATAAAAGTGTCATGAAATGTCACTTATGCTACATGGATTGGAAGCTTAAGATTTCCTAAAAAAGTACGTATAGTGTCTTTAATATTTCTAGCATACGATATCAATTATAGTAAACAATGTTTCTGTGTCACATATCAAGTGACATAAACATATTGCAGTTTAAAAAAACTGATGTATTGTCAATTTTAAATGACATAAGCGTATTGCAAGGTAACAAAAACATTATGTAAAATTGAAGCTTAAAGCAAAACTGATCACGTAAATGTTTCATCGGTATTCTTAACGTAAAATGGCTGATTTATCATTGAAACAATGAATCAACAGTTTACTCATCATTTTCCATCAGCAAATACTTCAAACTTGAAATGACTTATGTTATAGAAAACTTACACTTTTCGAAATAATCCCCTTCTTCAAACATAAAAGATTAGAAATATTCGCTGATAGGCACTACCGAATTAACACTGTTTCCAACAAAAAATCAATTCACATTAAAACTATTGATGAAAGGCTCATGCAGTCATATTCGCAGATCTTTAAGCTTTAAACTGGTGTACCATTCATTATGCAATACTTTTCAGTCATGAAATTCCACCAGACGTTTCACCTTTTGAAATCGATGTATGCAAAACTCCAATAATTCTCTTTTTCTGTTTTACGCTATTCATATTTAGAATATCGATGAAACGTTTATATAATCATTTTCGTGAATCCTTAAGCTTTAAATTGATGTAGGATGTTTTTATATCACAAAGTTTCATCAGACTCTTTCCGTTTCGAAACACTTTATTTCATATGCAGGAACGCAATTTTTGTCCTTATTCTGTTTACATTAATTATATGTTGATAAGCACTTTACGCAATTATTTTCATGAAATTGTAAACTTCAAATTGGTGTAATGCACTTGGTATTTCGCCATACTTTCACAAAATCGAACACTGTCCAAAATTTACAATTTTCTGTTGAGAATTAATTTATCTCCTTCGTTTTTGAATCTTTTCGTGTTAAATATATGCGTAAAAGGTGTAGACATTTTTATGCAAAATTTGATGTGCAACAAATATTGAATCGAAGTAAAACGATGAATTTGTTTTTACAATGGCGTTAAAATTCTGCATCTGAAAGTTAAATTAAACTGCATCTAAAGGTAGACATAATAAGCTATAAGAAGCTGGATTATTTATAAACCAGAATATCAGCAAATCATATTTTTCTATGTGGACAAGATACGATATGTTAATTTTTAATTATTCTTCCCGAAAAGTTTTATCGATTATAAATTAATGATGATTAATATTATCAATTAGTTTACTAGAGTAAGTTCCAGATACTCAATAATTATCATCGCTCATTCTCAACTTTTCCTGCTAATGCAAGCTAAAATTATCTACTTCCTAAACGTCACGAGACTGTATAAAAGCATTTTATTTTCTCGAAACCTTGAACTCCATTGTTAATGGAGACATGTAAGTAACTTCGATCGCGTGTAATATTGTACTATTTTATGTGTAATTTCCTTGACAGCTTTACCGTTGCACTGTTTCATAGAAATGGCGATAATTGAAATTATGTCATCGTAACTCTCGAGATTTCATAATCACTTTTATTTTTATTCTTCCAGAAATTGTGTTTCCATTGGAATTTCTCGTTGAATAAAATCTTTTATTTTTGTGTAATAATTTTTGGACACAAGAATAGTTTGAAATATAATTTATTTTGAAAAAATATTTTTGCAAATAAATATACAAATCACGATAATTGAAATTAATCACCAGATTTCCCGAGATTTCTCGATCACTTTTATTTTTATTCTTTTAGAAATTCTGTCTTCTTTAGAAATTCCTTTTAAACAAAATCCTTCATTTTTTAATGAAAATAATTTTTTGATGCCGAAAGAATTTAATAATTTGTAATTAAAACTTTTTAACAGATATTTAAAATAAATATTTTCATTTTCAAATAAATAATTCTGTAATGACATTTCAAATTTGATAATTTGACATTTTTATCGTTTGTAAACAAAAATGATTTCTTATCGATTGAAAAAGTTTGAAATCTAATATATTTTTAAGATTAGTAATTTCTATTTCAAGTTTAATTATTTTATTTTCAATAAATAATTATCTAAGGACAAAATGTTTGAAATGTAATAATTAGAAACTCTCCTTTAAAATTAAATAAAATTTATCAAATTTTATAAATGGAATTTGTTATTACTCTTAAAGGAAAACAATTTAATAGAATTTTAATTTAATTTATAAAATAAGATTTAATCTTTCCGTGAAAGTAAAAGACTGACAAGTTTACATTGACATATTCCTTACTATAACCTTCGAATGTTCTTAGTATTCAGAATTTATATCAATGAGAGAATGAAAAGTAATTGGGAAGCAAAGTGCATTTTATTTACAATTGAAATTTCACGGAATATTTTATCAAACTTGAGAATTTTGCAATTCTGAAGGAAAAACGTTAATGTGTTGCGAAAAATTGGATACTGATTAATTTTTCCCAAAGCGATTTATAACGTAATAAAATTACTCAACTCCTCATATAATTGACACTAAATTTATGGACGTTTCATGACCATTCATTTCGTAATTAAAACTAAAATAAAAAAATAAGCTAATCAGATATGATATGAAAATTTATACAATGATTCTTCATCTAAAAGTTAACATATATTTTGACAAAAGCATTTTAGCATTTTCTATAGTTTAAACCGAAAATGTTCGTAAATATAATATTATCTAATTGAAAGTTGTATGAAATTTACTAGAAATTGTAAATAAAAGACTTAAGTTAAATTATTTTAATATTATCGTAAAATAAAATGTATATTTTAATAAATAGTACATATTAAATATACAAGATAAACTAGTATTCAAAGGAAATCTTATTCGAACAAAGAAACAAGCTTCTTTAGAACACAAGTTTCTTTGTTTCTTTGTTTGGAAATTTAGTGTAATCATTTTACAATGCGTGTATTAAATTTTTTGCGCGATGGCGCTTCAAACGTACTGGAAAGTGGCGGGAAGGATTTGAATTCAAAATAGTAATTTGAACTACAATAGTTAATTTTTAATCCAAAACTATTCTTTAATACTAACGTAGCAAATATAATGCAATACAATATGTTTTGTACTGAATATATTATTTGAAGTAGTAATTTTTAATCTGCGTAACGTTATTTAAGATATCAACGTAAGAAACATGCAAACTTATAATTACTTTATGTAAACTAGTAAGTATTTATTTTTTTAACTGTTACTTGTTCAAAATTATAATTATCAATGCAACCTAATAATTCTTACATAGTATTATTTAAAATGGTAGTTATTTTTGCCTAAAATAGTACAGTAAATATTTTGTTTAATTCACTGCATTGCTGAAATAGCAATTATTAATTCTTGCAATTTATATTTTACAATTTATTCCTTGAATGTGTTACTCAAAATAGTAACTATTAAGCTTTAAAATTTTTATCTGAGCCAGTAATATAGTAAACATAAGTCAATGCTATATTCTATATTACTTGATATTATTTAAAATTGCAATTTCCAACCTCCCAAATTTCGTCCAACATAAAAATACAACAAATAAAACGTAAGGCATACAACAATAAAGTCAAGCAATGAAACTAAAACATGTCTCCAAAAAAATAGAAATAAATTACATCAACTTACAAATCAAAAATGAAATCTATAGTGCGAGTAATTTATTCCACAAAAAAGCGTGCGTGCACAAATGAAATTGCACCAAATATAATTAGCACGGTGAATCAACACTGTTGTACATTAACCCGCAACAAACTACATAACGACTTTATCAATGAATAAACGAGAATTAATTTCCGGGAAAAAAGTTGATCCAAAGGTACATTTACCTGTCCGGCAGTCACGATGATCTCGTGGCTTTGAATCATTCACAAGACATCAGTTAATACGAACACTCACAGTCCACAAATGTAGTCACCGGATAGGATGCTGTCCGGTATTTATCGTTGAACGTACTCGTGTGACGAGTTCCCGATTAATTCTTTCTTTTTTAACAACCGGCAAGGTCTGAGAGCCGCGTACCGAGTCCCATACTCGCGAAAAACGTGAGCAAAAATTTCGCTGAGTGCCGCGTTTCGTCGTCCACGAAAGACGAAGAAGACGACGCCGGTCGTCGTTCAGAACTGAAAATTGTATCGGCGAGCAACAAGCAAAGTGCAGTTCGCACAATGCCGCTTGCAAACCTGTTCACCTTGTTTCGCGGCACCCCACGTTGTTTCTGACGTGCTGGTTGGCGGCGACTGTCCAACATTGCCACGAACTTTCATTTCGTTCCTCTCCATCACACGTTCCTTGCCTCAAGAGAGATGAAAAAGAAGCAACGAGCTACGATCGTTTGTATCTCGCGGGGATACAAAGTAAATGGTAGGAACACCTGCCCCCCTTTGGACCCACATCTTGCGACATACCTGCATTTTACACCGAAATTGTGAAACCAGACTGTATGACCGCTAATTATGCCGATGTTGATCAACTTCGAAGTTTAGATTAATTTAATTGTGTTTCTTTTGTAATACAGCGTTTGCAAATGGTCGCTTTGTAGAGGAATTATTTAGGGTGGTTAGGGATGCATATTTAGGTGTTAATCAGAAAATGTGGTTGTGACGTTTAGAATTAAATGTAGTTTTCATGTTTAGAATTAAATGTAGTTTT